AGTAGAGAGAGAGAGAGAGAGAGAGAGAGAGGGAGAGAGAGACGGTGGGCGGTTGAAAAGTATAACGGCTTGCCAAGAAGAGTGCATTACGACACTATGTAGACGAGTTTCACTAACTAGGTCTTCTGATATAAATGGCGAGTTTGATTGACCACCTTTATTATAAAGTCTCGAAGAGATGGATACTACTTGTCGTATTGATACAGCGAGGTTTCGGTCGGACTTAACCATCATCTCGATAACGCCGTTATAAGTGACGGCCAAAATCGCGATTCACCCTATCGGAGGAAAAATCGCTTATAAATCTCTGACAGGTTGATATTGTCCGTTTTCTACATGTTTTTCTTTTTTTTTTTTCGCCCAGAATAAGCCAGTGGCGGAGTCGGTCTTGGCTCGACTTGCGTCACCCCCGGGTTGGTTTGTGGTCCTTCCAAGTTCTTGGCATTTGGCATCATACGTAGTTGCGGACCGACTTGCTCATTGGTCGGTGCCCGACTCTGACAACAGAATAAGGTTTCCTTTTTCCCTTTCTTTTTGTATTTCCTTCTTGGTCTCCTTGTTGGAGTAGCACACTAAATCTTCTTATTCTGATTCTACCGCACGAGTCATTTGTTTCATCAACTTCTTTGGCTGATTTTGGATGAGGCAACGCAAGCTGCGGCGGCGGCGGCGGCGTTTGTCCCCACAACGTATGGTGCGGGATGAGGAGGGATGAGAGATGCTGCGGCGAGATGGAGTACGTAAACACATGAACAGATCTGAAATCTTATTTAGAAAGGAAGATAAGAAGCTTAAAAATAAAAATAAGAAAAGCTATAACATGGCTTTGTGCCGCCTTGATCCAGAGATTGGTAGTGGCTGTGTCAACTTGACAGCACCCTTTTGGATATGAAGACTTTTAGCATCAGCAGATTACTGGTATACACACAGCTCCTAACATCGGCTGTTCGAGGTTTGTCTTTGTTCGTTTGCTATTGACAACCCGGGCGTCAACTAATACGGCCGCATAGCACATTCTTCCCGTCGCACCGAAGCAAAAATTGTGCGCACCGTGCAAGACGCTGCCTTTTCACCGACACTACAACGCGATGCAAGTCCCTCACAACTTACCGTCTCCTTGACATTATCCGGGAGCACACAGCCCGTGCACCTTAATCTACGTCGCGACGAGGACATATACACACAACCAGTGACGATACACCGAGTCCGCGCGGATGGGTCGGTGCACAGCTCCGAGACGACAGACGACCACCTCGTATATTACGGCACAGCATCTACGAAGGAGAAAAGAGGACATGAGCGGAATTGGGCGCGCGTGTCGGTACACATGAGCCATGGCGTCCCGCTGCTCGAGGGCGCATATCATCTAGATGGCTTCGAATACCACATTCAGACTGATTCCACGTACCGACAAACACGCGCCGAGCACGACGCATCGGTGTCTTCTGCGGCCGCCGACCAGCCGTATAATGTAGTCTGGCGATACATCGATGACGAAGATGGCTTGCTCGCCAAGCGCGACGACGAATCTACCTGCGGGCTCGACAGCCTCGCCTACGACGGCGGAAGCCTGGAACGGCGGCAGCGCTGGGGCGGCGGCGGCGGAGACACGACCGACAGCCTGCTGCAGAGTCTAGGCTCGAGGAGCGGATGTCCCTCGACGCGAGCGATTGCGCTGCTGGGCATCGCGACCGACTGCTCGTACACGTCGCAGTTTAGCAGCGAGCAGGACCTGCGGCGTAACATCCTAACGCAGGTGAGCTCCGCGTCGCGCGTCTACGAGGCGGCGTTTAATGTGCAGCTGCGCGTACGCAACATTACCATTTCCGACGCCGAATGCCCAAGCGGCGACGCCGGGTTGTCGTGGAACCGCGCGTGCGCGTCGAGCTTGTCGATTGCCGACCGGTTGAATGAATTTTCGCGGTGGAAGGCCGGCTTTGACGACCAGACGGCGGCGTGGTCGCTGATGACGGCGTGCCAGTCGGGGTCGACGGTGGGCATCGCGTGGATCCGCGCTGTGTGCCAGCCAGGCGTGCTGGTCCGGGGCGCGGTGCGGTCGACGCCGGGCGCCAATGTGGTTGCGCGGACGGCGGCCGAGTGGCAGGTTCTCGCACACGAGCTCGGCCACAACTTTGGCGCGGTGCACGACTGCACGCGAGGCTGTTCGGGGTCGTCTGGCAGCGGCGAGACACTGTGCTGTCCACTGAGTTCCAGCAGCTGCGACGCGGGCGGACAGTACATGATGAACCCTTCGGTGAACTCGCGCGTGACAGAATTCTCGCCGTGCTCGGTGGGACAGATATGCGCGGCGTGGGGCAGAGGCAACATCAACACGGCGTGTATGCGCGGCAACGAGGATGTGCCGACGGTCAGCGAGTCGGTGTGCGGCAACGGCGTGGTGGACGCGGGCGAGGACTGCGACTGCGGCGGCGAGGAGGGCTGCGGCGACAACGCGTGCTGCAACCCGACGACGTGTCGCTTCACAACAGGTTCCGTGTGCGATCCATCGACGCAGCGGTGCTGCACGGGCCAGTGCCAGCTCGCGAGCAGTGGGCAAGTCTGCCGCGAGAGCATCGGGCTCTGCGACCCGCAAGAGGTGTGCAGCGGCAACGAGGCCAACTGCCCGAGCGACGAGCAGCTGCCGGACGGGCAGGCGTGCGGGGAGAATGGCGAGACGGGGCTGACGTGCGCGACAGGCGTGTGCACCTCGCGCGCGATGCAATGCTCGGCGCTGCTGACGTCCAACAACAGCACCGAGACGGTCAATTCGGGCAACGTGACGGCCGAGGCGTGCAGCTCGACGGGGTGCGAGCTCAACTGCATGCAGATGGGGAGCGGCGGACTGGCGTTGGACGGCGGCATGTGCCAAGCGAGTTCCAAGTTTTTCCGGGACGGCACATTATGCGGGAGCAATTCGCGGCGATGTTATAGTGGGACGTGCGGCGGTCGGGCCTCGAATGATGACGGTGGTGGAGGGGATGCGGCGTCGTGGATACGCAACAACCGGACCGTGTTTATTATTATCTGCGTGGTGGGCGGCATCGCGGTGTTGATGGCGCTAGCGACTATTGTGTGTTGCTGCCGGCAGAGGTCGAATCGAAGGCAGGCGGTAGGCGCGCAGCAGACGCGGATGGCGACGGCCATGAGGCAGAGCGGTGGTGGTGGTGTTGTTGTGCCGCAGCAAACGTGGCCGCGCCCGCCGCCGCCGCCGACTCCGGATGCGTCATCGATGCAGGCACCGATGCAGTCACCGATGCCCTCAGTGACTAGAACAGGCAGTAACCTACACCGGTATGCGTAGTTGGCATTGGGGATGCGTGTGGCGGGGGCTGTGTGATGGGAGAGACAAGCTTAGCTCCGTCGATGGAGATGCTTGTTATGGAGTCGTGAGGCTGCTGCCTCGGGCATCGCATCAGGACTGTGTCACGTGGGGCGAGGGCGGGAAGGGCGTTGGTTGGTGAGGCAAGAGGGAAATGTAAATATGACTTTTTTTATTATAGATTCATGAAGATATGTGCAATGAAACGACTTTTGTTTTCACGAGGCTGAGCAGCTTCCAAGGATTGGGTATCGATGACTAGTTATTTTACGTGTATGTTGGTGAGTGATGGTGAATGTGGCGGCGGGCCGAGGGCCAGACTACAGGAGCAAGATGGTCACAAGGTCGGCAGGGCATATTCACTGGGCAAATTCTCTTGTCGGGGGGAGATGAGCAGCCTCAGCTGCGAAAATGATGCCTTTTTTTAGCAAGTTGAATGCGATACTTGGGAAGATGTCTGATGATGGATGAATGCGCGCACACCAGTGTGTCGTGTATGTGTAGGCTGCAGCCAAAGGTACGACGCATATGCAATGCAATAGGTAGCTAGGTCAGACAGGCCTCAACAACAGAGCCGCCTGCTAAAGTATGTAGTACCTGTGCAACACATTCCCCTTTACTGCCCCTACATACACTTTTACTCTGATAAAACCTCAGCATGACCAACACAGCCCCGACCGAGTCCTTTTGGGAACATTCTCGACCGCGTAGCTCCCATGGCCACATTGTGCGGCGGTCCGGAGATGGAAAGACCAGTCGGGCGAAGCAGTTGATAGTCACAGTCTTGGTAAAGTAGTGGGGGCGCAAATAGCGCGGCACTGCATGGGGCTGTCAGTAACAGATTCGCCCTGCCAGTGAGTTTGAACCCCTAAACATGCCAGGCACCTAGGTACCTGCGTAGCCCATCATCTCATCCTCTCTTTTCTTTCAACGAGGCCGACTTGGCATGTCTAGAATTTCAAAAATTCCTGTGACACTTGAAGATCGTATCGGAACCTCTGTCATTTTTCCGCAGGCATATGAGAGGCGTAGTCTGTACCACTTGCACCGGCTCATCCCTCCTCTCTCTGTCGTGGTACCTCGGTGACAGACTTTCTAGAAGCCCGACTAACTCAACCACCCTGGTCAGGAACCAGCTTATCGCACACGCTAATTGGTCAGGGAGGGATAGAGCCCTACTTACGCCTACTACCCTATGTAGAAGTTACACATAACTAGATTATAGAATAAATAATCAAGGAAAACTAATAAAAAAAAAGAAAAAAGGTTTTTAGATTCTTTATAAAGAAATTATATTAGTTAGAGGTAGTTTTTTTTTTATTTATATATACTTTTCATAATAGGTTTATTAGTAATTACTCTTTTAATTCCTGTACGTGCTGATAAGCCTGGTTCCTGTCCAGGGGGGGTGGTTCCTGACCAGGGTAGTTGAGTTACAGCCCAAATGCTGCGCCACTTTCCGGGCATGGAAACATTCTGCTCCAAACGCCCCAAAATCGCCCTGCAACGCCCGGAATGGCTTCTGAATCCACGCAATTAATGCCTAGTTTCCTGGGGTGCTGGGGTAATAATACACCACTGTAAGCGTCGACGAGCCTTATGGAGTTCTCCCGACGCCCAGATGCCTCGCCAGGTTGATCAACTTGTCATAAAAACAGCCTCGCCTTTGCGAGTGTAATCTCAGCCGCAGTTGGTGCCACTGGACTGACCGCTGGCCGACATATAAAAACCTTGCAGTGCCTTGCATCTGTTTTCTCAAATTATTCGATTCCGGGTCATAGACACTCGCTACTACACACTTGTTCGAAAGTAGCAAAAGACATCAGTTACCAGACAAACACCACTTACACATCACCACTTACACCCATCACCACTTACACCTATCACCACTTACACCCATCACCACTTACACCCATCACCACTTACACCCATCACCACCACAACCACCGCCGCCATCATGACCTATCGAGTTTCCGCCCCCGACGAGTACCTCGCCATCACTGGCATGGGCATCAAAAATGTCCGCATCACCAAATCCGCCTGGGTCTGGCCCTTCCAGCGCTGCACCCGCTTCAGCGTCCAGCCCCAGGACTACGCCATGGACCTGCTCGCCATGACCAAGGAGAAGCTGCAGTTTGCTCTGCCCGTCGTCTTCACCGTCGGTCCCGATGTGGACTCGCGCGGCGCCAACACCAACGCCGCCGCTGCCGGCGACGGCGACGACCAACTTGCGCGCGAGGATCGCGGCGATGCCCTCACAAAGTACGCCATGCTGCTGTCTCAGAGCGACGACGGCAAGGGCGACGGCGACGAGAAGAGACGCCACCTCGCCAACATTGTCAAGGGCATCATCGAGGGCGAGACCCGCGTACTCGTGTCCAGCATGACCATGGAGGAAATCTTCAGCGAGCGTGAAATGTTCAAGAGGCGCATCTTTCGCAACATCCAGGCCGAACTCGACCAATTCGGCCTGCGCATCTGGAACTCCAATGTACGTTTTCGCTCCTCCTCCTCCTGCTTTTCCATCTCGTCCTGGATTCCTCCAAAGTAAAAACCTGCTAATGCTTTGCTCCCTTCTTCTCCAGGTCAAAGAATTGAAAGATGCACCGGGCTCCAACTACTTCTCGTCCCTCTCCCGCAAGGCCCACGAGGGCGCCACCAACCAAGCCCGCATCGACGTCGCCGAGGCGCAGCTCAAGGGCAACGTCGGCGAGTCGGCGCGCCACGGCCAGCAGGAGCGCGAAATCGCAAAGATTCACGCCGAGACGGCCGTGCAAAAGACGGAGCGCGACATCGAGCGCGCCCAGGCCGTCGCCCGTCTCGCCACCCACAAGACGGCCCTCGACCGCGACGTCAACATTGCCAAAGTCACGGCGGAGCGCACCCTACAAAGCACGGACGAGGACCTGAAGAGAGAAGTCGAGATTAAGCGCGCCGGCGCGGAGCTTGAGCGGCTGAGGGCCACGGACCTCGTCAAGGCGACGATTGAAAAGGAGAGCAAGCAGCAGGAGGCCGACGCGGCCGCGTACAAGGTCGCGGCGGACGCCAAGGCATCGCAGGAGGCCAAGCAGCACGACGCAGACGCCGAAGCGTACAGGATCAGACTAGACGCCGAGGCGAGCAGCTACGCGACGCAGCAGTTGGCCGAAGCGGACAATTTTAGCAAGTTGAAGGAGGCAGAGGGCGTGGCGGCCATGGCCGACGCATACGCCAAGATGTCGACGGCGCTCGGAGGGCCCGCGGGCTTGCTGCAGTACCTCATGATTGAGAAGGGCACCTACGTCGAGCTGGCCAATGCCAACGCCGAAGCCATCCGCGGTCTCGAACCCAAGATTTCCGTTTGGAACACGGGCAGCGCAGCAGGTGGAAGCAACGGCGCGAATGATTCGGCAGAGACGATGCGCAACATATACCAGATGCTGCCGCCGCTCATGACGACTATCAATGAGCAGACGGGCATCACCCTCCCCGAGTGGCAGTTTGGCAAAATGGCCGCTGTTCAAAAGGCAGTGCAGCAGGAGTAAGGTCAAGGTCGACCCCAGTTCAGAGATTGGTTTGCTGAAATGGATCTTCGCAGGGGCTCAAGTTGACCCCGGGAAACCCATCTTTGCTTTTTTGGATTTTTTTCATGATTTCTTTTTTTGAATTTCTTGGATTTGAAACATTTCTGAAATACCCCGCACGCATCAATTATTTTACACAACTTTATTTTCCTTTGTTAAATCGAGAGGATGCTGATATCAGCCTTTTATGATTTTAGATTGAGTTGCCTAGAGAACACTATGATTTCCTTTGTTGAACAACGATACTTTCATCTTACCTTGTCAGCTTCAAACGAGATTGCCACACTTTTACTTTGCTTTGTTCAATCATGATAGTTTATACTAGCATACCAACTTTAATCGAGATTGCTAGACAATTTTTGCCCCTGTTTCATGATGAACATCTTGGCTCATCAACTTGATTCGAGATGGCTACAAGATTCGAATTTTCAGCTTGCTTTACCCCATGCCGCTAGATTTCTCCCTTCATACCCACATAGTATATACATCTCCCCTACCCAGTCTACCCAAATTTGATACCCGAGTTTGGATTCCACGTCCCCGGTGCAGGCTGCTGTCCCTCGCCGCCGCCGCCTCCCGCCTGCGACTGTCCGGCCCCAAATTTGATACCCGCCCCCGGCGCCCACATGCCTCCCATCGGATTCGCCACCGGAGGCATCGGCTGTGGTTGCTGCACGTTGCCTCCCGCACCAGCCCACGATTGAATGGCCGCAGCCTCTCCTGGACCGCCCTGCTGCGGCATACCGCCCGAGTAAGCTTGATGTTGGGGTTGTTGTTGGTACATGCTCTGCGCCTCTTGCTGCTGATACATGCTCTGCGGAGGCGCATTATGTACCGGCGTGTGATTTCTCGATATGTTGAGATTCGACAGCGTCGGCATGTTCAGTTCCCTAATAGCTGTCAGCAAATGTCGTCTTCAAGTTGACAAAAACTTACTCTTCCAAGGCTCTGGCTTCCATGCGACGTTGAGCTACCCACGACTTGGCCACATCCCGGAAACCTTGCCCAACGATTTTGCTCAGGTCGTTGTAAAACTTGCGGCCCACGTCCAGATTGTTGAGAATCTCCTTGTACTTGTAGTACGCCGAATCCAGCCTCTGCAGTGCCTGCTCGCGTTCGCGGTTCGCACGTGAGCTTCCCTTTTGCTTCTGTGCTTGAAACTCGCGATTCGCCCTCTCTAGCTGCGCAACCAGCTCCTCCTGGTCTTTTGCTTCCTTGTCCAGCGTCTCAATCTCTGGCTCGTAAAGCCTGTCCAGTCTCTTGTCAAAGAAATCTTCAAAGTGTGCCGGTACAATACTTGTCGTGGGATATGTGCGTTCCAGCCTGGCCGCTTCTTTGAGGATATCCGGCTTAATGTCATCACGTTTCGTATTCTCCTTCAAATTCTTGATCTTGTTCCGTCTTCTGCTTTCGAGGCGTACCGCATCACTATACGCGCTACGCAGCTTGCCCATCGACGTTCTCAGGTCTTCGCGCATGTCCATCTGGCCACCAGAGGGTACATAGCTTTGTATCCCGCGGTCGGGGCCAGAGAGGATGCGTAGCAACTCTTCATTGTCTGCATATTTCTCTCGCACCACGCCGTCGCTACTCGAGCTGCTCTCGAAATAGCTTTGAATCTCTGTGACGTGATTCCACAGCTTCGCGCCTTGCGGGTCGGTTTTGCTATCTGGACGAGCCCAGCGGTCGGTGCCATACTTGACCCGCAGTTGTTGGTCTTCGTCGTATTCAGTCGCTAGCGCCGTGACACCTTCTTCAAAGATGGCCATGTCGGCTGCCCGCAACTTATCGATGTCGATGAAAGCCTTGTGGATTCGATTGACAGCATCAGCCTGCCGAATCTCTTCGGCATGCTGCACGAGGCTAGGCGGTAGCCCCAGAGGCTTCTCCAGAGCTTGAATTGAGCCAGGCAACCCAAGAGTCGCTAAAACGTTGTGAAATTGTTCCGTCATCGCTTCCAACTCTTGGATAATATTCTGGTCCACCATCCGGTCGCGTCGTTCCTCATAAATGGACACCGCAACGTGTACAGAGAATGGGACCAGGCGAGAGAAGAGAGCTGGCCCAAACTCAGCCTTGTCTCCGAAGAACTCGTACGGATCCGAGACTTGCTTTGGTACTCTAGCAACGGCCATATTTGCTCGGTCGAGGATCTTGAGTTCCGATTTTGGCGGCACAATGTCTAATATGTTAGTGCGCATCACAAAGACACGGCGGCGCCACTTACTAAGAAAGATGATGTCATTGTCCTTTTCTGCCCGCTTCAAATCTTCTTCCACCTTTCGCTTCAGCGCATTCAAGTCTTCAACCACAGTTTTGTTCAGGTATCCGCCCTTGGTCTCCTTGATGCCTTCGTTGATGCACTGTACAGCATCCTGGAGACGTGCCACCTCTTCGCCATATTTCCTCTTCTCCAGGCAGTCACAAGCAGCTCGGTACTGCGCGGCCGCCGCAAAGTGGTGGTGCTTGGCCGTCATGTGGTGTATCCACGCGCTGCTGATGGCTTCGCTCTTGACGGCGGACTCACCGGCCAGATTGTACAGGTCCGAGACGCGCGCGGCGAGTTTGGCAATCGAAGCATCCTTGTAGCCGTCCATAACAGCCTTTTGCCAGAAGCACTCCTGGCTCTGGGCCAGCAGCAGCTGCGTCAGCGACTCGAGCGTGTGCTCGTCCATGTCCTCGGGCGGGTCCGACATGCGCAGCTCCGGCAGCACGCTTGTCTTCATGTGCGACAGCACACCGGCGGCCTGCGAAAAGTAGTTGGCGGCCGTCTTCAGGCCGTCGGTGTTGGCGCGTGATGTGTTGATGGCGAGCTGCGAGTACAACGCTGCAAGGTTGTAGAGAATGTTCATGAGCTCGTACTTGAGGTTGTTGCGGACCATCGGTCGTTCGGTATTATAGCCCAGCGCGGGGTACCATGTGAATTCAGCACCAATCTGCGTCTCTGTAAGTATTCATGAATCTCGGCCGGTGTCTGCAAAGTCTTGACGCACGTCGACTGGAAACTTGCCGCCGATCCAGACTAGCTGCGCGGCGTACGCTTGGAGCTTCTTAATGCCGCTGAAGTGCGGCTCGCGGACATTGATGGCATCTGTCCGTAGCGTATCAATCGCCTCGAGGTCCGGGCGAAACATGTCCGGGTGCTGGTCATACTTGGCGTTGATGTATTGGCGGATCGTGGTGGCGAGCGACAGGTGCCCCGACCGTCGAAACGGCAACGAGAGGATATTGCTGGTCCTGCGTCAGTCAGTCAGAGCTCGGTATTTCGGATCCATCTCGAATCCCTACTTTGAATCCATGGCGCCGGTGTCGCCCCGGAGCGGCAATAGACGCTTTCTGGCGATTGTTGTTTTGCTGTCGGTGGCTCGTGAGCGCTTGTGATGACGTTGGTGGGGGTGCTACTTGGTGGGGTCGATGCCTGCAACATTGGCTGTTGGCAACTAACAAATAAGCAATCAGCAATTTGGTGATATGTTGCACAACATTAGGAGTTTCACTGAAAGGCCTTTTTTCAAAATTAAAATCTCGTTTATTTTTATCAATCTTTTATCCAAATGAACTGTGGCTCATATGCTAGTTTTGCTTCAGGCCGGCAACTACTTGCTCAACTGCACCACAGTACCTCCGTAATCCGTACAGGGCGACAAGATCAAAAAATCAACGTTACGCTACATCAAGTTGATCACCGGCTCATTCGCCTTTATGGAGACATTTGAACAAGGCACGGTGTCATTTCTTACTGTCAGCTCCGTGTGTTATCACAGTCTCACAGACTACTTACTGCCTCTTTCACTTTACAAGGTTCTCCAGGCGGCGCACCTCAAAAAAGGAACAAGATCAAAATTTGAAATAGAACAGAGCTCGCACAAGCAAAAAAAAAAAAAAAACCCTGCTTGTCAGAGCGTTGCCAATGTCTTGCCCCAGCTCAATCAGCCAGAAGCTGCACAAAGTCATGCCGAGGCACAACTCTACAACGGCCGCACTTTATTACTAAGAGTTGCGCAGGCAGATTCAAAGAAGCAGCCTCAATGGGGGATGCACTCCCAGCCAGAAGTTTCAGGCCACCACTCATACCACCCAAAGAGGCAACGTCCCATCTTCAGCGCCAACGCCATCTCGCCTTTTTTCCATCTCAGCCCCTCCTGCATGATAGTTATGCCGCCCAAAAAAAATCCCGACTTCCTGTCCACCCTCGGCCGCTCCAGATGAGTTGTCACAGGCTACTCGAGTGCTGCGTGACACACTCAAATCAGGAGGCGCAGCGCGCTGCCGCATCAGCCAGCCAGCCATCCCTTGGCGGGATTATGGAAACGCAGCCCCCCTTGGCATTTTCTCGGCGCGCTGCTCATTGACACTACGCAACCATCGATGTATATCCAACATTCTTACGGAGCCACGAGCGTACTTTGAGCCTGAAATTTAGCGCCCGTTGCGGCGTTGCATGGCCTTGATGGGCAGGATGGGCAGGATGGATACCTCTTACGCCTCTGTCAGTGGTCGCTGGCCAACCCCTGGTCGCGACGCTGAATGTATCGTATTACCTACCTTTCACGAGGGCCGGGTATGCCGTACATGCGTTTGCCATTCTTGTCCAGCCCTCTCTTTTGGCTGCGTATCCAGTTCTGACCAAGCGACGCCCAGCATTCTTCCCGAAGCTTTGGGGTCTGTGGGCTCCCGTGGATCTCTCTCGCTTGGTCGCCCTTCGTGTTTGTCCTTTTCAATGGTTGCACCCGTAAAAAATGACTGTCCCAGCGGCTCTAGCAGGGCGGGGATAACAGGGTCTCACGGGATGCTTAGCTCGATGTGTTATTAGCTTGGGTTTGTTCCTGAGTGGCCCCCTGTGTCCATTCACCGTGAGATGAGCCCTCTCATCCAGGCTCCTTCGTGGAGTCCTCGTTATTTATTCTTGGCTCTTCGTGTTTGTCGTACATAACTCAGTTACTTGCCGCCTTTTAACCCCTTCCTTCGCAGCAACTCTTGGACCTTTGTTTCAGACTCAACATCACAATAATACACTCGTTTTCAACCTTGTGATCTCTGGACGTTACCGCTCACTTCTGACTTTACTACTACTTCTTACTACTTTTCTTCTTATTCTTCATCGAAAATGTTTTCCAAAATTGCTGTGGCTCTGGCCGCTGTTTCGCTCGTGTCTGCTCAGACCTCGACTGAGTGCAACCCGCTCAAGACTAGTATGCACCGCCTTATCCCTCACCGGCCACGTCATCTTCCCCGTAAGCGCCCTTGAAAATGTTAACATTTTGTCTTCTTTTCTAGCTTGCAAGCCCGATCCTGCTTTTGGCAAAAACGGCGCCAACTGCGACTTCACCGCCGGCGCCTGCGATGGCTTCCACACCATGGCCGGCAAGGCCGTGACCTACGACTCGCGCGGCGCCATTGTCGCCATGGACGCCCCCGGCCAGGCCCCTACGCTGCGTTCCGACAACTATCTCTTCTTTGGCCGCGTCGACGTGGAGATGCAGGCCGCTCCCGGCAAGGGCATCGTGACCTCGCTCGTGCTGCTGTCCGACGACCTCGACGAGATTGACTTTGAGACTGTCGGCTTCGACAACAAGCAGATTCAGTCCAACTACTTCTCCAAGGGCGACGACTCCGTCTTTGACCGTGGCGGCAACCACGCCGTTGACAACCCGCTCGGCGCCATCCACAAGTACACTTTCGAGTGGACTCCCGAGAAGATTGACTGGATCATCAACGGCGCTGTCGTGCGCACCCTCACCCGCGCCGCTGTCGGCGAGGCCTTCCCCCAGAGCCCCATGCAGGTCAAGCTCGGCGCCTGGGTCGCCGGCTACGAGGGCGGCCGCCCGGGTACCATTGAGTGGAGCGGCGGCATCGCCGACTTCTCCAACGGACCTGCCACCGCCATTTACAAGAGCGTCAAGGTTGTCGACTACGCCGGTGGCAGCAGCGCTACCGACAAGGATGTCAAGGAATACGTCTACGGTGACCATTCGGGCAGCGCCAAGAGCATCAAGATCAACCTCAAGGACGGCAGCAGCAGCACTCCCGACGCCAGCGCTCCTGCCTCTTCGACCACCGCCGCCTCGTCTGCCTCATCTGCCTCTACTTCGTCCGCTTCCGCTTCCGCTTCCGCTTCCGCTCCCGCTTCCAGCTCCCAGAAGAGCTCTGTCACTTCGGCCAAGTCCATCACCACTTCGGCTGCGCCCAGCATCATCACCACCGAGGCCCTGCCCACCAAGAACTCGACCAGCACCGTGATTGCGGCCACCAGCTCGGCCGTCAACGGCACCAACGCTACCACCACCCTGACCACGGCGACCGGCTCGCGCACCTCGGCCAGCTCCACCCCAACCCCGCCTCCCACCAGCGGTGCTTCCGGTTCTGGTGCCATGCTCGGTGCTGCTGTCCTCCTCCTCGCTGCCCTTGCCATCTAAGCTTTGCGGCATCTTGTAAGCTGCGGTTTGATGATTCTAGTTTAGATGTGAAAGATACCAAAGAAGAGCATGCACAATGGGACATGTAATCTGCGTTCTCTGCTGTATAAAGTTTATGTGTATTCAAACGATAGATGGAGTAATAGACATTAGGTTCTTGCATCTGCTTGCATCTCTGTTTGCGACACCACTGAAAAGGGCGACTGGATTCTGTGACAGTACTCGATTGACGGGAGACAAAAGGACAAAGGATTAATTGCTACGCTAGAATAAGGGGCGAAGCAATTCAATAAATACTCTGGACATGCTTGATATTAATGAGGTAGCGTTCCAGTTGGCGCCACGCCCCTCATTTCATATTGCCTTGGAGATGCCAAGATGCTGGGGGTTTGTCACAAACATACCAGCGGTTCCCACATGCCCCTCTGTGTTGGTTAGGGCTACACGACAGCAAATAAATGTGTATGAAATTTTTGTCTATTTAAATCCACTCCGGTATGAGATTGATACGCAGAGCCTCCATCTTACAGCTTACTAGGGTCTTCGGGCACCACCATGCCGTCCTGATATCCCGACGCAACATGCTTGCCCTCTGGGCTCCAAATCTTGGACACCATGGTGCAGCGGCCAGCAGCAACCCGCGGCCAGGACGCCTCTTGAACCCACCAGCCGTCGCCGCTCATGACCGCGTCCTCCGCATTGACGTGCACGTAAAAGGCGTAGCTCAAGCTGGCCGCCCTGCCCCATCTGTTTCCGTAGCCCAGGTGGCAGCCGAGCATGGTGATGCCGTTTCTGTCGGCTTCGAAAGCGTGGCAGACAATGTGGCCGTTTGGGTCGTCTCGGGGGATCGGCTCATATGGTCGATAGAGAACCAGCTCACGCCGTTCCGGCACCGCCTTATCCTTGTTGTAGTCTGACAGGTCGACGCGGTACATTTCCAGCACGGGAAAGGTGCCCGGGCCGGGCTTCTGCCCGCTGCGTACGACTTGCTCCTGCACCGAGTCAATGTGGACAATGTAGGGTCGCTGCCACTCTTGTGGGCGTTTCTTTGCGAGGATGCTGGCGAAGCGAACCTGTGGCGATTGCTTTTCCTGGACATTGTCGGGAGAAGGCACGGACCGTTTGAACGTGGTGAGACACGTAAAGCACACCCCGTTCAGCTCTTTGGTTGCATCAGAGGGATCGAAAGTTCCCGTTTCTTGATCTATGACTGATGGCGTTTTTGGCTGTCTTGTCTGCACCAGTCTTGTTGCAAACGACTTGCCCGTGTGCATAGCCGTTACCTCATGCACAAAGGGCCGATCAGAATGGCCAGCAACAGTAAAGACACCTTGTATAGACTGGTCCATCATGTCAGTATTTTCTTCACCTTTTGACAGCTTCTACGTACATGTATTCCCATGTAGCCTTTTCTAGGTGCCTGCGACTGCCTTTCCTCCAACTCGATAGCTCGCGCTGCAGCCAGCGGCGCCTGCGCATACACGACACCACCAAAGACGCCTGGCGTGGTGGACTTTTTCGTTTTTGTCTTGGTCGGCTGTTCCTCCACACCGGGGGGCAGGTCAGCGCTTGGCCGCCATGCAGGATATCTCGATGCGTATTGCACGGTAGAGCCGGGGACTTTGATGACCTCGAAAGCCTCATAGCCGAGGCGGACCGGCGTGTCAGCCATGATGAGTCTGGCAAAAGCTGCCAACACCCATTGATTGACCAATCGAGTGTCTGGATAAAATTCCGTCTTGGCCTTTATATGTTAATTCCGAGGCTGCAGATATGGGCGCATTGTATATTTGTAGGACATGAAGCGGTTGTCTGCGCCAAAGGTTTGGTGTACCTCGGCAATTTGGCAGCGGAATCTGGAGCCAGTCCAGCTTCAGCGGGCTACGGCACGGAATTTAGTGCGGCCCCATGGGGAACACTGTACAGTTCACAATTTAGCAAGTAAATACATTAGCATCACCAGTACGTTTGTAAAAGAGTAAAGACTTGATCATCTCTGAAATAAGTGGATTTCGCCATGTGTAGCCGTATCTCATGGCTGTATGCGTAGCTCCGCGAAGCCCTCGCAGGCATACAGCAACTACAACCTCATCTGTGACGGGCCTTGGACAGGAAGCTTCGAGGCTCTGTCTTTAGCGATATCACACATTGCCTGCAGTCAAAGTTAGTTGTCACCTTCAGTGATGGTATATATTAGGAGGTCATACATGAAGTGCTGCGTCGACCTCTTTGTTAAAGTCACCTCTGTCCATGCGCGCCTTCATATCCTCCATGATTTCCGCCCTGCCTCTTCCATTCACAAAGACGACATAGCGCAAACCAGGAAACTTTTCTTCATATTCGCGGTTGAGTCTTGCCAGGACTTCGCTCTCGCCGCCTAGTCTGGCTTGCTCGGCCACTGACTGTGCAGACTCTACCTTTTTCGCCCCGAGACGAGGATGTGAGCCCAATATGGAAAGCAAATCTTGGTCGGGTTTGGCCGCTGTTGACTTGGAAGCCATGGAAAGAAAAGTTTCCCGACAGGATTCGATTAGTTCATCGTAAGACGTGTGATGCTGGGAGTCTATCACCGGGATCGACGCCTTGTGGATTTCGGGGCTCGGCTCGAACAAGAGGTCCAATGCCGCCGATTTGCGCGCATCAGATAGACTTCTTAGGTCCTTGATGTTTGGTAATCTTGGAGAACTCATGTTGAGCGCTGAAGATGCAAGGATATGTTTTGTGCAAATGACTGACTGTTGGGTCTTCAACATTAGTCTCTCAGTACAGGGTGGCGCCGTCTCTTTGTCGGCGGCTTCCGATGGTGGAGCCCGCAGCCAATACAGCATCATTGTGTAAGGAAACCTGCACAATAGTTGGCGCGAACGGTTGTGTTACTCTCAATCTTTTCTTTGAACAAGGTGTTGCATTCGAACACCAAACATCATATTTTGGCAATACCGGTGTTGGCCCCTGTGTTACATTGTGAGGTGTTAATGGAGAGCTGCTGCGACCAGATTTTCTCACGCAACCAAAGTTCCCTGAGGAGAAAAGAGTCTCTCAGATCACAATGTAATTACCGACTATTGATCTGCAAATATCTACTATTTGCTCCAGAATGTTGTTGTATTTGCAGCTTGACGACAACAGCTACAGAGTTGGTCCTGTCCCCATGATATCCACGACCTGAGCTCTGATTGGCCAGCCGCGCTAGGCGGAAAATCTCACTGGGACAAGTCAACGATTGCGACAAAGCAGCTTCATTAGGTCGCAGCGGTGCTCTTTTCTACACATCACCATTGAAAGCCACCGGAGCTTTCAGCATCAGTCGCAATGCTTTGTGGAAGTGAGCATGCAATTTCAATCGCGTCTTGTCCTCTTTGTCCCCTTGCTAATACCGCCCGTAGTCTCTGGAGAAGCTCCTCAAGAGCCCGTCGCGTCGAAAAAGTCAGGTTCGTCGCATCGCAAACATCTGCAGGCCGCCGCCTTCGACTCCCATTCCGGTGACTAACAAAATTTCCACCGCAGGTGTCGTGTACGAGAAGCGGCTCATCGAGCAATACATCAACGAGCACGGTACCGAGCCCAGCACGGGCGAGGCTCTCACGGCCGAAGACCTCCTCCCCATCAACTCGTCGCGCATCGTCCGCCCGCGCCCGCCTACACTGACATCGATACCCGCGCTGCTCGCCACGTTTCAGAACGAGTGGGATAGCCTCGCATTAGAAACATATAACCTGCGTGAGCAGCTTGCGCGCACGCGAGAGGAGCTAGCCACCGCCCTGTACCAACATGATGCCGCCGTTCGCGTCATCGCCCGTCTGACCAAGGAGAGGAACGAGGCTAGAGATGCTTTGAGCAAGATTACCGTCTCCGGTAGTGGTGCCAACGCCGACGAGATGGCGGTGGACACAGAAGGCCTGCCAGAGGACCTGGCGGCTCGCGTAGACGAGGTTCACCAAGAGTACGTCGAGATGCAAACCACACCCGGGAGCTACAAACTAATGTTGGTGCTAGACTTTCCAAGGGTCGCAAGAAACGTCCTGTCCCCCAAGACTGGGTCACTCCCAGCGAAATCGCCGCTTTCGAGGTGACAGCTACGAACGCGCTGCCTGTCGCGCAAACAACCTGCTTGGATACCGAGGGCGCCTACGCTGCTGTGGGAGGTCTGCAGGGACAGGCGGCCATATACGCTGTTGCAGCCGACTCGCTGGAGCGCGAGATTTCCGTGGGCGAACCCGCGACCAGCACGCTCTGGACGGGCTCCAAGCTCATCTTTGGCACCAATAATGGCGGGCTCAAGGTCTTTGAAGGCGGCAACCAGGTGGCTGCTGCTTCCGAGCACTCGGGCCCTACCACTGGTCTAAGCATCCATCCTAGCGGCGATATTGTTGCCTCTGTCGGAACTGATAAGAGCCTTGTGCTATACGATTTGGCCAGCCTGAAGCGCGTGAGCCGCACATTTGTTGATGCCTGTACGTTTGACTCCTATTTCCCTTGGACCAGCCCAAGCTAACTTGAACAGCACTCACAACCGTGGCTTTCCACCCCGACGGACACCTTGTCGCCGCCGGCACCGTCACGGGCGACGTGAGACTATACATAACCAAGACGCTCGAGCAGGCGGCCGTCTTCAAGCTGGGCGCCCCCGTCCAAGCGCTCACATTCTCCGAGAACGGTTTCTGGCTAGCAGCGACGGCCAAGGGCCAAAACACGGTCACCGTCTTTGACCTCCGCAAAGAGGGCGACGCCGCGACGGCCAAGGTCCTCGAGACTGGCGGCGCCGTGCAGTCGCTCGCGTGGGACTACACGGGCCAATACCTGGCCACGGCCGGGCCCTCTGGACTAACAATCCAGCAGTACGCCAAGGGCAACAAGAAGTGGGCGGAGCCGTTCCGCAACGCCACGGGCGCGATCGCGGTGCGATGGGGCGAGTCGGGCAAGACGCTGGTGGCTGTCAACGGGGATGGTGTCATCAGCGTCGTTGGCGTCAAGGCTCAGGCGGATGGAGAAGCGGAATGAGATGTTTGGGTCTGCATCGGATCTGCGAATATAAACAGGTGCAAGTAATGTTTTCTAGCCCAAAGATGGCAATTCAAAAGGCAGTGGCACAAACGTGGATTTACTGGTTACTGTAGCTGTGTATGTATCTTTTTATTGAATTAGCAGCCGGCTGAGTCCAGGCGGAATTTGGAGGTTAATGCTATGATTGTTGAGATGCTTGTAATGTGTTGGAGTAGCAGACTGCAAATCGACAATGGCATGAGACTCCTTGTTCCGAATATAGCATTCATTCGTCAATAATAGCATGTTCAAGAGCTTTGGACTGTATCCGGCGACTCCGCGATCAACCTGCCATACACAGTACTGCACGGTCGGATCATCGGCATCCGATTACCGCAACTCGCCGCAACATGACATAGCGGAGACGGCGGCGAGGCGCAAGGTGTCCTCGGCGACGTCAGAACCCCGTTGCCCGCCAACCTTTTTGGAATCCAGCATCACTAGCTTTCAAAAGCACTGCTTCCTATGCCGATGGTCCGAGCTCGACTGAGGACCATTACTCCAGCTTTATAAAGCGAGCTCCAGCAAATCCAGCCTGTGGTCGTGTTCGCTTCGTCGGCATCCGAACTTAGCTTGCGCCCCGCCAAAGCACGCCATCGCCCTCATGGCCCTTATTTGTGGTGGCGGGCCAGCAACCTGCCCGTCAGGATGACAAAATAGCCATGATTTGGGTGTAGCTTACAGATCAAACCAAAAAATTGCCGAGCCGCTCTTTCAATCCAAATACAGGTAGATCCATTCAGGGCTATAATAACATCCTCGCCCGTCTTGCGAGCTTTTTTAGCTTCTTTAATCTTTTAACTATATTACATCACGACCACAAACGACAACCCCCCCCACCAACAAACCCCTCTTCTCCAACAACTTTCCAGAAAAGAAGAAAAAAAAAAAGAAAAAGAAACGAAAAGAAAACACCGCAATCATGTCCGTCATCGAAATCACGTCCAAGGCCCAGTTTGACGAGCTCATCAAAAAGACGCCCTACGTCGCGCTGCAAGCCCACGCCGTCTGGTGCGGCCCCTGCAAGGCCATTTCGCCCTTCTTCACCAAGTTTGCCGCGTCCCTCAGCGTCCCCGAAAAGTACACCTTTGCGCGCTTCGACACCGACGAGGTGCCCGACCTCGCCTTTGAGCTCGGCGTCCGCTCCATCCCCGCCTTCTTCTTCTTTGAAAACGGCGACAAGACGGAGGATCTGACGGCGCCGAAACCCCCCGCCCTGCAAAAGGTCATTGAGGACCTGTCGACCAAGGCCAAGGCCAAGGCCGGCGGCGGCGGCGGCGATGCTGTGAGTGCGACTACAACAACGGCGGCTGCGGCTGCCGCTGATGATGATGGTGGTGCACATCTCTAATGGCGGTTTTTTAATTTTTTCTTTTCGGCATTTGGACAGTTTTCGACGAGCGAAGAATTCTAAAGCGCGCGCGATTTGGCGAATCAATATGCACGAAAATACCGCTCAACACCTAGATGATCTTATACCCGAGGCGGACAAGTACAGTCTTTTCACGACAAAAAGACGTGTCGCAGCTGGCAAAATAGCTACTCGTCACAAATAAACAACATTCAAATACCTCTTGACCAGGATTCGCGTTCACATTTCTCTGTTGGAAGCGCGTCAACTAGCACGCAAGATTGACACGAGCACTAAAGTCATATGTATACATGTTACATTGTAAATTCATCGCTATCCAACTCCACGCTTTGCAGCTTGTAAATTTCAACAAAGTATAATGCTTCCCAGTCATGGGCAAATGAGCCAACAAGTTCTGCCACCCGCTCCCCTAGAAAGCAACCATACGCCTATGTCCATCGAATTCGCTCCACGTTATAACCCAAGTTACGACAAACGCCTACTCGCTCACTTCACTCGATGTGCCGCTCACCTGACCGAACCCAGAGTCGGTCCGCTTCTTGCTCGGCGACTCTTGGGGCCGCTTGCTACCGACTACGACACTCCGCGGCTGCTCGTGACTCGCGGGTTGTGAAAGCACCTCTGACTCCACGTCGCTTGTCGCCGAGGTGGATACGACTGGGAGCATTGAACGTCGTCGGCTGGTTTCGTCGCTGTTTGCAATCAGACGGCGCAAATCCTTCACACCCATGCTGCGACGGTGGTCTTGTCCCGATCGTTCCGTCGATGTGCTTGTCCGCCGCGACCCGCTGCTCGGCTTGTCGCCGACAGCGCTACTATTGGTCACGTTGCGCAGCCCAGAAACCCCTCCCCGCCAGCGACTGAGATTCCAGAAGCTGCCATCACGACCACCATCCTGTGTGTCCGAGTCTGAAACACTAACCAGGCTAAAGCTTGGCGTCGGCGGGACGGCAGGCCCCTTGTTCTGGTCCGCAATTTTGTCAACAACTTTAGCAGGCTCCAGACTCGTGGGTGTCGTCCGACCGCGCTTCTGCATATTGCTGTTGCTCCTCTTTCTAGACGCCGGCGACGCAATATATGGCTGCTTTCTGGCTTCAGACGCTAGGGTCGAGGCTGACACATTGAACGGGGTTCGGATAACGCTCTTGGATGGTGACACCGACCGTTCACTCCGTGTTGTCGGTAGTCCAGTCGAGTTTCGTCCGCCTTCGATATCCTGTTGCCAGCTCATGATTCTGTCCGAAGCCTGATTCGGCGCCAAGTTGCCACTCGTGCTCAGAGATCCGCGTCGAGAGTGAACACGGCTGCCACCGCTCGTCCTTGTCGCCAAGCTGGAACTGCGGCCAACGCCAGCGACCTTGCCGGAAAACTTGGATCCCGTCTCCCACAGGCTTTGATGCCGCTTCACAGCCGCACAGTCTTGCCTGAAAACTTTGATAATTCCTTTCCGATCTGTAGTAATGATAATGTTTCCATGCTTGTGCTTCGACCGTTCGATGTAAGCGGGACTCTCATTCTGCTTCTTGATGCTGCCTGGCACATCCGATTGCGTGACCTCGGAAAGGGCGCTCTGACTGATGGTGGCCTCGCTCAAGCTCATGAGCGTCACCGGCGGGGGGTTACACAGGTCGTATATTGGGTCGCCAGAAGCGCCTAGGAGTTGCTTGGTAGCAATGGGAGCCATTAGGGCAACCGTCACCACTTCTGGATGCGCATCAAAGCACTCATACGGCTGCCTATCGCGTACTTCGAGCTCGGGGTGAGAAATGTCCCATATATATGCTTTGCGATCCTCGCTGCCCGAGGTCACGAATTGACCGTCGTCGCTGAATCGGGCGTGAATCTGACTTGACATATTCTCGTGACCTTTGAACTTGGCCTCCAACATCCGCGTTCTCAAGCTGTAAATGCGCACCCGCGAGTCGTTGGAGCTAATGAGCACCTTGACATCAGCCTGATGGGATCCTGGGGCGGAGACCGTCTTCGTGCGAATGCCGGTTATCTTACTGCCCTTGGCATTTTTGCCGCGTGACGAGCGAACATGAATCTGCCAGGAGTTTTTGAGGCCCTCCGTCTCATAAAATATGCAAATGCCGCTCAGAAGGCCACATATAGCTGTCTTACCGTTTGGTGTAAACGCCACGGCCGTGATAAATTCGCCTGTCGGGGCAGAAAAAGCGACTGATTTGTCGGGGATGCTCCACAGCCGCAACTGCTCATCCAATGATCCAGCAAGAAAGAATCGGTCATCGGTTGGATGAAACGCAATAGAGGTCACAAGATCATCGTGCTTGAAGGTGCATAAACTTTCCTGCCGGCTGAGGTGCCACAACTGCACAGTCTTGTCCATAGAGGAGGACAATAGGAAATTGTTCTTGCTCCAGCTTAGAGCGAGAACCTCTCCACCGTGACCTTCGAATTCGCGGACGGGTTTGCTACGGAAGACAGGAGCACTCAGCCGTCCCTGCTTGGAACGGCTCTCTTTCTCGGCGTCTTCTTGCTCCTGCTCCTCTTCGTATGCTTGTCGCTCCTCGGGTGTCGAAAGCACGGCGTAGACGCGAACAACATGGTCCATGCCGGCAACTGCGAGATACCGACCGTCGATGCTGAATTCAGCCGCCCAGATTGCATCTCCTCCTTTGAGAATCTTACTTCCGACGACGGTGGCGGGTGCGTGCTTGGAGTGGCCATCTTCTTTCTTGGCGCCAGAAAGCTCCTGAGCAAGAAATAAGTGATTGAAGCTGCGCGACTTTTTATTGTGTGCCTTGACTCGAATATATCGGGGTGGTTCCTTGTGCAGCGGGAGATAACCACCTCCGGCGCCCATGACCGCGGTCAGAGCGCGGGCATTGGTTCCATCAGTGCGGATTTGGTCGCCGAATTCCGAATCCGTGTCGATATCATTATCTTTTCGAAAAGGTCCTCGAATAGACAGACGACTGAGAAAAGACGCCCCTTTTTTGCGCTCCTTGATGCTATCAGGGCGCACGCTGGGTGTCGAGTCGTGGCTGGGTCGGCCTATGCTGTCGGGAGTCGGGCTGTCCGGTCTGCCGGCATTGAGCAGGCGCTGAGCAATGGTGGGTTCGGTACTGCTATTTGTGCGAAGGTATATTTGCTATACAAGTCAGTAGGGCGCAACCTGGTCCAAGCGGCGGAGCACATACAGTGCTAAGAGGATCCAAGCCAGAGCTGTGGGCTTGGTTTGATGTGCTGGGCTTTAACGTATTCTTTGACTGGTTGTCTTTACTGACTGGCGGACCGGCGCTGCGAGAATGCTTGGAGGTTGGACGTCGACTGATGATTGGACTAAGCGATTCGGAGCCGTTCTCATCCACTGAGAGCCAATTAGCATGACCTTTAATTGCTGATAGACTGATCGCGGGACTGACCTGAAGGCGACTTGGCGATAGCGCGTGAGTGCCGATCTTGGTCTCTGGCCGAGTGCAGATCGCCAGCAAGCGCAGGCGAAGAAACGTAGGTGGTCATATTTCCATGCTAGCAAAGAGAAAAGCAATGTATGATTGCAGCAAAGAAAGTTGTTGGCGCCAGCGCAGGCTCAAGTCGTTGGCATCACGAAACGCAAAAGTAGCAAAAAACTAAGAGGCGCAGGACAGGGATTGAGTGTCAGTCTGAGCTAACCTCCAAGAACAGCATTCGTAGGGGAGAAAGGCGACTGAGGATAGCCACGGGCGAGAGGCGGCAGCGAAGATGCGTCTTGCACTTGTCGAACCGGAAAGATAAGTTTTCGATATTCGGCGGTGGTTTAATTTATTTCGGGCTAGCAATGTAGGGCGATTGAAGAAGGGCGACAGCGAAAGACTGAGAAGGGCGAATATTGTCACTGCAGAATTTTCCAGGCTCTAGATGTAACGCAGGAAAAGGAACAAAAAATAAATGTGATGGTCGGGATGACCTGACCGCTGCCACGAGCGCCGCGGCAAGCTCGCTAGCTAATTTAGTTGCGTTCTGGTCGGAGTCTTGTAGTCTCCGTGGCCGTGAGGTCCGCAAGAGCAAAACAACTGCTGGACAAGGGCGGAGTTATAGCGCCGGAAGGGAGGGGGCGTCCAGGTTCGGAGGTTTGTAGCGGATGAAGCCGAAAATTGTAACGAGTAATAATAGATTGAAGAAGGAGCCGAGTCAGGGCTGGAATAGCAAAGTAATTGATTTGACTTTAGTATCGATGACGGCAGGGACGGAATGTTTGAGGGCGACGCAGGCCGGATTCAGTTGCTGCTGGGGAAAGGCTCAATGCGATTTAAACTTTGATGGAGAAGAGAAATGGGAATAAGGCTGAGAGGCGATGGGAAGATAATTTGAGGAGGAAAATGTTGAAACGGAGTGGAAAATTGTTGACAAGCGAAGAATGCAGGTGGCGGATGTACCGTGGCGAATGTTGGTGATGGGAGAATAAAGACGTTACAAACAGGGAAGCGCGCCGATGATGGCGGCCGGCAGCTGGCAGTTCTAGACTGGTAAATAGTGCAAATAAAAGGACGACAGCACCACGACATCGCTGATGGAGGGGCACCCTTCGGCCCACGCTATTTTCAGCGCACTGACTTGTACCTTCTGACAATACTCGTCGTGATGCTGTCACTAAGTAAATAGATATGACCATGGCTAACGTTAGCCATCGGTGCAGCGTCAGGTACCATGCAATAGTGGCTTATTTCGTGTATGACAGGGCTATTAGATAACGATTTGCTTGTTGCTTGGCATCCGTCTTCTGGTATCGTCACGCCCATCCAGCCCACGCCGGAAAACCATGCCTCGCTGCCTTCATTGGCAGCCCCGTCTTTGGTCAATCAAACTGTCCTCGCATGTCCTCTTACTTTTCAGGGCGGGGGAGTTCGTCATCCAGGCCCCAGACTGGCATCTGAAACTTTCAAAGCGAGCCTGCCCCGTCGTTGCTCCATCCAGACGGATCCATAGGTAGGTACCTAGGTAGGTGTCAGCGGCGCGATGCTACTTGCAGGGCTTGCCCGGGCAGCCGTCTTTTTCCTGTAGGCTGTCCCTTTGGTTTCACCCATCATGTTGGCACAGACTAAGATAATTACCAAGTAATGGTTACAAGACACTGGAGTAACTTTGGTAACCAATTGTTGTCAGTTGATGGTGGCGCCACCGTCTGCCCCCGTCGACGGATACATACCTACCTGAACCGTCTGGCTGGACACGTTGGGGAGCCTCCTGTGGACGCCAAGGAGCTAATACCACACGGAACTAGGCTGCTGCAAGTGTTATCGGGGCAACACGCTGCATCATCAGCGAGGCAACCACAAGAAGAGGGCTGCAGCGAATCCTCGGCGAATGCCATCACTTCAGTAATACGTCGTGCGTAAGTGGCTGCTTGCTTGTTTACTTCGCATGCGTCCTGCTTAGTTACAGCGAGCTGCTCATCTCGATCTCGCAGCGCTAGAAATCACCCAGCCCGCTCTGCCCGCCCATCCATCTCAAGTTGCTCCCTCCGTAGATTCCGTACCTATTTGCCATACTCCGTATTACTTACCCCTCCAACCCTCGTTGCCCGACCAGGTTGTCTTCTGTTCCCGCCAAGACCTATCTCGCTTTCTCGATCTGGGACCGATGGAGCTACTCACAAGTTACAACTGGGAGAGAATAGAAGACAGAGAATAGATAAAGTGTGATTGTATTCCGTACCCGGTCGGTTCGATTTCTTCCCCGCAGTCGTCGTAATTAACAACCTAAATTTAGTCTGAACACGAAAAAAGTTGAGAAGCCATGCTCAAACTGTCTTTCTTGACCTAAGGTTTACTACAATCTACATACAGTACGCGTACTGCTGCAGGGGCCTCGCAGCCTCGCATTTGAATCCGAGCCCACATCACAAGCCTGCGAGACTATGCGAGTAAATACCAGTATATACCTGCATACTTAGACTGGTAGTCTCCTCGTTGCAATTGTGGGCTAAATAAATATCAACTACTCCCGGTTCGGCCGTGCAACGACTCGGCTCGAATCGCGACCTAGGCCGTTTCGCGAGATGACCTTTGAAAATCTTGGGCATCATCATGACATAATACGCTCGCTTTTGGTTTGGTAACCTGGTGCCTGGCTGGACAGGCAACGGTAGAGCAGAACACCACTGTAATGTTCTCTTCATGCCTTGCAACTCTGGCATTGTCATCGATTGCAACTCGCGTCTCTTTGTGTTGTGGAAATCTCTCGGTGCAGCTGCTTGTTGTGTGCCAGCTTCCCCTCCCCACCCCGAGTTATCCTCACCCTTGCCTACTTTCAGCCCCTTCTTACCGCAAAAATGCGCGCATGTCTGTCTCCGTTTGGCATGAATAGGCCGCACCGCGCGCATTGTACAATTTATTGCCTCGCAGCCCTGGACGCGAAAATGTGCGCCAACACATCCGGCTTTCCGTGAGGCTTTAGCACGGGGTACACCAATCCGCTGCTGTGCTTGACCTCCGCATCCCATGACTCTTCATCTCCCTCGAGGCTCAGCTGCACCTTGCCGTCGGGCCGCCCTCGCGCGGTCTCAATCGCCGCCGTGAGCTCGTCGAGGCTGTACTTGTTTCCTCTGACGTGCGTAATTTTCTGTGAAGGCGCCAGGCCGGCCTCATCCGCGCGGCTGAAGCGCTGCACGTCCACCACCTTGCCGTCCTGGTCGACGCGCACACCCAATGAGTGCCATACGGCAAGCCGGCGCTGCGCGACGGGCACGGGCGCTTCAATCGGCTCGAGCGTGTAAGAAAACTTGTAGCCAGCGCGCTCGAAGCCCTCCGTGTTGACCTGTGCCTGCGGCGTTTGCACGCGCTCGCGAAAGAAGCGCGCCCAGTCGAACGGAAGCGTCTCGTTGAGTGTCGACACGACTTCGTTCAATGTGTAAGGAACGACAAGCGGCTGCGTCGCCCCCGCCACGTCAAAGAACTTTCGTGCAAAGTCGTCCAAGCTCTTGGCCCCGTGGCTGCGCTCGCGGATCAAGGTGTCGGCGTCGAGCCAAAGCAGGACGCCCTCGTCGTAGTAGTCGAAGCCACGCACGTAGCTGCCCCATTCGCTGGACCCCCCGACTCTGAGAGGCACGCCTATGGCCGTGTCCTCGGTCGAGCGCCAACCACGACCTGACTGGCACTGCATGTTGGCGATGGCGAGGGCAAGCTTGGTCTTGATGGTGCTCGGGGCTGACAAGCCGGACCGCGCCGCCAGCACGAGGCCGTAGTATTGCGTGAGACCCTCGTACACCCACAGCAGCGTGTCGTCGAGCGGCGCGGTGAAGTCACTCGGGACGTGTCCTGCGGGGCGGCGATACTTGCCGTTCCACACATGGAAGTATTCGTGGCTGAAGACATTGGCTACCCAATCGAAAAGGTCGAGATCGGCAAAGACCCTGCTAGAAGTGATGAGATGGCACGATTCGGCGTGCTCGATGCCGCCTCCACTGCCGCGCAGCTCGCCTGGTACAAGTATGTCGGATGAGACGGACAGAAATTTGTATTGCTGATAAGGTCCTGGTCCTAAGAGCGCCCTGACTTCACCGATGAGCCTTTCAAGCTTGTCAAGCCGATCCTGCGGGATATTGAGGAGCTGCGGGTCGCTAAAGGCAACGCAGAGCTGGTGTTTGCCATCCTTGGTAATATCGGACTGGCTCAGATACTGCCCAACAAGCACTGGCGAATCCTCGAGTCTTTCCGCCGACACTGGCTTGAAGATGATGGTCTTGTAAGCGCCCTCAGGGGCAGCTTCCCCTGTCTCAGTGACCAAGCTTGTTGCGTAATCCCAATTTCCCGGAATTCGAATAGTTGCCTGTATTGGGATTTTAGACACTTGAGAGTAGGCCGGGTGTAGCATAAACGCTTCCCACGAGGCCATGACCATGCGCCTCGTCAGTTGGCTCTTCAAAATGGCATCGAAGCTGGCGCGCACCGTCGTCACCCCGCTGGGGATGTCCACATGGTAAATGTGAGTCCGCGTAGCGTCGCGGCGCCACTTGAGCACCGTGTGGCCATTGTCAGTGGTGAAGAAGAGCCCCGCGATGCGACCGACGGGACCGCTGGGCATGTGCGTAGCGCAAAACCATAGAGGTGTTGTGAAGCTCGCCGTGGTGTTGGGCCGGACGGGCAGGTCGGCCACGACGTGAGCGAGACGGCGCGGAGCGTCCGTCAGGTCAACGGTGAGCTGAATGATTCGCATGGTTGCTGTGAGTTTGAATTTATTCCCAATAACTCGTAGAGTCGTGGTGGGGGTGTTTGAGTAATTTGAGTGCTCAGAAACGCGGGGTTGGCATGACAGCCTCGCCAGATTGTGTGAGACACCCGGATACGGTACCCAATGATGCGATCGCGCAGGGGAGTTTGGCAGAGCTTGCGAGTCGAATTTACACATTCCGAAATCACAATGGTGCAACCAAGTCGTCATGTGTTGAGTGAGTGGTAAGTAGCAGGCTATATTTGGTTTCCTGACTTTGTTCCACCATCTACAGCTAGTCATCAGTGGTGATGTTTCGGCTGACAGTATCACGGAAGCTTGTTGGACTCTGCAGACCTCAGCCCAGCAGGGCCTGGTCACACGACGAAAGAGGCGACTCTGCGTGCTATGGAACAATATAGTCGATTAATCTCGATTTTATTTGTCTGAGTGTCACAGTCGCGGTGTTGCTATCCCACAGAGAATGATCAAACCTGATAGACAAGACTTTGATGTCGGTCATCATGATCGTTTGCTTTTCAATATCTGAAAAAGATACTTGCGTGCATTTATAAGCCTCAGGAAGCTTTCGATTGTCATTGGCACCTATCAGGCGAGGACTGCAGGCATAACAACCTCGCGTGGCATGCGCCAATGCCCATTATAGAAATCCGCGGCACCTTTCCACCATCGACATTGACTAAATACACTATCGAAGGAATCTTATAGAAACTCTTATTGCTCGCCCGTTTGAAAAATATGCTTAATAAATCTTCCATACCAACCTTGAATGCGTCATCGGTGACTCGAAGCCGTAGCGCCACACTTGACAGCGCCACCCCCACTACGCTGTGCCTGAAGTGCCCAATCCGAGCTTGAACTCGCCTCCGTTTGAGGAGGGGCAGTCTTTCGAATCTTCATACGCCTGACCGCATATATAAAATCGCCTGACCGACTCTGCCGCTGCGACTTTTGTTCTGCGACAGCACAGATGCAATCAGCCCAATAACCCGACCCCAAATATACATACAGCGATCGTCAACATGAAGCTGCTATCACAAAAGCAGTTCAAAGACGTCGAGGAGGAGCAGGTCACTCTCCAACCAGACGAGCCCGAGGATATGGTAATTACGATCAAGGACCCCAGAACCACATATATGCGCATTCTCTAAATGTTTCCCTGTATAGTGGCACGCATATAATCTCATCGTCGTCGGCGACCGTGTTCGCGGCCACGCCATCCGCAAAGTCAGCCTCACCAACGGCGGCACCGGCACTGTCCAGTCGGAGCGTGTACACGTCGACCTCACCGTCAAAGTCAAGTCGCTCTTTTTCGACCCGGCTGCCTCGTCGCTGCGCGTCTCCGGCACCATCTGCTCCGAGAACGAGTACGCCCCCCTCGGCTCCCACCACACGCTCGATCTCGAGGTCGACCGCCCGTTTACCCTCATCAAGGCTCACGGCTGGGACAGCGTAGCCCGCGAGGCGCTCACACAGGGCCTCGGCGACGACCGAAACCGCGCGACCGCGACCGTCGTCATGCAGGAGGGCCTCGCCAACATCTGCCTAATCACCGAGTTTCGCACAATTTTCAAGGCCCGCGTTGACCATGTCGTGCCTAAAAAGAGAGATGCTGCCGCAACGCAGGACGCGGGCATTAAAAAGTTTTACGAAAAGACGCTTGCGACTCTTTTGAGGTCGGTAGACTTTGCAGCGCCGCGTCCGCTGCTACTAGCCAGCCCTGGCTTCATTGCCACAGACTTCAAGGACTACATTGCGCAACAAGGCCGTGACAAGTCCGACAAGATACTGACCTCGGTCGCCAAGCAAGCTACAGTCATTCACTCAAATTCAGGTCACATGCACAGTCTGCGCGAGGTGCTTAAGAGCCCAGCCGTCTTAGCCCAGATGCGCGACATGAACTTTGCCAAGGAGGCGCAGCTGATGGATACATTCTTTGAGCTATTGAAGCGCGACGATGGCCGCGCATGGTATGGCTCGCACGCCATCAACAAGGCTATTGCGGACGGCGCTGTCGGCCCTGGTGGCGGCGTGCTACTCATCAATAACTCGCTGTTTCGTAGCAACGACCTGGCGGTTCGCAAAAAGTACGTGGCGCTGGTCGACAAGGTCAAGCTGGATGGCGGCGAGACGAGGGTGCTCGGCAGCGATCACGAAAGCGGACAGCGTCTCAAGATGCTGGGTGATATTGCGGCAATATTGAATTATCCCATGCATGACTTGGACGAAGATGAAGAGGACGAGGTACAGCCTGAGATTGATAGAACTAGACATGAAGAGGACGATGTGGGCATGCTGGACAGTGTCATTTGAGCGTCATATAGAATGGAAAATAAAGTAAAATTGGAAATACCTCAAAAAGTGGATTACCAACTCATTTCTAAAGCTCTTCATTCACCAAATATACCAATATTTAATGATGAGGTCGCGGTGCCTGTGGCCTCCAAGTGCCGATGTTCCAAGCCTTCAAAAGGTGCCTCGTACAGAACTTTTGCCATTGGGGTTGAAGAAGAGAAGAAAATATGAACTCCTTCATAGAAAATATTGCCTTGGGGGATTTTTTCTAGCCTGCTCTGCCGGGTTTAACGTCCAGGTACAGTCGCCTGAGTCTTCTACTGATAGCCTGTAGCCCTGAAATGGCCACATTGGGAGTCTTCAGGCCGAGCGGGTGCAGACGCGCACCGCGATGTATTTGAACAGCAGATAAACCGTCATCTGGACTCACGACCATCCAGAATTTGTTGGTATTACCGAGAAATTATCGCTACAGTCGGGACGAGAAAATCCGCCCTTCATGGCAAGGCCTGATGGGACACACCATGGCGAAAAGACAAGGAAATCTGCCCCTTTTTGAGATGTACAGGTACAAATCAAGAATGTGCGGAAAGGGACCGAAAACTTGTGTGATTCCTAAGATCTTCTCCAATTGGCTGGCGCTGGAGGATCTGCGCCTCCCCGGTAGCCCTACCCGTCCTGCCTCCACCTCCCTTTCGCGACGTCTGTTGGTCCAGTTATTGGCGGCGTCACCTACTGGCTTCAAGTGTTTACCTCCAAGTGATTATCACTGTCCTTGGTTTGCTCATTAGCTTTCGCTCCTCGTTATCTATCCTGTCAAGACCACGTCTCTCCGTTGTTCGCGGCATGACTGCTGCCGCTACTGTTCGAAAATCTACTACCTTTGCTGCCATTCTGCCTCTAGCCATTTTTTCTGCATTCGTTGCTAGCTATTGGTTTGCTTTCGGCGACGCCTGGATCATGCACCCGTGTGATGTCCATCAGCCGCACTGGCAGACTGTCGTCTCTGAGAAGAGGGCTGAGCTGGCAGCCAAAATACCCCAGGAGTGGCTGCTTTCTCAAAGGGTGATTGACCATGCCAGGAGTAGACGCAGTATTGCCGGGGACTTTTTGGACAGCCTGCTCGACTCACATACCAGAGACATTACCACACGAGAGCCTACCGAGATTGTTCGCGAAATAGCTTCTGGAAATCTATCATCTGTGGAGGTTGTGACAGCATTCTGCAAACGTGCTTCATATATCCATCAAACCGTAAGTAACCCGTACACGCAATCTACCTCCCAAGCTAATAACGGCCTACCCAGAGCCCCGCGTTTCTCGAGATTGGTTTTGACTTGGCTCTTTCGAGGGCGAAAGAGCTGGACGAATATTTCAACACCCATGGCCAGACAGTTGGTCCGCTCCACGGCCTTCCGATTACGCTCAAGGATCATTTCCATATCAAGGGGCTTGAAACCAGCTTTGGCTACGTTGGGTGGATAGGAACTTTTGAAGGCATCAAGGGCACCGGTAAGGAGAAGAATGTTGAGAGTGAGCTGATCCGCCAACTCGTCAGCGTGGGCGCTGTGCCCATTGCCAAGACTACTCTAATGGTCAGTACATGGGCTCCCGAAAATAATAACAATATTCTCGGTTATTTGTGGAACCCGTATAACCAAGAGCTGTCAACTGGAGGCTCCTCTGGGGGCGAAGCTCTCCTCCAAGCGCTCAGAGGTAGTGCAGTCGGCTTCGGGACAGATTCTGGAGGCTCCGTTTCGATGCCATCCTCTTACAATGGCATTTACAGTGTCAAACCCTCTCCAGGGCGGCTTTCTTTTAAAGATGCGGCTGGTTCCGGTCTTGGAAATCTGGCCATAACCGCTGTTGTTGGCATCATGGGGCCTTCAATCCGCACTCTTCGCCTTGTGTTTAAATCTTTAATGGAAACTCGGCCGTGGGAACATGACTCTTCTGTTCTTCCAATACCGTGGAGAAGTGATCAAGAGTTATCACCGGACGCCAATCTCAGCTTTGGCTTCATGGAAAGCGACGGGATCGTCGCCCCTCACCCCCCCATTGCTCGGGCGCTTGAAATAGCATACAGCGCTGTCAAGAACAAAGGCCACCAGGTTCGTCTCAACAAATTGGAACAGATACGCCAGCCCTGACACAAAATACAGCTCATTGACTGGAAGCCCCCTTCTCATGCTGCAAACGCCATGCATGTAAGTCATCCCTGTTTCAGTAATGACGTCCAACTCATATCCAAAGGGTCCCCTTGCACGTGGCGATGGTTGTCCAGACGTGTATAGCGCCTTCAAGTCTTCGGATGAACCAATAGTACCTCAGCTCTTGCATCTCTTTCCAGATGGAAACCTCAAAAAGCCCATTTCTTTACCAGATTATCAGAATATCACCCAGGAAATGATGAGCTTTCGTAACCAATACAGGGAATACTGGACTTCGACAAGCCGGATCACGAAGAATGGTCAGTTCATGTGCTCTTACCAATTCCAAAAGCTGTCATACTGCAGTATCAAATATGAGCTAAATATACAGCGGTACAGGCCGACCGGTGGATGCGGTAATTCTCCCCGTGTCACCATATGCAGGCTTCAAGCCTGGCAAGTTTGACTATTCTAGTAAGTAGAATGAGTGCCAAGTCATGAGTGAATGCATACCAAATTCATTAGCATATACTAGCATCGTGAATATTCTTGGCTATACCAGCGCCGTGGTCCAGGTGACCTTTGGAGACAAGAGCGTTGATGTGGTGCAAGAAGACTACAAGCCACTTGGAGAAAGAGACAAACTCAACATGGATACTTGTAAGCGCCATCCGACATTTCACGGCAATCTTGCCATGTTTCTCACATGAACCATCCTCTTCAGATGACGCGGATGCAAGCGATGGCGTTTCCGCTGCCATACAAATTCTTGGACGAGATCTCGAAGAAGAGAAGATTCTCTCCATTGCTCAAATCGTTGCCGACGCTATAGAAGAGTATCAAGCCAAGCAGACTTGATGTTTCTTGACGAAATGCATGATGCGGAAGAAAGTTGATACTGAGGCTGAAGAAAAAAACATGATGCTTCTTCACCCATATGAAGATGATAGAATTGAGGTTATTCGAGTTGACTAGATTGCAGACGTTGCAATCCCAAAGAGTCTCGTTAGTCTCTTCCAGTGTTGGATGTCTCTCCCCAATGCCGCGACACATCTCCCCATAAATGTTGAATAAGTGTTTCGCCCACTATAGTTGATTCGTCTTTCCGATCTGTCAGCTTAGTGCGGCCAGCGGGTTTTCGTGACTGTTGGCGCCCGAGCCGTGATGGAGAGTGCATGATGGTGTCAAGAGGTGGGTGGGTTCCTAGCGAGGATGCCTCAGACGAGCGGCCCGGCACGGGCCTATGCTGTCTAGGTGGAAGTTTATAGTGCCATTATTAGTGCCTATTTTGTAGTCTGGACAGCGCTAAAGGTGGCGGCGTCTGGGGTAAACTCCACTGTAATCGGCACCTAATCGAAGCTATAACCACTAGAACCAGATATAGGTAGTAGGTGCCTGTCACTGTAGCGGGAGCGGACAAGAAGATATTTGACTTGACCACAAGCGATTGCGACAATGCCGCAATATTAGCGGAGAAAGAAAAAAAGGTTACCCTCTGATTACATGGAGAAAGTCTGTCTGAGTCTCAGAGACACGCTGCGCCGACACGTGATGCTGCAGTCAGCTAACACGTGATGAATTACAGCTCTGCATGCAAGGCCTCTATTTGGCAAGGTAGATATCAAGGCTGAGGATTGATGCCTGACTTTTTGTGCATTCTTGCTCTCTTGGCTATACAACGATTGATGGTTGATGCTCAACTTCCCGTGTAGTTTGGCCAGCACTGCTCTTGTAGGTGCTCTACCATACGCATATCCCTTTGGCTGTGCATGTTTTGGTATTGTCAATACCACATACTTCACGTACAATGGCCGACTATTCTGCTGTCAAGCCTGCCAATTCTGCGGTAAATAAGTCTACCTTTTATTGACCAAGGCCTTGTACTTTGTACTGACAGCCACTCACCGCCAAGGGAACCGATGTGCCCTTTACGACGCTTCTTTTTACTCCGCCGCCTCGAAAAAGCGAGCCGGATTCGTCGTCGACCGCAGAAAGTGAAGAAACCATCTCTTCTAATGAGGCAAGCGACTACTTGTCTCTCTTTCCGGCTTCATTTCGCACCGGCCAATACAGAGAAGGGATTAAGCCCGTCCACCAGGACAGCCTCGGCGACTTTCTGAAACAGGAATTCTGTCTGAACCGTCTGCATGACATACACTCCAAGCTCTGGCGAGTGGGATATAGGAGAGCCGCAAGGTCTCTGACCGCCCAGCTTCTACAGGGGCGAAGGATGATTGTGCTTGCCGAGAGCCTAGACATGCACCTGGTCTGGGATAGTGGAAAGATTTATATCAAACCGCTGCCGCGCTACCTTTTGGAGCCTGCGATATGGACAAAGTATCTTCCCAACAAGAAGCATCAGGGGCAGGCTTCTCTGGGAGTGGCCGCCAGTGCTCCGGTGGCGAATAGCAAACCGTCCGAGGCAGCGGATACGGGCGAGATACGCAAGGCTGCGCTGGGGCTGCTCTATAGCTATGCCTGCCTCATAGCCGACCGTACCGACTTTGAGCTCGCCCTTGAAGAAGGGCTTTTGCCCAAGTTTTTGGACCAGCCGAGCTGGTCAAGGTGGCGTGCGCTTGCAACGGAGATTTTGGGCTCACAGATTACTAGCGAGATGCACCCGCGGTTCAAGCATGGCGAGCTGAGACTCGGCAGGCTGAACTGGATCTACCTTTTCAGAGACATGCCAAAGTTTAAGCTGTATTTTGAGCCTTGGAACAGTTATACGGAATTTGTGTTTGGAAACATGGCCTGCATCACTGCCGTCACAGTCTACATGGTCGTCGTGCTGACTGCGATGCAGGTGGGCTTGGCCACGAACAAACTAAAGGACAACGCGTCGTTTCATGATGCCTCGTACGGATTTGCCGTCTTCTCCATCTTGGCGCCCTTGATTGCCGTGCTACTAATTGTGGTGGCACTCCTGGTTGTGCTGGTCCCCAACTGGAAGAGCGCGCGAGCGGCAGTAGACACGGCCACGGATACGGCGTCGTCTCGCTCTCCGGCCGGGACCTTGGGAGAACAGAAAGTTGCCAAGGCAAATCAACCTGCAGCGGCGACTGTGACTGCACGTTGGCTAGACGGAAGAGACAGTATCGCAGGATCTAGTGCTCGGAGTTGTGGCGGTGGAGGAAGACAGACATCGGGAAGAAAGTTGACCGATGGAGAAGATGGCCAAGTATGAAGAGACGGTTGCCATTACGGCTCAGTCCAGAGATTCTAGAGCCCCTGCCAGTGTTTTATTCGAGCGGTGAATCAGTCAAAAACGAAAAGTCTCATATGTCGCTATATATATATACCCTATCGAGGGATCCAGTTGTTTTGTAATCTATATTTCTTCACTACTACGTACGAAATACATGTTGAAGAATGCAACTACTCGCCTGTACAAGAATACGACAATATCAAACTTTTTACTTTTCAGCTTGGTTATTGAACCTCTGTTCGTCACGGCCTTGCTGCCTTGGTCTAGTAGGCAAGCTTCCCCGAACCGAAGCCCGCCCACCATCTACAGCCGAGTAACCGAGGAACTGCAGAAAAGAAACATGTTACAACACAACATTGCCACGAAAAAAAAACAAATTCAGCAACCATGGCAGCATGATGCCGTTTTCCGTCATGTTATCGTGGCTACGCAAAACGTACACTTACCTCGCCAATTTGCAATGGACCGAGAGGGTCCAGCACGACTGCGTCTTTTGCGACCGTGCCAACTTTGCCAGCATCGTCTACGAGGTAACAAAACGAAATTTCGACCAGCCCTCAATTCTCACGGACTGGCCACGCTGGCACAAGCAATAAAGGAACGTGATGCTGACTCACTTTACATTCTTCCTAGGACGAAGAGATTATTGCCGTTGACAATATTTACCCCGCAGGGCAACATCACTGGCTTATCCTGCCAAAGCGGCACATTCTCCGCGATATCGAGGGCTTGAAAAGACAGCACCTTTCACTCTGTATGGTTTACTGGCCCTATACTCTCCTCGCTTGCTTGCTTTCTTTCTTTCCTCACCCCTTTGCTCTCTGTACCATTCGTTGCGACTGACTAAAACGCTGATTATGACTTCTAGTGCAAGCGATGGATCGCGTCAAGAAGCAGTTACTAGGGCAGATTACACTTGGCGCGTCGCACCCCGCCGCCGTCGTTGTCCACGCCGGATATCATCGAGGGCGGCGACGACTTGTGGGCGTGGTCTTCTGGCCCGACATTGTGTCAGTCCACCATCTTCATTTGCACGTTATTGTCCAGCCGTATCCGTGGCTGTGCTTTTTCAAGTACCCGGGTTGGCTCCCGCTCATGTGGAAATCAGATACGACGGTCTTGCAAGAGGTGCAGACATCATCCTAGACATGTGTACAAAACATACAGGAGGATGGGAGGCCGGAGCCGCCAGTTAGATTGCTGGTCATAACCACATACAAAAATCATGATATTGTAAAACGTACACAGCTACACGCTGCACATGAGAAATCCTACTCCTACATCAGAGTCGTAGAGAGGCTGGGCCACCGCTCCTCAGCCATATCTAGACCAGAGCATGTAGTTTTTTTCGTTGATGAGCTGCTGTCGCCAGGCAATGTGTCTCCTCAGACTGTCGAGATCAAAGTCATGGAGAGGCACTAGATGACGTCCTTGGGGCTGATCAATAATACAAGCATTGTCATATACACACAATGTCACCTGTTCCCTAAAACCGCGATCCAACAGACCTTCGTATAGGCCTGTAATGAGCTTCACACGCCATGAGGCAGGTGCGGCAGTCCCCGCCTGCTGCTGCTCCGCATTTGCGTGCCATCCGACCAACTTGAGAATGACATTGACAAGATCCGGTACCAGAGCTATAATGGTGGCAATTTGGCACACCTCGTCAATGTCCCTCTTTTCAAGGAGCTGCAGCAGCAGCGACACATTGGCAAAACTTAGATGACTTCCGAGAGCGAGAGCGGCTAGGTGTCGGACTTTCCACCCCTTCCCCAAGTCCTGTAGCCGCAGCAGCAGCGTGTTTTGTGCCTCTTCGGATAGCCGTATTTGCCTGGCCAGGATCTCCGCGGCATCGACTTCAATCGAGCACAGCGACCGATGACGATCGCCCTTCCAATTCCAAGGCCAGGAGTCCTCATGCTTTGGCGTGTTTATGATACGCACAAGCGTCTCCTCTTCGCTCCGTGCAAGGTTATTGCAGTCCTTTAAATAGTGAGCAGCCAGAAGTGGTATATCAGAATTCCTTTGATGCTGTAGGAAGACACAAAGCATCTCCGTTGTGATTCGCCAATTATCGCGATCGATCAAGTTGTAAAGAGCGTAGTGCTGCATGCTGTCACTATCATGTTCAAGTAATCTTTGCAAATCCTCCGTCATAGCGGGCGACTCGTCTTCCCGGCATAATGTGCTGGCCGCAGTTTCGCGGAGTATGTAATTCTCGCTGTCATCAGTGACCAGCTTCGTCATCGCAACAACTATTGGCCATGGAATATTCACCATGGAGTTGAACGATTGGATTGCATATCGCCGGTGGTCCTCGGAAATTGACTTGTCGCTGATTACTTGACTTAATGTCGTGCATGTTTTTTCTGATAGGATTTCCTGATTACCGAGTAACTCGGCGATGATGGGGTGTAAACCAGGCATGCGTTGGAAATGTTCGACCAAAGTTTCCTGTAGCGGCCCTGAAAGTTCTGATCGCTCGAAATTCAATATAGACATGGCTATATGAGCAAGCCTCGAGTCATTGACGTTTGCAATGGCCTCTGCCAGTGACATCAGGATTGTTCCAGAAAGCTGGGCTCTTCGCTGCAGAGTTGCAATAGCAAGTTCGCGAATCCCTTCGTCTGGGTGTATCCTTGCCATGTGTAGCAGATATAATTGCGTCGTCTCAGACATCGTCTCAATCCTGATTAGAGCTTTCGAGGCTCGAATCCTGACCCAGTCGTACTTGTTTTCTAGCAGCGTCACTAGCAGTTCCTCTATTCTTTCCTGTGTTTCTGCGGCAAGATTCACCTGGCTCCCCAAAGCCATAGCAGCGGCAATGACAAGGACTGGATCCTCGCTTTCGAGTGAAGCAGTCAGGTCTACCAACATTCTCCTTACAAGATGAGGATGGTCCCGTAGAATCTTTGCTGCGCGCATGCGCCTTGTACCGCTCTGCTGTGCGTCTTCGAGCACCGCCTTTATTGCGCGCGCAGTCGTCTTTGAAAGGCTTGCACGGCCACGCAAAATCCTCCAAGCGGTACAATAGTCCGTCATAGTGAACAACTCAAAGATCAAATGCTCCATTGACTCAGGTAACTGTCGCCTGCTAGCCTCTAATTGGCCCAGACTAATATTTATATCAGAGAAAGTATCAGATGTGGAAGTACTGATCCGGGCCATGTTGTCGGCTACCAAGATCAGGGACGACATTGGAAACTCTGGTTCCCGTATCAGTCGTTCATATAGCCCGAATGTGTATTCAAAGTGCGCCCAGTGGGACAACATCAGCTCCAGCTTGGATCGAACAAGCAGCTCTGTGTTCGCGGCAACTTCAGCCAAGCAATGCATAATCAGTCGTTGGTGTGCCGGCCCCAGCAGATCGATTGGTTCTTGTTCCAGTGCAGCAAAGAACCGCTCAAGATGACTGCCGTGCTCTGTAGCTATCAGGCCAGTTACCAACCGCCAAAACACATCATACTGAGCCTTATATTTGTATCTCTCAAGGAACTTGACAGGGTGAGTAGGGCGATGCTCCTCATTTGGCTTTTCCGCATTAAGGGCATATTCAAGTTCCGAGGAACATATCCACCGTCGAACAAAATACTGTGCTGCAAAGAATTCCTGAAAGGTTCGGTGCATAAAGTAATAGTCGCGGTCGGAGTGCTCTGGACCATCCGATGACCTCATGAAAGATATTCTACCCAAGGTCTCATTCAACGAAATGGCCTTTGGTGGCCGAAATCTTTCAGCAATCTTGTTACGATGATGGGTTGTAAAGTCCTCGAGGTTGCTAGCAAGGCCACTGAATGCGAGATGTTCAAGGATGGTCTCGACACTCTGAAATTTTGACTTGATTTCGACATCCAAAAGACTAGTAGAATGATCAAAGTCAAGCTTTTTGATGTCTTTGCTCCGCAACTCTTGAGTGATGGCAATATAGATTCCAGTCATGGTGTCGCTAATAGTCTTGCGACCAGGGCTGTCCCAGACGAGACAAAGTGCGTCCAGAAGTATGGGAGTTCGTACAAGGCCACGAAGGACCCAGCGCTCGTTGAGCCAAGTCTGAAACTCGTCGATTCTTGAGCACATCTTAGGATCAGCCTCAAGGTAGGCTATCACCTGATCTGGATGAAATCCCAATACTTCTGCTCTGAGATCCACATTGCCGAGGGCTGGATGGCTAACGTGGGATCGTGATGTGACAATGAGATTGGGCTGCTCCAGAAGCCTCTCGATGAAATCCTTCATGCCGCTCTCTTCACTTTCAAGGACTTGTGATACCTCATCGAGTCCGTCCAGCACGAATAGCGTTTTGTCGCGCTTGCGGCTCCAATCCCGTGCCAATTCTTCAGCGAGCTCGTGATGCTCGGGAAAGAACTCGTCTTGAAAGAGACTAATGAGACAGTATCCCGATTTCATCGTTCGGTCAGTTCGTGCAAGATGTCTTAAAGGTATCCACAGTATGCGATGAAACAGTTCTCGCCATGCTTCGTCATGGACAAATTCATGGACTATCTTCTTGCACAAGGTAGATTTGCCCACTCCAGCACGGCCGCGAATCATTATTCTCCGAGGCCATATCATAGCACCATCACGCCCATTGCGTCGGTCGAAGATGGTTTTCAAATCTAACGCTCTTGAGCTGTCTAGGTCCTCCACCCCCTCTTGCGGGAATGAGGTGTCCGATGTGTTTCGGTTTTCTGGGTCGGCTGATTCCTGGCCAAGAGCTTCTTGCTCAATGGCCAGGTTGATATAGCACTGGCTCAGATCTACACCGTTCCCTGAGAGTCGTGTGATTTTGAGCCTATCTGCGTTGTAGTGCTGATTATGGATCATTGAGTCGGCTAGCTGGAGCCGTGATGGGCAACGCAGTCGCGCTATTGCCTTGGTCAGGTCGACGAAATAACTATCCTGTACGCCGGAACATTTATTCAGATTTGAGTGATCGGTATTGACGAGCCATTTCTCAAAGGCGTCTGCGTGGACAATGGCTGAGTCACGCGAAACCAACTGCAACAAGTCAGCCAATGGCCAGTATTTTTGACCTGAAGCACTCACAGTCTTACTAGTGCCAGGAACTGGCTTGCTCTCGTAGAATGCTGCAATTCGAATTTTGTGGTCCGTTTCCTCTATATGACTTCTCAATTTGTCGAAACTGTCGGCGAGGTTGCTAAGGTCGCAGTTATGCTCGGTCAGATGCTTGATCAATGTATCATCTACCAAACCGAAACGCTTCGGCACCGGAGCCAGGAGAGCGGCGGCTCTCACCAGTCGTGCGCCCTGATGAGGGGTACCGAGAAATATGATGCCCACAGTATCGCTAATGATGCTTTTGGACGGATCCGCGCATAGGGCCTCGCAATAGTTAGCGTACAAGATGAGTTCTTGCATTCGAATTGCTGTACCTCTTTGATGATGATTCCTCCTAGACTGTGGCCTATGAATATAATGGGGAGGCGCTAGAAGAGCGTTAGCCATTTTTCCTGAGAAGGTGCTGCTGCCCATTACGCTTGACAATCGCTTTGCCTTGATTTTTCCCTGCAAGCATATTCCAATCTGTCGTGGCGTCTTGATGATGGGCTCACGGAACCAAGCAGTGTTATCGACATAACATAGGATTCTAGCCGTCGGGAAGACTTGTTTCAACAGTAGAAGGAGGTGAACCTTTTGGTCCTTCTCATTGTGTTTAGATTTGGACTTGGTGGCATCACGACCTTCAAAAGGCTCTCCGGGGGACACCTCGACTTTCTTGGTCCATGTGAAACAAGGGTCTGCTCCCAAGCCAGGAACAGCAATAATTCTAGGCCACATTAGCCAATTATATAGATGGATAGGTAGTGGACACATGCTCGAATGATGGCTCGGACCCGCCGTTGGCGACGACTTTGAGAGACGGTACGCGCACGTCGAGAGACGGCCCAAGCCGCCTGCCGGAGGTTTGCAGGCTGTCGAAGTAGTCCTCTTCTTCGAGAGAACTTTTCGGGTCCAGTGGGTATTGTTTATCGAATTGGCGGTTCATTTTCGGAGATTGCGAGTTTGACTGAACATGTCTGATGCGTACGGATGAAGCCGACCAGAGAGGCCAGGGAGCGACAAGTCTCGAGGCGGCGGGCGGGCAGTTCATCAGGTCATGGTGTTGGCAGGCACTGCTCTCTTTTTGATCCGCCACACATGGCCGGTGGGCCCAGAGCTGCAAGCGCTCACATTTTCACAGGCTCCGAGCCGTTGCTGAAATGCAGGTTATATCATTTCAGTGACTATAGAGTGTCAAGTGACTCTGTGCATCACACGAATATGCACGTCTAGGAGCCACAGCGCTTCCCATCACGGCGATGTGTCTGCGGTGGTATGCCCGAGCAGTGCAAGCTGGGAGTAGTCACAGGTAATGAATAGTATCTGTTGATCTCTCAAGGGGCTGCGATGCGTACCGTCACAGCGTATTGCTCGACTGATTTTATAGAGAGGCTGCGAGGTAGTTGCAAATGGGAAGAGTAAAAGGCGGAGCTAGCATACCACCCAAGGCTTCAAAAGTGGACGCCACTAAAGTATAGGTCCTATGATAAGGCTGCACTCCGATACCAGGGCCGATATAGCTATCTTATTCTTTAGAAAATTATAGTACTTTAAGTTTAATCTAATTCATGATGATGATTAATTACCTGTGGATCTGCTCCACGTACGATTGTCAGAACCCCTGTAAGTGACCTCAAAGCTCCTACCCGACAGTCAAAGGAATAGCGACGTCAAGTTTCGTCTCAGATAGAAGTCTTGTCCCTAGTTAGTGTATAGTTTTCGCGAATCAGAAAAGAACGCTTGTATCCGGATTATTAAGTGACGGTAGATCAATCTCGATATCCTAAAAGCTATAGCGGCGATTACAGCATCGTCTCAGGGGCATGTTATGATTGGCTGGCCACCAGCCATAAGGGGGCATGTTAGATATAACCGCCTTTTCCCTACCAACAAACTCACAGCCTTTCGAGAATGGTCATCCAATAATAATTCGGATTCAATCAGCCACTGCAATATCTATGGACTATTCTAAAACCTCTTTTCCTTCGCTTTTGGCCCCAAACTGCCATAGCGTCGCTGACCTCGAACACGGGAACTTCACGACCAAACTCCCCCAGCAGCTCCGTTTGCCCGCCAAACTTGATCGCGACGAATATATTGCATCACTCAAGCACACCGCCGTCGCAGCTCTTGCTTCGCTATACAACAATGGCAAGGACTGTCGAGTGTTTAATCGTCTCAACGGGAGCTTCAACGTGTGTTTTTTCGTCGAGTTCACGCAATGCGGGACTCGTTGGGCTGTCCGCGTTCCCATCGAGCCCAGGCTGCACAAGCCATGGGAGAAGCTCCAAAGCGAGGCCGCAACACTCAAGTAACTAACCAATATCTTCTCCCGGTTCCAGGTATAATTAGTAACCGTGGTGCAGATATGTTTACGCCAATACGAAAATCCCAGTCCCGGCGCTCCACGCTGTTGGAAACGATGCGGTATTGACCGACGATGAAACATCGCGCCAAATGTTCCTCATTTCCGACCTCGTTCCTGGTAGTCCTCTTACCGACGATCGCTTGGAGCGGCTGGCGGAAGCTGATGATGCCACTCAACGTCGCTTTTTTCTGCAATTGATCGGTTACCTCCAAGAGCTGCGCGACCTTGAATTTCCAGCAATCGGCTCTTTGATGCCTACGACAGATGATAAGCCCGCAGTGGGTAATATTCTCTCATTCTCAGCGGACAAGTATCAGCTTGAGCAGCCGCCTTGTACATCTGCCAAGGAGTATATGAGCTTACAATACGATGTATTGGTTCGTCATGTCGCCGAACCTGCGCCAGACTTTTCAGTAGCCGACTGCCGTTATGAGCTCTTCGCGCTCCATACCTTGCGGGAGCCATTTCGAGAATTTTTTCAGTCGCACAGGGAATCTGGCCCCTTTGTTTTGCACCAACCCGACTTACAACCATGCAACATTTTGGTTGACGAGGAGCTACGCATCACAGGAATCATTGATTGGGAATTCGCTCACACTATTCCGGCGCAACTCTTTACACCACCCTTGTGGGTGATATATCCTAAGCAAAACTTTCGACAGCTGAGCCTTACATTTGTCAAGACACTGTTCAGTCAACCGAGACATGAGAGACTATGTCGTCAGTGGTATAATGGAAGCAAGTTTAACCTTGACTTCTTCTTTGCCAGGCTAATACGTCATCCGGGAGACTTGAATGAAGCTTTCATGGAATACTTGCGAAAGCACTTGAACGCTGACTCGGATCAGGCAGAGTCTGAGTTCTTTGAACGGCATCCTGAGGTGGCAGTTGAAGCAGAGCAGAAGGCTTTACAGAACGAGCAATGGAAACTGTATCCAAAAGAATCTGAGGCGCATAGATAGCCTCTTCGTTCTCTTTAGTGAGATTCTCCACGTCCGAGAGCCTGATCTTGTCGAGGCCGGGGTGCCACATTGCTTTGAGCACACTGCTTGCTCCTAGCTCACAGCAGAGCGTTGCCAGAACAGATAGGTGGCCATTTCGGGCACTTACATGCCACGGAGTATCACCAGTATGATTTGCCATAAAAGCCGTCCTCGGGGCCTTCCTGAACAGCTACTTGGCCGCTTCGGCATGGCCATTTGCACATGCACGACCAAGGAGCGTGTCAGCACTGACAAGGCTGCTGAAGATGGCGAATTTGGAGAGAAGTTCCGCTTCGAAAGAACGCAGTTCAAGTCCCCTGAACTGGCGGCTCTTGCTGCTACTTCCCTTAGCCAAAAACCTAACGCGTACTCAAATCTCTCCCGGGGGATTCCGCTTGGCCGCACTTAGACAACGTGTGAAGCCTGTGTATTTACGTATGACTCTCCAGAATCGAAGTCCTACATGATTTCTCAATGATTCTGGCCAGTGGTCGATGGCGTTAAGAATGAAGTCGTCTGTGGCAGGATCGAGCCCTACCCCCAGAGTGGTGTAGCCCTCAGTGCTGCAGTAGAGGGGATATCGAGGCCGGCTTGGTAACCGGTTCGTGCGGGCTACTGGATCCGGTGCTGTTCAAGTATCTGTACAGGTTTTCGGCGCCGTTCGTCAGGTTCAATTCCCGCGGCCGCAGATATAGATCTGCTCTTACTTGAACCCACAGACGCAAAAACATCATCAAAATTTCTCGAAATAAAACCGAAGGCAAATTCATTTTTTTTATTTTCTACATTGTGGTTCTTAGCTTGATTGCTCTTTTTTTCCTAATCGTAGGGACTCTGCCAGGTGGTGTGTAGAGGCCCGGCTCAGCTCCAAGTAAGCGTTGCGCGCGGCTGTATTAGCATACTTGTTGAATCAAACGTTGGGCTATTAATGTTAAGTTGGTTCTCTAGTAAAAGATCTATTCGCATGACTTTATTGTGTCCTGTCAGAAGATTATCAGTTGGTAAAATACTGGGAATACTCATTTCTCATGGTACTGATTTGTACAAAGTACTAAAATGGCCTTCAAAGACAAGCCGTACTTGCCGTATTTTTACACCTCGACAGCGTTGCCATCCCAAAGTACGGATAGACGGACCGAAAATATACCATGAGACATTCACATGCCCAAGACATTGGCCCGGGAGAATGATATAGAGTTCACTGTGAGGAGTAGAATGAGGGTCTCGCGGTGACATCACAACGATGCCCGACGGCACAGCATGCCGTGCACGGCAACATTGCCTAGCAACTGGAAAATTGGCTTAGCTGAAGTGAGACCCTCTTGATAACTGCTTTTGCGGGACGGCATCGCTGTATTGATTTTCGGTCCGATCGCGCAGCGACAGCCCAAGGATAACAAAGATGCCCGATTCAATATGTATAACTGGCAAGTTACAGTCTTGTGTCCTCGGAAACTTGACAATACAATTCTTCCTCCCATCTTCCCGGGCTGAGCGTGCGTTTTCACTAGTCGTCACCACTGTAATTGATAGACCCGGTATTTCCGAAACACCTGAGTATTTGGGCAGAGATCAGCAAGTTGTTTTGCTACCCAGGTGACGGATTGAGGCAGAAGGAAAACCCGATATTTATAATCTTGCCAATCTTTATATAAAGGGAGCTTCGGCCGAAATCTCGTACATTTGCAAACATACTAAACTTCATATCTCTACAATCTATACTTTCCTATCTCGACTAGGTTCTCAAAGTGAAACACCGCGGACAAAACGGAGCCATGGCAAACTCTCTCAGGAACGCGGAGGAATTTAATCAGATTCAGGGCGTCGTGGATCGTCTCGTGAAGGACGCCAATGCAAAAGTAACATTCATTGTCGATAATAAGGGGGAGCTTTGTGCCGCAAGCGGAGATGTTGACAATCTGGACACCACGTCTCTTGCAAGCCTCACTGCAGAAAACAACGTCCCGGCGGGCGGATTTGCGAAGCTTCTCAAAGAAAACGAATTTGCGACAAAGTTCTCCGAGGGCGAAAGAAGCAACGTTCACATTCAACTTGTTGGGAATCGCGTTGTCCTAGTCGTGCTGTTTGACAGCAAATCGAGCCTGGGCCTGGTCCGACTCCGTGTTCGCAAGGCAAGCGAGGAGCTTACTCATATTCTCGAGGCTCTTGTCAAAAGGACAGGGACTGATGCGGATCCCGTATTTGCAGAAATCACTGATGAAGACATTGATAATCTGTTCAAGGAGTAGATTGTGGGGACACAAGCAGAAGCATATCGGCTACTGTGAAATGTCAAGGCTTCACGATAGGATCCAGAATCTCCTGATCTACGGAAATCAGTGGTGTACTACTTTTAGAAATGCGAGAGATTTTTCTTTCTGTGTAGCCACATGAAATTACTTCGTATATAAGCAAGTAGTATTTTATCACAACTTCTGAGATATTCTCGGGATGTTCTCAATCGATATTTAGCGCCTGGATGATCAACAGACTTCCTGCATGTTGTCCTTGTCAACTGGCAATGTAACCACAGTACACCACTAGAGTCTAGAGGGGCTTGAGGGGTTCTTGAAAACAAGTTTATAGCTGAGTGACCGGCTGCATGAGCTGAAGAGGGCACGCCAGTCATATTTTTTGTTAGCCGCTGGCCATACAGCCTTCCTGCAGGCTCGTGCGGCTCTGATGCAATATTGCTGTCGTGGTGGGCTCGCCGCCGTAAGTAGACCTTGCGAGGACGCGATATGTGACCATGCACTTCAAGGATGGGCGTCCATCTTTTCTTGGGAGAGTACGTAGAATCACGGCAGTTTTGACAGCCGCAGTTTTATCAACGTAAGGTCATGCCAACTAATCGGCATACGAGCACATGGCAGCTGACAGTTCCCGCCTCCTCGATTCAAGCCCCCCCATCGCTCCATCGCAGGCTGGTAGCGAAATGCAGCGCATGCATTTGCATTTGCCAACACATCATAATAACATATATTCGAGCAAATCCAAAATCCACAGTCAGTCTTCCGAGGGTCCACTGTGACTGCGCTGTCAAGTCGCTTCGTGTCGACATAGTAGTACACCCAACAATGTGCATCGCTAGCGTGCGCCCCGGCGAAAAGGTCTTGCTCCTCGCAGCAAACACAACCACCACATTCATGTTTTTAGGGCATACACAGCGTTTCGTTCAATGCTTCCAATAGCCGAGAACCTAAAATCGTAATTACACGGGTAGCGGCCCGGTCCCCGACTTCCCTCGTACATCAATCAGAGCAGCCCACATATGGCCAGGACAACAGCATGCGACCCATGCTCTGCATTCACGTCGCCCACGTATCCGAGCCTCCCAGCTCCGACTTTGGCCAGCGCCACAGCAGTCTCACCAGGAACGTGAGCGCTTTCTGGCGCAAACACTCGAGACTCCAGAACCGAGTTGTCGTCGGTCCTGTATAGCATATCCTCCGCCGCGACATTGCTTACAAACAGAGCTTTCTGACTGTAGTTCTGAGGCAACTTCTGGATGTTGACCCCCGCGGCCGCTGCTGCCGCTTTGTTGATCGTCAGAGTCGTGCGCTGATATGTCCCCCTAGCCCAGGGCAAGCCTGCGCGGGTAAAGAAGGGCTTGATATTGTCTGGTAGCACAAAGCTCGAGAAGAAGCCCATGATGACAACTGTGCCCCCGCCCGCGACATAGTTCAAGACCGCAGTCCAAACCGCGGCATTCTCGGGGAGAGTCAAGGCCTGATCGGTAATCAGAACGGTCGAGGGCGGAGGGCGCTGGGACAAGAGTCGCAGCGCAGATGTAGCATCCTCAGTCTGCTGGAACTCTGTCTTGGACTTGATAACCGTCAGGAGCGGGGCATACATTTCATCAAACCGAGATTGGTTCTCAATGGAAATGGCAAGGACTGGTGCCATTTTTGTAGCCATGATGTATCAAGATAGCCTTTGAGTGAATTGATGGTCAATGTTTTGGTAGGTCCAGCCAGGTGCTGTTCATGGCAGCTGTAGAAGTGGCGTGTCCGTTTATGTTGTCAGTGAATGCATCCTGTCGTACTGAGTAGTAAAAATGCGGATCCACAGCTTCATTGATGTGAATTAGGCCCTATAATAAATTATTATCAAATATAGGTACGTTCATATATCCCGTATTGGTATTACTTCGTAGAGGTGCACCGCCACGTACGCGCCACAACAGCCACACATAGCGGGGAGCACCACCATCTCTCCATCACAGCAAAACTTTTCGATGGCGGGGCAAAAAGTATCAACGGATAAGACGATAAGAGTTGGACCACCAAAATTTCAGCAGTCAGTCTTCTTGCGATCCCTTGCACTTAACAGTGATTTTGCGTAAATTTCAGCATGTCGAAGCGTGCGGCCGAGATTGGGCACGACGGCACCCCTCTGAAGGGGGGCGACCGTCCTGAGAAAATGGACATTGACGACAAGGAAATGGGCGACTTTGAAGACGAGTACGAGGACGAATTTGAGAGCGAAGACGAAATTATCGAGGCTGGCGTAGACGGCCGCCCCGATGCTGAGCGTGAAGCCGAAGAAGGTACGATTATCCCTTATTCTTCTCTGGATCAGTTGCTAATTCTCGCAGCCGCTGCCATGGACGTCGACCAGGGCACCTTTATCGTTGGCCGGCACAAGCTCGAGCCCGGCCAGGTGCTGACGCCGGACCCGACGACGTACGAAATGCTGCACAATCTGACGACGCCGTGGCCGTGCCTGTCGTTTGACATTGTCAGGGACGGACTGGGCGACAACCGCAAGGCGTATCCGGCCACCATGTACACGGTGACGGGCACGCAGGCCGACTACAAAAAGGTCAACGACAACCAGCTCATGGTGATTAAGTTTTCCGGTCTGTCGAGGATGAACAAGGACGGCGACGGCGAGTCCGACTCTGACGACGACGACGAGGACACCGAACCGATCCTCGAGTCCAAGAGCATCCCGCTGACGTCAACGACCAACCGCATCCGCACCCACCAGGTGCCCTCGTCGGAGCCCGGCCGCGCGCCGACGACACTGGCGGCCACCATGACCGAGTCGACCAACGTCTTCATCCACGACGTGACGCCGCACCTGGCGTCGTTTGACACGCCGGGGACCGTCATCAGCGCCGCGCAGAACAAGCCTGTGTCGACGATTCGCGCGCATAAGTCCGAGGGTTACGCGCTCGACTGGTCGCCGCACCACCCCAACGGCAAGCTGCTAACGGGCGACAACGACGGCCTCATCTACCAAACGACGCGCACCGACGGCGGCGGCTGGGTCACGGACAGCCGGCCGTTTGCAGGCCACACGTCGAGCGTCGAGGACCTGCAGTGGTCGCCGTCGGAGCAGTCGGTGTTTGCGTCGTGCTCGGCCGACGGCAGCGTGCGCATCTGGGACATCCGATCGAAATCGCGCAGCCCCGCGCTGACGGTGCAAGTCTCGAATTACGACGTCAATGTCATCTCGTGGTCGCGGCAGACGTCGCACCTGCTCAGCACGGGCGCCGACGACGGCACCTGGGGCGTGTGGGATCTGCGCCAGTGGAAGACGACGGGCACGGATAAACCGCAGCCGCTGGCCAGCTTTGATTTCCACAAGGAGCAGGTGACGAGCGTAGAGTGGCACCCCACGGACGATTCCATCATGGCCGTGGCGGCGGCGGACAACACGGTGACGCTGTGGGATCTGGCGGTGGAGCTGGATGATGAGGAGAGCAAGGATACCGCCGGCGTCAAGGATGTGCCGCCGCAGCTGCTGTTTGTGCACTATCTAAAGGGTGTCAAGGAGCTGCACTGGCATCCGCAGATTCCGGGTAGTCTGGTGGCCACGGGTGAGGAGTTTTCCATTTTCCGCACCATTAGCGTTTGATCAAGACATGGCGATAGAAGAAAAAGTGTGGTGAAGACGGCGAGGGTAGAGAGAGCCTTCTTGTATATACCAGGATCAAGACCTTCATGTAGGGAAGATATAACGAAGCAATGATGGAATTGACATTTGCAAGTCGGCACGTGCATGTATCGATATGTACTGCTATTGATAATGTACGAGAAAAAGCTAGAACAAAATTATAAACCAAAAAAAGAAGAATTACTTGACTTCCTTTTCATACTCTGGAGAGTCAGTATTGGAATCCTGCGGCGCCACGCCATCCGTGGCGCCGACTGAATCGCTCCGCAGTACAGGCGGGCCCGTAAAATTGTGTCGCGCATGCACCAGATACCAGAGGCCGGCAATCGCGGCAAAGCCCGCAAACACGACCGAGGCGTAGTTCATGGTATCGGCTTGCACAGGCAGAGCGCTGGGCATGGAAAAGATGACAATGGCAAAGAAGATCCAGACGGCGCAGACGCCGTTGAGTACGACGCCCCAGCGGCCGAGCGAGTAGGGCGAGTCCTTGACGGCGACGCGGCCCTGGGCGAGGTTGACGATGACGGGGACGGCGTAGGAGGCCGAGAGGCAGATGGTGCCGACGCCGGTGAAGGAGTTGAAGGCGGTGGGGGAGCCAAAGTAGATGCAGCCGAGGAGGGAGATGACGGCGGTGGAGAGGGCGAGGGACCAGATGGGCATGTCGAGGCGGGAGTGGACGCGACGCCAGAGCTTGTATCCGGGAATGGCGCCGTCGCGAGCAAAGGCGTAGGTGCAGCGGGAGGCCGCGGTGAGGGAACCGATACCGGCGAACATGAGGATGCCGAGGATGAGGAAGAGGAGGCCGAAGCCGCCGCCGGCGGAGCCCGTGGCGTGCTTGAAGATGATGCCAATGGGCTGGCCGGCGGCCTTTTCGGTGGCCTCTTTGAGGAGCGCGCTGACTTCGGGGATGACAAAGAGGAGCGGAACGAGGTAGAATAGGCCGGTGACGCCGGCGGCAGCGACGGAGAGGACAATGGCTTTGGGAACCTCGCGCTCGGGATTTTGCACTTCTTCACACATGGAGGCGACCATGCCGTAGCCAGTGAGGACGTAGGCGGCTGATTTATATTAGTGTAAGTGATGATTGCGAGGGACCTCGTGTAGACGTACGCTGGAGGAGGCCGACAAAAAAGGACCAGCCGGCGGGCCAGCCGCTCTCGGAGCTGTCGTAGTGCGCAAAGACGAAGCGGCCAGAGTTGCGCGTGTCTGCCATGGAGAGCAGCGTGACGAGAATGATGATGACGCTGGCGCCGGTCCAGTAGATGCAGACCTTGTTGATGACGTCGAGGTACCTGGAGCCAAAGGCATTGATGGCGGCACAGACGAGCATGAGGGCCCAAAAGACGAGCACGGTGTGCCAGGACTTTGTGACGTAATTCTCGTTAAACATGTAAATGGCGGAGATGATGAGCTGGGCGCCGCCAAAGTTGATGGAGAGGGTAATGGTCCAGTTGCCAACGAGCGTGAGCCAGCCGTCGACGAAGCTGACGAGGGGCGCCCAGCGGCGGCTGGCGAGCATGGCGCTCCAGTAGTAGACGCCGCCGGCGGTCGGGTAGACGGCGCAAATCTCGGCGAGGGAGGCGGCGATGCAGAGGGAGATGGCGGAGACGAAGCACCAGCCGTAGAGGGCGGTGACGGACTGGCCGTTGACGAGCGAGTAGGACATTGTAGTGGACAGGCCGTAGGGGACGGCCATGATGGCGAATGAGAGGCCGAGGACGGACATCATCTTTAAGTTGCGCGGGAGCTCGCTCTTGTAGCCGAGGCTGGCGAGCGCAATGTCGGCCTGCTGGGCCGAGGCGCGCCGGTCCTCCATGGTGTTTGACGCGGTGGGTTGGTTGTGACTCAGCGCGGTGGTAATAAGTTGACGTTGGTGGTGGTGATGGTTGGTTGTTGTTGGGGTCGGTTCATTCGTTTTCTCGCGGCAACGTCGCCGACGCAATTATCGCAGCAGCGAAGTTTATATTGGAGAAGATAAGTAAAAATCAAATCAAAGAATGGGGAAACAGAAGGAAAAGGGAAGAAGAAGAAAAAATAGAATTTAAAAAAAGGCAGCAATTGATAACGGCACGGGCGTGGGCGAAAGGGCGCGCCGCGATAAATAAGAAAATGGAGTTGGGGTCGAGTCGGAGGAAGGGAAAAAGTGGCATCTGCCCGCTACGAATACAGTGGAGCGGACCGCCAAAGAAGACCATATTTAGTGGGGTTCGAGGCCTGAAAGCGTTGGTGTAGATAAACGGTAAATGGGCGCAGAGCGTGCTGTAAACCCCTGCAAGCCTCGAGGCAAGTGGATAAAAAGTGATTCATCCACCCATTTTACCTAGTCTTTTATTCGCTGCCCATTGCCCATAATAAGAGCGTGCATTAATCTATCTCGGAAATCAATCGGTATTTTCGGCGGTTCTATAATATCAGCATGTTCTAACTATGCTGCAAAGTACCCTCAGGGAACGAAAGCGACAACGGATAGAAAAAAGACGTTGAGCAATGACTAGGTAGGCAGGTGCCTTACATAAGCTGCGCCGTCGGTAACTTACTTGGCGCTTGGCAACGACTCAGGGCCTACGCCGATAAAAAAAAAAGGAGGGCACCTTGATAAATTGATAACGCATGCCTGCTATCGGGAGAGCGCTGTCGCGTGGCGTCTTGCTCATTTCAGCCAGATACGACTCCAACCATTTTCCCCTCACTGATCAATAAAGAACCATGCCTATGCATCCTCCGCGTCCCGCATCATCATCGCAGCTCCCCCGTGGGGATGCTCCGCCAAATCTCCCAGGTTGCCTGCCCATCTCCCTGCCTAATTGCGATAGCTACGCATTAGTCTGTTGAACCAGCAAATCAAGCGACAATAAAAAATCCAAGCACAATCAGGTGCTATCGCTCTGCCCCCTCCGGACCGCGCACCCAGCCTCCCAGCCACACAGCCATCGCGGCTCGTAACCGCGCTGCGCCGTCAGCACACCAGCAAGCAAACAAGGCTCTATCTTGCCCCCTTCATTGATTATCTAGCTATCACCGGCCTGGTCGGCCCCAGATTGGCATCAACGTTCCCCAGGATCGACACTTGGTCACCTGCCGCGGTGTCCTTGCTTTCATTGCCTCGATGCGCGCACCGGCCGACGCGTTCATCTCACTGCAGTCCCTCACTGCTTATGCCGTTGACCACTAGAAACGCAGTCTGCATCTTCGAATCCGACTCCAACAGAACTAGTGCGGCCTGCCGGGCGGCACCCCATCTCTGCATGTCGGCGCTACTAAAAAAATATGACTTTCCTAATGCGTACAGACAAGACAGCGCAGACGATTCATTATCTATCAGACTTGTCCATTTGTTTCGTCAAATATCGATTTTCCGCCATTTGCGTCTCTTCCTCGCCCTTTTCCTAGCTCTGCGTTCCCTCCACATGACCATGTCGCGCTAACCTATTCTCATCCCCAACAGATTAGACGACGCTCTCTGCTTGTATTCTGACCTCGTTGTGTTTGTTGCAATTCACGAAAATTTGTCAAACTGACCATCTCCGTTCCGGAACCGATGGCGGTGAACATCGCAGAAACCCAGTCCCCCTTGTTCCCCTGCAATGGTGGTGGTTTGACGATGGGGTCACGGCTCTTTCCGGACCCATGACCCCCCTCACATCAGCTAGCTTGACCTGTTCCATCTCTGGCTTTCGCAACCTCATCAATTGTGGCATACCTGAGAAAAGCGCGGGCAAATCTACCCGGCTCATCACAAATGTCGAAAAGCCGCGAGCTGTACTACTAACAAACGCCGACGGCATGAACTACAGGATGCTTGTTTTAGGCGGAAAGTAATCAAAGCCTACTCTTAATACAGTAGAGTTTACTTTTTCAGATCACTTGCTAGTCTTCTACCACCCGTTATAAAAAATGAAATGAAACTGTAATAAAGTTGGATCCTATGCTAGGTGTCCAAATGGCAAACCAAGAGACACTAACGTTGATCTAAGAAAGTAACAAATATGCTGTAGAGCAAGTCCGTATTCGCCCAATGGCTAAAATTATGCCCTCTGCTGTATCTATCTATTCCCAGCTGCGTATGAAGCCTACGACTTCCATGCTCGACCGTCAAACGATTGATACCGCGCTTGTGATTCACCACTAGCAACTCTCCTGTCGTGGCTAGACGCGGTACTCGACGCACTCGGCGATAGCATCAAAGCTCGTGGCATCTTGGTTTTCAGAGGCACACTGCGCAACAAGAAACTTGCAAGCGGACTCGTGCAGGCCAAGCTTGTTGTTGGTACAGTACTCGGCCTGCTTCTGTCGGAAATCGTTGTCTTTTCGGATAGCGGCAGCGTAGACATGAACAGCCGCGACGTTTCTCGGAGAGTCAAGAAAAGGAACAGCCATTCGCGAGAGTGGGTGTGGATGTCTAAGTTGCTTCAATGATTGCCGCGTGTATAAATGGCAGCTCGTAAAGTTGGCTTGTCTCTCAATAAAAATGAGATGGCGATACAGACTACAGCTGCAAAGGCGGGATCGCGAGTCCGCTGCCGACGCATGTGTTTCAAGTCACAACTTATACCGAGTCAGCGCAGCGCGCTTAATGGGACCGGCATTAGAGGAGGCTACTATCTGCCAAGCTTGATATGTATGTCCTGGTGGGTAGTGAAAAGTAAGGGCTAGGGGAGTGGCGCTCCCGATTAGAGATCGAACTACATGAGCTGATCTCATGAAAAAGGCCAAAGTGTAAGTAGCTATTACCCGTACTTTAATAGTACACGAGCACCCACCCGCTGCTTCTTTTTGCAGTATTCTCGAATCTATTTCTGAAGCTTACATTCATATCCACGACAGAAATCCGCCAAGTAGTGTGAGAAACTGCTGGGTTATGGTATGAGCCGACGTGTGAGAATCAAGAAGAGTTGGCAAGAGCACATTTATTTCAGGGTCTCCCTTAAAATGTCCACATCTGAGCCTCGATAATAGCCCCATCTCTTAAATTATAGAATAAAAAGAACGCGATCGGGGCGCTTTAAACGAGATTCTACTTTATTTCGACGCTTATAGAAGGTTTTTATGCTTTGTATCCGAGTGGACTCGGAACGAGTGAAATCATTTTTTCCCAAACTAGTTAGGAGTCGCTTCGCCTCGGGCTATAGAAATCCTGAACGAATAGTAATATTAAGAAAACAGAAAAACACTACTAGTTGAATACAGAAGTGAGACCGCGGTTGTATAATTAGAACGGAGTGGCGGCATCGCCGATACCTAGTGGGTAGATGGCCTTTGCATACCCCGAAATGTGTTGATTAACTCTTTGTAGCTTCTAAGCACTGCATTACTGCGATGCACACGCTTCGCATCGTCACCACTAAATTTTTTGATAGATAAATCGTAAATTTTCTGTGGAAATATTTGGCAAGAATGTGCGTTAATATTGTGACAGTCCGTTCGGGAATGCTAGGCTGAAGGGGGGTATTCGAGAAAGCAGCCCTACCGCTTGTAGCTTCGCTGGGCGAGGCGGTCCGCTCAGATCAGGCACGAAGCTCTTCTTTTTGCACATATATGTGGCCAGCGCTCCCAGCAGCCCAAAAAGATTGGTCTGGACGCCTGAGAGACTGAGTCGGTCCGTCGTTGTCAGACCAGACTGTTAGTTCGTGTGTCATTACTAGACTTGCCGTTGGTCCATCGGTTGGCGCTTTGCCCAACGATAAGTCCAGCCCTGCATTATCGGCTGATTGCAAGAGCGCTGGTGAATCTTGCCTCCCCCCCGTGAGGTTTCCTTTTCCTTCTACTCAGCTTTACGAGTAGATCGACCCCATGCTTCTACGCTTGAGACTGTCAACAATCTTGGTCTTTTTTGCGTCGACCAAGGTAAGCTAGACGACGTCGAGATGTGCTTCAGTGGGCACGTGGGGTTCACCATATGATTCACGCGTTTGTAACGTGCATGGCCACTGTTAGCGCTACGAGTTTTGATAAATCTGGGCGACCTGCTTGATAGACAAGGGGATCTGATCACTGCAAAAGACACCCACCGCAATGCGCAATTTGGCCTTCTATGTGCCTTCGGCCAGTCTAGTGATAGATATCAAGCTGTCGCAGAGAATCTCAAGCAAGCCAATGAATGCCCGCCTCCATAGCTCAGCAATTAGTTCAGTACTATTAACACTGAGTGGCACTACACTGCTCGAAGAAATGTGGTACGGAGTGGGTGAAAGGGCCAGAGGTTCTAAGTTCAACTGTTTAATTGAATCTCGTTCAGGGTTATCATAGGACCAAGATCAGAATGTATAATCAATCGCTATATGGGAAATCTGCTCGTGTATATTTACAAGTCGCTAAATGTCATCAATCATTTCCTCGCCGGCTAAAGGTCAATCAAATCAGCCTATACTGAGCTCGAACCCGAGTATTTATCGCTCTTAAGGCTGACATCGGCTCGCCAATGCTTAAAGTCCTTTGATTTGAGGTTGAGGTCAAACATGCGATCAATCTCGGACGCGGTGCGGCCCTTCATTTCGGGCACGTACAGCCAAGTGATGACAAGGCTGATGAAACAAAAAGCGGCAAAGACGTACCCAACCATGGCGCGCAGGTCACCGGCATCGGGATTGTAGATATAGGGAAGGCCAAGGCCAAAGCCGGCGCTGAAAGCGCTAGAAAACAGCCAGCCGGCACCTTGGGCCTTAGCACGTAGGTGCAGCGTCGAGACTTCGGAGCCAACGGCGTACGTAGCAGGCCAGACGGTCAGACCGGCGCATGCAGTGACAAGAATTAGAATAGCAGAGCAAAACCAAGCGACGGCCATGTTGCGGGCGATGCTGCCAGCAATGCCCATGCTGAGCCAGAGAATACCGCAGCCGGTGAGGCCAACGAGAGAGAGGGTGCGGTGGCCGAAGCGGCCAATGGACCACATGCTGACAAGGTTGGCAATGCAGCCGGTGAGGACACCAGCAATGAGCAGGACCAAGCTCACCTTGGCTTCGATGCCCACAACTTGGCCAAAGTAACTAGCCTGTGATAGGAGGCTGAGGCCAAACATTTGAGGGAGCACGCTGGTGAAAAGGACAACCATGGTTCGACGCAGCTGAATCTTGGAAAAGCAAGCGGTCAGGGTGGCGGGCGTCTGGCGGTTTTCGTGCTCAATGTCGCGCTGCATAATGGCAAGCATGCGGTCGGGATCGATGCCGTGGCCGGCGAGCCTGTGCTGGGCCCTGCGCGCCTTTTCGATTTGACCCTTGCGGATGAGATAGATGGGACTCTCGGGGATGATGAAAGAGACGGCAAAGGCGACGGCGGCAAAAACCCATTGGGTAGCAAAGGCGATGGCGTAGCCATTTGGGGAGGACACGAGACCGTAAATGACGAGGGCGCCGATCAGCTGGCCGATGAGGGTGAAGATGGGAAAGAAGGCGAGGAGCGGGCCACGAAGCTTGGGAGGGATGATCTCGGAGAGGTAAGTTTGGCAGGTCGTCATCATCATACCGAGTGCGAGACCCTGAACGCCCTTGCCGCCGAGAAAGGTGCCGCGGCGGTGTAGAATATCGTCAGGGTACTGAGAGCAGAAGCAGATGGCGACGGCGATGGCAGCGAGTATGGCAGAGACGAAGAATGAGGCTTTGCGACCACACCAATCCTGAAAATAGCCAACAAAGAGAGAGCCAAACATCATGCCGCCGGGAGAAATGAAAGTCCAAAGGCCAAGCCAAAGCGAAGGGATTATCCAGCGGCCTTGATAGAATTCGCCAAAATCTTGCCTGGACAAGAGGTTGGTTGGTTAGTTGCTTGGCAAGGAGTTGGGGTCAGAATGATGCGCAGCAAGGATAAGACGTACTGGAAAGCGGGCATGGACGAAGAGTTGCCGACAATGACGAAATCGTAGCCAAACATGAGAATGGTGGAGGAGATGGCCAGAGAGTACCAAAAGACGCAATTCCACTTCTTAATGGCCTGCCAGAGGCTAAGGTGACCATACTCGTCGACGTCGATGGAACTGCCATTCGTGGGGGTGGTAGCGAGGGGTTCGGCGACAACGCCCGAGTCGTGTTTGTTGGCATATTCGTTTGATTGAAACGAAGCCATGGCGAAGGGAGAAAGGCAGGAAGAGGCGCTGTGCCTTTTGTGGTGATGTATGCTGAGGTGGTGTCGATGAAGGAAGAAGCAAGTGACAAAGGACGAGGGAAAAGTCGATAATGGTCTGGCCGAGCAAATGCAATCTAACATATCTCGAGTGACAGGGCGGGCCTTGTTCTATAGATATACGTACCTACTAGGCTAACTCTAGGAACGGCGAATGGGTAGCAACAGTTGCGGAGACGGGACCAGCTTGGTGGAGGTTGTTGTTGCACAGATAAATCAGTGAGCAAGCATTGAAAGATGGTGGTCAGTGGCGTCGAACTGCCAAAGCAAGCACAGGGATGACCGCATGAGGGCATGCAGTGTGTGTCCTGGCTAGACCCCCCCCGAGGCTGTTGATGAGATGCGGGAAAGGGGACCCTTGCCGCTTGCTCATGATATTTGCTGGGTATGTAACTAGGGCTCGACTTGCCGAAGCCTCTAACTTGGGGGATGTGGATGCAGATGGGGAGGGCGCACCACACTAAATCACGGCGTGGTGGTGGTAACTAGCCCGAAAAGGTTCGCTGAACTCCATCAATCGTCCAATCAATCAATCAAGCAAGCAAATAGAATTCAGCAAGTACATGCCGCAAACCGCGCCAATCGACGCCTTCTCTCTGCCAGAAAAGTCTGGCGTTTGACGTGCCAGGGCGCGAGGTAGGTCAAAGGAGATGCTAATTGACGATCGGCAGAGACTCATCATGGGCGATATGAGGCTGGCTGGACATGGACAGGGCCAGACGGGAAACAAAGAGATGGAAAGAGGGGCGCAATGGGCGGCATTGGATGTGAAGTCGGCGGTATCGATGAAAGCATACCCGGATAGGGCATAATTGATGCTGGGCGATGGCGATAATGGAGGGGGGAAAGGAGGAGGAACGCGTGCAGTTGCGGGGCATGAGCGACAGGGGAAAGTCGGCCTGGGTTGGCTTATTGCCGGAAGGGCCGCCAGATGGTCTCACGGCAGTGCTGGCAAGCCCTGTAACCTTCTAGGACGGTCCCTATAAAAAGTCCCGAGAGACAGTTTGTTTCAGCGACAACCGCCCGCTGCAAGCGCAAGGCACCGCAAAATGCGCCGCATCCACTGGTGATACAGCGCAATACAGCGTGTTGCCCACCAAACTGCGGGCGGCTGGCAGCCAGGCAGCCAACAGCGTACAGCTTTCCCTTAAAGGCATCTCGGGCCGCCCCTTTGAGCTCAGCCACAGACAAACACGTATCTGTCCATGGAAATAATCTTGAGATCATAGAGTCAAGCCGAGGCCGAAACCTTGATTTTTTTTTTTGCCCCCTCTTGTCTGCGCCACTCGTAGCTGCGTTTTGCTTTGACAGACAAAACACATCACTAATTAGGGCCCATCTCACGCTGACGCATCATCACGACTAATAAGTGCAGGTCCGGCTCTTTTGGGTAGCACCCCGTATGGATACTGCTCACAGCCTCGACCAAGTGCCCAAGATGAATTGAATAAAATGGGCAACGGTGAATGCGTTGTTTCTCAAAGGCATACGTACCACGGCATGTCGGCAGCATTGGCTGGGCGCAAGTTGCGGTGACGGGAATAAAGATGATGATGGGCGATGGGGAGGAAAGAGGCAGAGAAGGAGTTTAAACGAAGCAGTGGGGAGGTGATGGAAGCCATAGTTTTGGCGACTGGGAGCTGGTGTGTGGAAGTGGCTTTGGTTTACCGAGCTATTGTTGCAAATGCAGCGAGGTAAATGAAAGATACTCGTTTTAGATTATAATTGCGTTTCTATGAAACGATTGAACCACGAGGTGTTTAGGAGCACATGTAGCGGGTGCATCCCAGTGTGGAGGGGTCGCATCGAGAAGCGGCCACGACGGCGAATACATACACATGGCACACACCCACTATGGAGGACGAAAGAAGAAAAAGAAGAAAAGAAGAAAAAGAAGAAAAAATTCAAGAAAAGAAAATGACAATGAAGAGCGTCGCGTAGATGTCTGTCAGTCTGGACTGGTACAACAGAGAAGCCTCGTGGCCACACGTAGACAGGCGAGAACCGGTTGCTGCGTTTGTCGCTCGTTCTCTGCTGACATCACTCAGGACCCTACTGGTTATGTCTTGCCGGCGTCAAGCTCAGCCATCGCCCACCACCCTTCCCAAGGATACATACCTTGTAAGCTCTCAGCTTACTATGCCCACTGTATCTGGTTGCCTCCATCCAGACACAGCTGCTTTTATTCGCCGTCGATACGTACACACGTAAGGCTGTGCGGAACCTTTTCCCGGCATCATGCCTTGAATGCAACGCTGTCGTGTAGGATTGTCAACAGAAGCTCGTCCCTGGAATATGCTTGAGTCGGCGCAGCAGTCCATCTTTACGCTGACACTGGCTTTGAATCTCTGGTAGACCGCAATATGGGCCATTGAGCAAGACTCTCCATTCAGCAGTCAAAGAATATTCAGCCGTTGGAAAATGACTGCCGGCACTCAGACTGCCAGCCTGTCACCCTCCCCGATAGTTGGATGTGGCTGTGAGACAAGCATCTCGCATCCGTCTTTGCCGGAGCACCAATCAAATCTGACTAACAAAAGCGATTCAATCTCGTAATTGGCCGTATCATTATCCCAGGCGTGTTTCACCTGCTCCCGTCAGCCTTCCGCAATGCCTTATACGCCTGCGCATGAATACTACCACACCACGCCGCCACCCCAAGTGCGCAGTCATGCTAAGACGGTGAGATCGAGCCGCGATCTTCCACGCTATCTTGACTAGTCTTTGCTTCTGCCGGTTCTGCCGTCCACCTCACAGCAAATTGTAAGACCTAATCGGGGGGTGTGGCCAGGGCTGGGTAAGACAGGTGGGGTAAACCATGCATTATGCATCTGCACAAGTCGCAGAGAGGGTGTAGACTTGTTGTCAGCTTTCGTGTTGGGACAAATACATGCGATGATGATAGAGTGCTTCCAGCTATTCGCATAGAAACAGGATACCATTACATTTCAGTATTCCTGTCAAGGGTTGCCGATGAGCGCGCACGCCAAGAGAATGCCGCATGGTGCATGCATGTTAATATGTATTCTAGAAGCTTGAAGCTGAGACTTTGAAACAAAGGCTGTAGTATTTAGTGACATTGCAGCCAGAACTGTCATTCCCTGCCGTGCAACATCAGTACAACTCAAACTGGCCCATCCATAACAGCAATGTCGCCGACGCGTTGACTTTGCACCTGCACGTTTTCGTGTAAAGTTGAAGATTGATGATTGACTAGTGAAGAGATTCGTTCAAATTCGTAGCCTAGGCCAGTCCAAAGGCTGTGTGTGTGTGTGTATGCTTGAAGAGCTGAGAAGGTACCCAAACCCCCCTATAAACACCATTGCTTATTTACGTGTATGCAGATGGCCTACTGCACTCTAACAAGATTTTTCCCCCATTGTACATTGTCGCGTCCAAACGAAACAAGCGTGAGCCTGATCTTTTCATTCTTTTTTCTTTTTTTTTCTCATTCTTCAATTTTTTTTTTTTTGGTTACTCGTCAAAGTGCACCTTCAATGTCACGCCTTCTCCAGGGCAGTTGGTCAGGCCTAGGCCGTGTGACTCGGCCGACAGCGTCGAGCCGTCCAGCTCATCGAAGCGCTGCAGCATGCGCGCCACCACGTAGGCGATTTCCGTGAGCGCAAATTGCTGGCCGATGCAGATGCGAGGGCCGCCGTTGAACGGTAGGTAGTCCCAGCCGGGCTTGCGCTTTTCCCATCGCTCTGGGCGAAAGTCGTCGGCGTCGGCACCCCAGAGGTCGGTGCGGTGGTGCATAACGTGAACCTGGGGTTTTTTCTAAGGTTAGTCTTTTTTTAATACGGGAGCGAAAGATGACAAGAGGGGCAAAGAAAAAAAAAGAAAAAAGAAAAAAGAAAAAAAAAGAAATACTGACCGAATATCCAATATCCTGTCCCTTCTTGACTAGAATCGGCGAGCGTCCATCAGGACCACCGCCCAGAGGAAGCACAGTGTCCTTGACGGCGGCGCGGCCATTCATGGGCACAATCGGGTACAGGCGGAGCGTCTCGTTGATGCACCACTGCAGGTAGGTGAGGTTCTTGAGGCCCTCGAATGTGATTGGTTTCGGGTTGCGGTACGTGCCAAACTCGTCGAGAATCGCCTGGCGCAGGCGCTTGTAAATGTGCGCGTTCCGGGCCTGGCCCATGATGTGGAAGAACCAGCCGAGCGTCGAGGCGGTCGTGTCGCGGCCGGCGAGCAGAATATTGATGAGCTGCGAGCGCAGCTCCACGGGATCCGACGTCTCGCGGGCAATGGCCTCGAGAAAGACGTAGCGCTCCTCCTTGTCGGCGTCGGCCTTTTCGCTAGTGTCGCGCTGCCCGTTGAGGGCCTTTTGCACGAAATAGTCGATGAATTCGTGACAGATGCGCACGTCTTCGCGAAAGGCCTTGGTGTGCCCGATCCAGTAGTTGCTGCCGTAGCGGCCGGCGACGGCGAGCTGGTTCTGCGAGGCGTCAAACGACGTGGCAAAGGCGTGGGCGTCGTTGTCGGCGTCGCCCTCGCGGCGGAGCTGGCTGTTGACGCTCTCGCCAAACAGAAACTCGGTGGCCGAGTCGAGCGTGAGGCGGAAGAAGAGCGGCTGCAGGTCGACGGCGCCGGACCACCCCGTCGTCTTGTCGAGGTGGCTGTCGAGCACCGTCATGAGGTTCTGCACGTGCGTCTCCTCGAGGGAGATGTCGCTGACTTGGCTGCGAACAAACTGCGGACGCAGCATGGCGCGCGAGTGCTCCCACTTTTTGCCGTCGGACGCAAACTGAAAGAGAGGAGTCCAAGTGTTAGCAAAGTCATTTATTGTTCTTGTTCTTGTTCTTGTTTTTCTTTTTCTCCTCTCAATGGGCCATGTTTTGCGCCCGTGTTGCGCTCGTGCGTTTGTGTAAAAAGACAAAGAAAAAAAAAAAAAAAAGAGAGAGCGAGAGACGTACAATGCCTTCACCCAGAAGCGGTTTAAAGTTGCCTCGGCGATTGTCACCGAGGCTAAAGTCCTTGAAGCTCGTCGCCAGAATCGTCTTGATGTTCTCGGGTTCCGACGTGAAGAGCACGCGGCGAAACAGCGGCGCGCTCATCTCAAAGGTGCCGACCGGGCGGCCCTCTCGCGCCGAGAGGCGCGCAAACTCGTGCCGCATCCAGTTGGGCACATTCTTCTCCCGCTGCGCCTTGAGGCCCTTGCGCATCAGACTGATGCCAGACCAGTCGCTGCTGATGCCCGACGGCGCCGATTTGCAGCCGAGGCGGGCGGCCTTGCTCCGGAAGCGTACGTACTCAATCACCTGGAGGAGGATAAAGGCAACGGTCAAAGAGACCAGCAGCGCCGGAAGCGAAATAACGGATAGTACCGCCATTGTGTCTTTTTTTTTTGCTGTCTTGTTCAGTCTCTGAAAAGCCTCTTTTTAAAACCCTTTTTTAAAGAAATTCCACACAAAAAGAAGAAGAGAGGATGCCGAGAAAAAAAGCAAAATGGAGCACAAGTTGGCCTAGTCATGCTGTCCATGGATATATATATATATGGACACGACGACGACCCCAAAGCACTAAGAATAAGTTGGCTTGGAACAACGTCTGTGACACCTTGGCAACAGGGGGCGGGGAAACTCTTCGAGGCCGTACCCGAGCCCGCCGAGTAAGAATGTCGGGGATCGTCATACGGCCATCATGGGCCAAGGCCCCCAAGGACGCCGGCGCTACCCTGGTCGTGCGTGGGTTGGTGCGGAGGGCCCTTGGGGCTGAGGTTTTAAACCTTTTGTTCTTTTGGGGCGACGCCAACATGATCTAGCCATGTGATTGGTCCTTGTCCGATACCTTTTCTCGACAAGTTGATCAACTTATCATCGTACCGTCTCTCCCCAGAGGGGCGGACTTGGCTACAGCGATTGTCCCGTTTTCCCCTCTATTCGTATGCCTCTACGCCAGCCTCTAAGCTAGTAGGCTTACTCCGCAATCTGGAGCTGTCCACTGATGTGTTGCGCATTTACAAAACGGCCTCCAATACAACCGGGTCGGTGTCCACCCTCATCTAGGCAGAAGCAGACCAAATGCATAACTAGGGTTGGGGCATTGTCGTGTGTTTAATGTTAATGCTGCAGAAATGAAAGGTGTATACATAGGAGTCCCCAAACATGTCAATTATATCGAGTATCAATTGTTGAGGCACAACGACAGCCAGTCAAAGAGAGACACCCGGAGTTGCATTCCAGCTCGCAAGATTTGCGCCATTCGTCTTTCTGTCTTGCTCGATGTTTTCTTACGTATTCCAGCAAATCAGCAATGCTCCAATACGCAAGTGCCAGTTTCCTCCACGAGGACGGACGCGACGCTAGCGCTGGTCAAGTGGGCTGCATCGGACTTTAAGGATTCCTTTTTTAGTAATCATTTTGGCACATCTGCGCAAACATAAACTCCGGTCGGGTTGCAGCACAGCCCGCAGCAACGGGTGCCGCATTCAGATGACAGGATGATGTGCGGGTGAGACGCCTGTTGTAAGTCGGACAGCTGTCGACCGAGGCCGATGCGGCCTTGAGAAGCCCGCGTGCATGGGCGGAGGTATATTCAATAATCAAGGGCGAGGATATTAACTCACTGGTAATCAAGTTCCACCCCGTCGCCGCAAAATACACCTACTCCGCCTCAATATCTCCGCAAACATTTCGGGCCGCGTCAGATTGTTAGATGATGGGTCAGGTTATTGTCTCATGGCAAGTACTGCGAAACTGACCAAGCGGTCGCTTGACACTGATGCGAGAATAAATCTACGTGTACGCATTGCAGCTGCTGCACCGCCAGTGCGTCACACAAGACGCCTCACGAGGGTGTCGGGTAGGTACCGGCATGAGCGTCGACGGAGAATAAAGGTAGGTGCGGAACACAAACACGGCTCTTTTCATGCAAGAGATCCGGTAAGGGTCTTTGCCGTGCGAGTTGGCATGCAGCAACAGAACAAAACACTCAGGTGTTTAGGGCTGAGCAAGCCTACGTCATGCCTGCCAAGAAGTCTACATCAAGCCATATCATCATAGCGCTTCAAAATACGTACAGAGTTGTTACCATGTGGTGCAACCAGCGACGCCACATTACGCAGCTCCGGAAACTTGCACGCGGATATCTTGTTCAGGCTGCAGACCCGATACAGCGACTTGTCCAGCACCCGTAGCACTGGACCCATTTCACATCTTGACTCCCCGTAGCCCGAGAATGCATTGCCAACAAGGTGACATTACGCTCCTCGTGGGCGACCCGAGGACACCGGACCCTGTATTCGGGAAATTCGGACTCAGAGTACGGCCGATATAGCGGCACGAACAGCGGGTCGAGGCCTCGGTCCTATAACGCTGCTTCCAGACGCAAGTCCATACGTACATGCTATATTGCATATATGCATGCATGTTGTAGATTTTGTTAGCCCCAGTCCAGTCCAGAAACGGGCCGGCCCTGAGGGGATCGGTGCCGAGGACATCGGTCCCGGGGCGTCTAGGCGCTTCCACCTCGTCAAGGTTGCCTGCCGAATAAAGGTTGAGTCATTTGAGCCTGTAATCTTTCTAGAATTTTGTCACGGTTTCGATTAATAAGCTCACAGCCGCGTACCCGTCTTTGGTCACACTGGGCGGCTATCGCGGAATGACGGACGTCGGGCAGAAAATAAAAGTGACAAGAGCCAGCAGATAAGTCTCGGCTGTTTCCAGTCCCCCTTTGCCTCGGTTTCCAACTCTTATGACCAAGGTCAACAGTCAAGAAGAAGAGATTGAATTGTTTCAAGCATTTCTCAAAGTTTAGCCTCTTCACCTTCCGCCGCAGCTATTGCTTACTTCCTAGAACAGGGTAGCCTACCACCACGGCCGCGGACAACATGAAACACTAGCTATTGAAACAAAAGCAGAATGTATATTACAGTTTTGTAAACAAGCCCGTCATCATTTCGTGCCTACTTTGGTCTTTTTCGCGACACATTTTACACCCAAAAGCGTAGTTTTCGCTCAATGTGCCTGTGCATTGCAGCAATCAGACGTCGAGCATAATTTCTATCATTTCAGTATCAATAGCCATTTTGCACCCAGAGACCATGAAAGAACTTGGGCTGTGCACAACGACGTTCCATGGCCCCCTTTATGCCCCCACTGGCGCTATTGAAGGACCGAGAATTATTATTAGTGAATTAAGCGTATTATCAGGCGTTTTCAAGCAGCATGTTTGAAGATCCTGGTGCCATGTCAGCAAAATGGTGGGGCAAGGCGTACTGCAGTATGGCTTTGCCTCGAAGAAGACTATCGAGGGCTAAATTTCACAGTGGGCAAAAAAAAATGAAGAAAAACAGATACAATAACAAGGAGCGCAAACTAATGTGGTTGATAGTTTTGACTTGGTATATCCTTCGAGTTGAGAAAGTTGAGCGAAAGTTGAAAATGGCGAAAAGTGTGGCTTGTACGTGGGCGGGAATAACTTGGCAACGAAAGCAGAGGCACCTAGCCAGAATTCTCCCAAATTTTACCAATGCAACATTGAGACAACTACCGATCACTATGTAGAAACCCGTCAATGAGCATCGAGTCGCTAGACTAGTATAGCTCGTCTGGAGTTTTGGGCTATGAGCAAGTCCCCCCCCGTGATCTCCTCATTATGTGGTCTGCATCCCATCACCAAAACAAGCCCTAGCTGTCAGCAATTTGTGGGCGTTGGGCTTCAAAACAGCACGGCACGCCAAGATTGAACTTGCCGATGCTTTTTCAATGATGAGCGACGACACTACCCACTTGCCCAGATTGAGTAAATGGCCGGGGAGTTGAGAGGGCTGACCACAACGAAGCTGAGAAGGCTGATCCGAAAATAACTGGTCTTTGTAGATCCCCTTGTATTGGCTCCATGTTTGACAAGGGCTAGTAGCGTCTTGTATATAAAAGAAGTTGTCTCAGTCTCCAATGGAAGTTTTGTTCCAATATATCTCCTCTGTATAAACGACATCACCATGTACTCCTCTGTCATCACCTCCTTTGCCGCTGCGGCTCTTCTCGCCGTCGCTTCCGCCAGACTCGACAAACCCGTCATCAAGCCACCCATTCCCAACGGCGGCCTCGGCAGCCTAGGCCCGGACCTCATGTCGTCCCTCCCCATTGCCGCCCACACCACCTCTGACTGGGACCCGACCCATCTCCCGCGGGACTGCAAGCGCCTCGCCCAGAGCGCCGGGTTCTCTCCCCTCGACGTCGACGCCTTCAACATTCGCTTCGACGACTGCAAGCAGCAGCCATGGGTGTTTTGCCGGCACAAGGACGCCCCGCTGAGCCAAAAAACAATGGCGGAGCTGTTTGGCCGGCTGCCGGTCCGCATGCGCCAGTATATCCGGCACATTATCGCGCTGCCCGGTCAGCGCTCCGCCGGCAGCGCGGGGGATAACATCCAGATGAATGGCGACTGCGAGATTACCGTCTTTATCCACGAGACGGGCCACTCGCTCGACTCGCACGCGTTTGACCCCAAGCACGGCGTGCCCTTTTCCAGCAGCCGGGCATGGAAGGACGCGTACGACAAGGACACGGCCGTCACCGACGACTATGCGCAGACGTCGCAGCAGGAAAACTTTGCGCAGGAGACGGTCGTTGCCGTCTACGACAAGAATGTCAAGGGCGGCGGCATCGGCAAGATTCAGCCCAACGCTCAGGCCATCCGCAACGCCTACACAACCTTGGAAAAGTATATTGGTGACATTATTATCCCGGGGGGCGAGTGCACCCACCGTCTGGAGAATAGCCCGGCGGTACCCAAGGCCGATTCGGCCAGGACACGCCTGGTGGCCAAGTCTGAGCCCGTTGGTGAGGGCTTGACGAGAATTGAGCCGATACCAATGGGGCCAATTACTTTAGCTCGCTACTAGAAAGCTAGATTCTGTTTCTGGGAAAACTTACTGGGAGTAGGATATGGTGTTATTGAGCTGGTAGCATATAAACCAACATATGAAGAGATGAATAAAGAAGCAAGAACAAAACAAAAATATAAGGAAAGGAAGACTTTTATAAATAAAACACATGTTTGTAACGTTGCTCGCAGTAATACTAATCAATATAAGAAGCACAGTCTGGATGACTTGTTAAGCAGCGCTCTCCGATGCGACTAAATATGGGAACAAAATTGTATTGTATTGTACATGGGTATATATTCTAAATGTTACATGTCGCTTCGCTAAAAATCTCGATTAAACTGCGTCCAGCACAGCACCACCCCTCCCTTGCGCCTTTTTTTCTTCCTCTCTGCCCGCATCTCCCACGCGCCACCGCTCAGCTGTCCCCCATAATCTTCTTGAGCGTCGTCGGCGGCGTCGCGGCGAGCGAGTACTCTCTGTACTTGCGCGCCGTGAGCGCGCGGCCCTTGCGGCCCCATATGATCAACGGTAGGGGAATCAGCACCACGACAGACGCGGCAATGGACATGAAGACGAAGGCGGAGTTGACGCCTGAGGGGCCGACCTGGGGCATGATGCCGAACCAGAGGATGACGGCGAGGGCGTTGCGGAAGAAGACGACGCCGACCATGGCATCGCCAATCATCTAAGAGGGATTGTGTTAGTGGTGGGAAGTATGGCGAGGATAAGAACGGTTGGAGGGGGGTGTGACGCACGTTGTGGTAGCAGTCGGTGATGTAGGTGAGACTGGTCTCTTGACAAATGCCGTATCCAAAGGAGAAGAGAATATAGCTGGTGAGCAAGATCGAAATTGGTGCTTTCTAAACGGGCAACAGAAGTTAGTACATGATACATTATTTACTCTTGCAATTTCCACTTGGCACAGAAGATGCTGCATTTTTTAACGTGGGAGCGGAAAATTCTCACCCGTTCGATGCCAATGCCAAACATCAAAATTCCCGCGGCGACAAAGACACCACCGCCGAGCGCAAACCAGAGCCGCGACTCGGGCTCGTAGACGCCGCCGCTGCGCCGCGCCCTGGCCACGATCCAGTAGTCGCTGAGCGGCGGCACCACGAGACTACCGAGAACGTGGCCGAGCAGCGGGGCCAGGTCGAGCAGTGCGAGCCCGCGGCGGTCCAGGTCGTACGGCGGCTGCGTCATCTGGGTCTGCACGACCTGGATAAAGAGCGAGAGCCAAGCCATGAGGAAGCCGTAGGTGAGGGCGGCGTAGATGACGCCGGGAAAGGTGGCGAGAATGACAAAGGCGGACAGAAAGCGGCGGCGGATGGGCCGGCCGGTCGGGGTGACAAAGGCGAAGCGCTGGCGGAGGGGTCGGGGACCGGGCGGGAGATCGGGGACCGCGGGGCTGCCGGCGGCGCGGTTGATGTTGACCAGGTCCATCATATCATAGTCCTCGGGAGACATGGTGTTGCGGAGGTCGTCTTCGTCGTCGAGGGCGCACGAGACTCGACGGTTGTAAAAGGTGTCATTGTTGATGCGCTCCTCGGCCTCGCGCGTCTTGGCGGCGACCAGGTTGTCGATATTCGGGACAAAGGTGGACTCTTCGGCGCCGAGCAGGACGAGGACGGCGGTGGCGCCAAAGGCGACGGCCATGGCCCAGGGCATCCAGCGCCAGTCCTGGTCCTGGCTGGAGACAATCTCGGCGGCGAGTATGGGGCCGATGAAGCACCCTAGCCCTTGCGCGAAGACGGCGAGACCGTAGACGGTGGCAAACTGGTGGATAAAGAAGAGGTCGGTAATGGTCATGGGGACGAGGGCCTGGGCGACGACGGCGCCGGCGCCGCCGAGGCAGTTGGCGGCGCGGTACTCCCAGGGCCGGCGGACGAGGGCCATCCAGACGGCGGCGGAGAGCTGGACGAGCAGCGAGGCCAGGTACGCAGGGCGCCGGCCGTACTTGTAGGCGAGCGGGACGGAGACGATGGCGGCGAGGGCCATGCCAATGTAGCGGAACGAGGCGGAGATGGCGAGCTGCGGCACGTCCATGCCAAGGTCGGCGGCGAGCCGCATATCGCGCAGTCGCAGGAGGCTGAGGTCGACAGAGGCAAAGGTGACGCTGATGTAGACGAGGATGACGCCAAAGTGGATGGATTTGCGGCGGAGAGACCAGTTCTGGACATGTTGTGTGAGCGATGATGAGGGGGGAAAGGATGGGCAGAGAGAGTTTGATGATCAGAGAGCAGAGACGGAGGCGGACAAGAGGGATTAGTAGGAAGAGCGTCTAGTGACTTACGAGAGGATCATCGTAATCGTCTGTTGGCTTTGGGTAGGAGATGATGGTGCCGTTCTGGCCAATTAGCCGTACCGAACCCGGAGGAGTCATCTTGCCCGTCCGACGATGCAAAATGAAGTTGCAACTGGTGTGAGAAGCAAAGCAAAGAGTTCAAGAACGGCAAACGTGGACAGTTAATATTATACTCATATATCATCCTCTGGCGATCCCAGTTTCGTCTTGTTTGAGATCTTGATGGGGGCCAACGCAGCACGCCCCCCTCCATCCTTCCCTACTCTCCCCTTCCCCCTCTGACCTCTTTCCCCCCTCCCTCTCAGGCACAGCACGGCCTTGAGATGAAAGATGCATGAATACACATAAAGTCGGTTAAAAAGAAACTTTATTTTTTTTTTTTAAAAAAAAAAGCAGACAAGCCTGTGTGTTGGGCGGCGAAAAAAGAGCATCAAACGTCGGCAAGAGCCATCAAGGGGGGCTGCTGCTGTTTCATGAGTCTATAATCTTGTTTTTTCTTGGCAGGATAAGGCTGGTGGATTGAGCTTTGATAACGGGGAGGGTCGTTTTGGAGGTGGCAAAGGGTTCATCTGCCGCCCTACCATGAGCGCCCGGGGAAATTCTTTTCGATTCTTCTATTGTTATTATTTTTGACCTTGTTTTTTTTTTCACTCTTGTAAAGCAATACTCAACTACTTGGTACGCGAACAGCGCCAAAGTCTTTCTTTCCGTAAATTCCGCATGCAGAGCTTTAAAATGGGCCAAGCAGGCTGTCGTATGTCCGTTGTCCGCGATGGCTCCCTCGCTCTCGACAAGACCGTGCGTGCTTGTTGTCAAATAGAGTTTTTGTCTTGTCTCGAGGGAAGCATCCTTCCGGCATCAATGCCACGCAAACCCGGCTGCGATCCTGTTCACCTCGTGGCAGAAACGGGCCCGAAGGGGGACCCTCGTTGGTGTGGGCGCGCTCGTTACAGCCCACTTGGTTGAGCGTTTCAAAAGTGCCATGGGAGTTGATCTGGGTTCTTTTTTCTAGATATTTTGATTCGCTCAACTAAGCAAGGTTGTCTGTCTAACTATGCGAACCATATATTACATACTGTATCGCGATCGGCGGTGAATGATAGCCCCATTGCGTAAAGAAGATGTAAAAAGTGATGACTACCAGAGGCTTGGAAAAAATAAATTAAATCTCAAGATTCAAGCTTAAAAAAAATGAACCAATCAATGTACATTGGGTTTTTTTAGCGCCCGCCGCTTCTACTTTCGGCTCACGGCATCATCGGCTTTACGCCATTCTTCATGCCGCCAAACTCTACCTTGGGATGCCCTAGTTAACTGGTCATCAAGTAAAGCTTAGCTCATTTGCAGCACAATAAAAATTAAACCCGGACCCAGGCAATCCCATCATTGCCCTCTTTGGCATCTTATGCCGGCCAAAAGCTGGTAGAGTTTGCCCTTCAAACACGAGTAGTGTCGCAACCCGACCAGCCGGCGCCTCTCCCGGAGGTCATTGCGCTGCGACACACTATGCTTTTCGCCTTTGTAGATAGATTCCTTTCTCCTTCTCTCTCTTCCTGTAATTACACATGGATTGACGCTGACCAAACCATTCTCCACTCGAGCATTCTTTCTCAGCCTCGCTCAACGCATCCCCCATGGGCAATGTCTGCATGCTGACGCTTGCGAGCTCGACCAAGGGGTCCGTGTTTCAGAATCGTGCGCCCCCTCCTTCAAGTTTTGTCTTGATGTTCTGTTGCAAGAACTTTTTGCATCTACCGACAGCCGAGTCATCAACCGAGAAACAAAATACAGAAAATAACAAGACCACTTTGGCAAGTAAAATCCATGTTATCAGCAGACGACTGTCGCACCAACACTGACAAGGCTTTGACAAGGCTATTCCCACGTGGGAGTGCACACATGCATGTCTCGGCCATGCTCCGTCGAACTTGTCTCGAAGCGCTGATCCAAGTGAATGATGCATCCATCACACCACCCGACGGAGCACGCAAGCCGACGGAACCCTCGATGGCTCTTTTTTTGTCAAGTTGTTGTTGCCATTCCACAAACTTTTGCCACGCCTTCAAGTCCACCACCGCTAGAAACCGGGCGAGGTATCCGTGACAATCGTCGCGGCAGTTTCATGGCATTGAGCTAGCAACCGCTGTTAGAATACCCTAAAGCTGCGCATCGAAAGTTTTTTTTTATTTCATGTTATATTTCATGTTATATTTTATTTTCTTCCTTCGCCGCCCTTGTCACGGGCTCACTTCACAGTCGAGCGGTGATAGGGGCAAAACCTGACAGCCCAGCAGCGGCCCGATGCAACGTCGCAGCAAATCTGGGGAATTCTTTTTATATCTCTTGCGTGATCCCTTTGTTTCACCCTAATTGAACGTGTCAGCAGTCTTGCACCATACACCAATCGATGAGCCATCGTAGTTGCGCCGCTCTAGGCGACACGATTGAGCAGCCGGACCATCGACGATCGCGAATTCTTGGCCTCTGCCGTTGGCCTCTTGCCTCTGCTGTTGCGTTATTGCCCACGAAGCGCCAAGGAGAGCGCGGTGTTTTCGGTTTAAATGTAGCCGAGAAGCCGCAGTACCTCTCGTCTGCTGCATGAATGGATTATCGCTCTTGCCTCGTCAAAGCTGTGCAAAAGGGTAGCTATGGCGTGAGTGGAAATGTTTTTTTTTTTTGGCCATTCATGTCGGATTATGACCATCTTCAACAATACTCCCACGGCCTTCTAGCTACAGACAACAGGTGGCCGCTCATCGAGGGCGTAGAAACGGAACTGAGTGGCAAAAACACACAAGGGCTTATGTCACCAAAGCCCAATCTGCAAGATGTAAACCTCCCGGAGCGCATAGTGTACTGAATACTGAGACCATGTGATACAATACGAAAAAGCTGTAAAAGTTTTCGCCTTTATCCGTTTCGTCATGGCGGCCAAGTCGGCCACGAAATCACGCAACCACCAGCCTCGCTCGCGCACCGTCTGTCTGCACAAGGCCGAGTTCTCGTACCATCGTGAAACGGCGATACACACGGCTCATGTCAGATCATTTGGATGACTGAGCCAAACAGCCCGCCGCCGTCATCGGCACACCGCATGATATTGCGCCAGGCTCTTTTGCCACACCTCATGGCCGAGAAAATCCGAGTCGCATGTGCCGAACCGAACGAGCCTATTCACGCTTCCCCGTGCGGGAGCTACTGTAATGAGGCCTGCACAAGCGCTCTTCAGAAACAAAAGATGTTGTGCCGATACGGGACGACAGAGTAACAAGTACGCTTCGTAAACTGAGACGGTGCAAAAAAAGGAAAAGTAAAATATATGGAACGAGCTCGTTTGATGTTGGTGAATCCATGAGCTCACGCCGATCTCTTTGAGAAGCAGAAAGCTTTGGTCTAGTCTGAAAAGTTTGCAGTTTCATGTGTTGCGAGGGAAAAAGACGCATCAATTTGCATTTCGTGACTATCTAGCCCGTGTACGGAACTGCGATGCATCGCTTTCAAAGCAGATGCCGTCCAGAGCGGCAGCTCTAAATCTCAAAGGAAGAAGGCGGTATTCTTCCATCCACGAATGATTGTAATGAAAAGAAGGGGCTCGGGGTAAAGTACGCAGTTGGCTCTTTGATAAGCAAGTTATTACCAAAGCGTACATCCTTGCTTTCATTGTCACTAGACACCTAGACGATCCCTTGACGAGCATTGCCATTTGTTCTCTAACTTTTCTCCCTGTGACGCGCGCGTCGTTGACCTAGCTGGCAACGTTCACAAGTGAGTACGGTTGTAGGACAACTTTTGTCGTCGACCACATTAGGACAAATATGGTCCTGAATAGTACTCGTAACTCGAAATGGATTCCTTGCAACAATAAACTTTTCACCGCACAAAAAACGCCTCGGCCAACATGGCCCATGTATAGTCGTTGCATCTCGTCGTTGTACGTATCTCATCGTTGCACCTCGCACGTTTAACGTCGTTACACATATCTATTCTAGGCAAAGACCGCGGAAAAGTCGCCAGTCAATGTTAATTCCCATATTCAAATCTATCTCAAACCAATACAGCGCGTGGACCGTAGTACGGTCTTTCAATCGAGAGCTCCCTGTCACCACAATACAAAGCCAAACGTGAGGAGAAATACAAAACAACGACCACGCAGACAAGCCGGGTCCAATCGGCAAAAAAGGTTTGGTTCTATTCATATTCCAAGAGTATCCCTTCCACCATTACCAGAATCGCCCCAATTTCCACTTCCACGGCGACTCACGCAAAGGCCCTCATTCAAAAAGTAATCTTGAACATCATCCGCAGCGTCAACAAGCAAACGCATCATGATGTGCCCGCACATCATCTCTAAAAGATGCTATTCACAATATTGCTACCAATACTGGCGCCCGCGCCAAAAATCGCCGCATTTCCCAGCTTCTTGCCAAACTTTTTCCCCATCTCGCCCGCCTTGCTGCCCTCGCCCTCCTGCGCCTGCGCCTGTCCCTGACCGCCCTCGGCCACCGCCATCGGGGGCACATTCGCGTTGTACGGGTTCTGCTGCCCCGGTGGCCCCGCCGGGTATCCATACTGCGGTTGCGGGGGGCCATAACCACCCGGTGCCGCCTTGTAGTCCGGCTCGGGCAGGACGTAGCTCCGCGGGAAGATGCCCTCTTGGCCGGTGCGCTGGTTCATGCCCATCCACCAGTCCTGGTTCATGTACTCGTAGACGGCCACGCGGTCGTCCTTTTCAAACGACAGGTCGCGGGCGTCGGTCCCGGCGTAGCGGTACAGCGCGGACGCGTGCGCAATGATGGGCCTACCGGGCGGCGCGCTGCGAGGGGGCATCGCGGGCGCGGGAGTGTTCTCGTACGAGGGAGGCGCGGGCGATGTCGAGCCGAGGTGCATATTCTGGAAGCCCTGCGTCGGCGGTGGCGCTGACTGGTTATTGTCGCGGGTCGTCGGCGCGGGCGAAGGGCTGGCCACGGCGGCGGGGTTCGCGATATTGGCGTTGGTGCTCGTTCGTAGAGGTCCGGAGAGGGAGGATTCGGGCGGCAGGGAGGTGTGGATGGCGTCAAAGACGGCCTCGTCAATGACACCTTTCTCGAGTAGATTTTCCAGCTCCTACAACCCCAACGGCAAACTGGTTAGCAGAGTTCGACTTTTTCACACGAAACGCGAAAGGCCCAGGCATGTGCAAGGAGATTGGCAAAGGGACAACTGTACGTTTTTTATATTCCGGAGCGACCGGTTGGTCTCCATGATGGTCTGGCGGTCGGCGGACACCATGTTGGCGGGGGTGGGCGCGGGAACGAGCAGACAGTCGGTAAGTAATGAATGGGCTCGCAAGGTGGTGGTATGTAGGGAGTTGGAGAGACGTTGTCTGTGATGATTATCGAGCAGTAGATGTGGCCAGTCGGCTGGAGAGAAACTGGAGAGAGTATGTAGTGGCCAACTAGTGGGGGAGGCTCGGAGGCTGTTGCGTGCGTGCGGGCCAGCCCGGTTGTGGCGATGAGCTGTGGCAGTGCATCTTGGCCTCGTGTTGGTTGGTGACGTGCCAACCTGCCGTGCGCGCGTAGCAACAAAGGACAAGGAGCAAGCCAAGATATTTCTCGACGATTTCCAATAGTTGATATTCTTCAATTTTATATTACAGAGGACACGCACCTGGGCCTGCACGGATTCAATACTGAGATTTTATGCATCAGCCGGGGGTTGATCGTCATGGCAGCAAACACGAATATCTACACTGAATAACAGACATTAGCCGGCTGCCATGGACAAGCAAACATGAATTGTATTGCTTGTCCCATGCATTTGTATAAGCGAGTCAAGGGGATTTTTAAAAAGACTCAGCGCCCATTTCCCCTTCCTACTCAATCTGAATCTTGCGAAACCACGGGTACAGAAAAACTTGGGCCACGTAGGCCTCTTTGCAACATCATACTGCAAGATCGAAGGAATCAGCTCCTTGACCATTTGGGCGTCATCCTCGCCAAAGCCAGGTTTCGTGTCATCAAAACCTTCCTCCTTGGTAGCCTGCGGTAGCAGTAATACTTCTTTATTCTCTCGAACGCCGTTGAGCATGTAATTGTAAAGCGTCCCATCCGAGTCAAAATTACAATACGCCGTCTCCAAAGCCCAGTAGTCTTTCTCAGACAGAGAATCCAACCAGGTAATGAGTATGATGAGATAGTCGTCGTCTTTCCACGCGGAAGCGAGCAAGGCAAAAAGTCGCTGGTCACGGTGAATTCAAACACGAGACAACCAAAGCTCCAGATATCAAGCGATGCGCCCAATTCCCTATGCAAGACGAATTCAGATGCCCGCATCAAGCGGTGCAACGGGCTTGGACGTCTTGTCGGATGAGAAGCAGGATGCCAATGTTATCAAAATCTCTCAAGACTCCAAGGACTGCTAGACACTTTTGGCCATATTCGCCGCGTATGCCGGGTAGCAAATTTATATCCCGTACATGGGAGGCTTCAACTTGGGGGAAGCTCCTCAAACGATTCACATTTGGGTCCACGAGCTCAAAGACAAAGCATCCATGTGTTCCATTGAGCGCCTCGTGCTCAAGACGGTCCAGGGGTAGCGTGATGCGCCATTTGCCTCTAGCGGTGCTTGAGCGGCAACGTAATTCAAAACTCGTAACTCGGTATTTCGTTCTGAGATATGAGAGACGAAATTTTCAGGGCAAAATATCTTCCCTGTCTTTCGCATATTCAGTAAATTTGACACTGATCATTGCATCTTTGTGGTATTCGTGCAAAACCACCGACCGACGTATTTTCTTGGCCAGCTATGCGGTCGAGTGTGATGTCTCGTCCAATTTGCGTTTTACTCTTACTGTTCATGATAAAACGGTCACCAAGAGCAGCTAGTTGATAGCTACCGGGGCGGTAGTCTGCGATCCAAATATGCTGTTGGGGTTGTGGCGTAACGCCGATTCCTTTAAATGGCCTCATCGTTCACACAGTGACAACGACGCACTGTTTCAAAGTTGCCCTGACTCCCGCCGGATCTGACAACCAGCATGGGAGGAATGTCTCAGCGGATGCCGGGCCGGGGCCATTCGCCATTGACAAACCAAAGATGCGGCGTGAGAGGTTAAAGACGGTGTGTGAATCGTGATATGATGGCAGTAGCCCTCAATCCGGGCATGCGAAAATCTACAATACATACCAAGGCATTGTCGTGGGGTTTAGATGACGTCTTGCACGCGCGCTGAAGCGGCTTGGTGATGCAGGGATATACATCGGGACAAGTCCAAGGGTCTCGCTCAGCGGCCAACCAGGGTCATAGACAGCGATCGGGTAAATGCAGGTCCGAGCGACGGTATTTGTACGATTGGTATGGCAGAAACTCGATGTGGCGGGAGCTCTCATCATCGAAGAATAGAGTAGTTGTCTTGACGTAATGGATGCAATTGGCGCTGCAACGGTGCCGCCAAAAGTGCAGCACAACCAGAGGTTGATTAGTGCCTAAATACCTAGATGTACCTCGGTGTTTCTGGAGCCGGTTCGAAAGATTTCACAGGCCTTGGTAGCCGTAACATTGCAGCGCGATACCACAGTGTGAACTGCAGATGTCGCGTGTCGTGCCGTCTTGCATCTGTAGACCCTTGGGCGAAGTGGAGCGGCAGTAAACTTTCTAAGCCCTGCATGATATCGGAGGAGAAAGGAGACACGTTCTTGCATGTACGAATTGGCCAGCAGGGAGACACAGGAGGAGCCGGGCCTTGGACCGCACGGCCCAGAGGGGGAGTCGAATACGCAAAAAGTAAGACCGCGGAATGACGATTAGAACTTGTTTGGCGGGGGGCGGTCTGCGTGTAAGCAAGTTATGTCTGTCTCGAAACGCTGGCTTTGGTACTGGCGTGAATGCGAGTTATCTAGTTAGTTAGTGAGTGTCGATCATTCGGTCGTTACTGATGACCAGTAGGAAGTGAACGGTAGCTTGGCCCCATGCAATTTCATAATACCGTGAGCGATATGATATGAAGGGCCGCTTTTAGTCAATGAAGATCGAACAAAGGGTCCATGGCATTTGTTTATTATTGGGCATGCACGAGCCGTGGTGGGGGAAGCTGGTGAGGGAGGCTGGTGAGGAGCCTCTCGGGGTACAGCTGATTGCCGGCAGGCGGCCGATCCGGTTCGTGTTGAGTGGCGGATGTCCCGTTTCGGTCACGGATAGAAGGCTATGAACAACGAGCAGCTAGATGATAGAGGGCCCAGGTGATGCAATAGTCTAGAAGCACCGGTCGAGTATCTGCGGTGAGCAGTGTGTCTGTACGCGGGTGCTGCATCAGCCTTTGCGGCGACTCGGAGACGGGTAGCGGGCATTCATGTCATGGAGAAAGGAGCGCAAGTCAGAAATGGTACTCGGTAGTTACTTGTACATTTGCAAAAAGATGGCATCGAGTTGCAACTTGCGAGCAGCGACGCCCACTTGGCGTGGAACAGGGAGTCGTGCGAGGCTTGGGCATCTCAGCTAGGCAGGGTTCAGGGAGGAGCCGGGGAGCGGCATATGGATCGGAATAGGCAGGCAGGGAAGTCGGTGAAATGTTGGAGATGATGGGAAAGGTAAAGCGTGGATGGCTGATGATGGGCGGCTGCATGAGTGGGCGAAGTTTATAGTGCAGAGGAGGTGAGGCAGCGAGGCTCGGGTTGGGCGAGGACAAGGTTTGGTGGGCAGTTTGAGAGGGACAATGGGGGGAGCTGAAGATGCGGGACGGGTGTGAGAATTTTGGTGGGTATTTTAATCGAATTTCCTTGGGACAATTGGAATCAAGAATGCTTCTCACAGCTGGAGAGGCATATCGGTGTACGAATTGCCGAGTAGGTACCGTTACATCGGTACCTGGCAATTTAGCCACATGTATTGAATGCCTCATTTGCTTGTCCATTCAAGTGTCCGTACCTACTGGCTGGGTAAATGCAGGCTGGTATCTGCAGCGGTAGACTGCAACGACCAGATTGTCAAGCAAATGGAAAAACATGGCTTCAATTATTTTCATCGTCGCTTTCAAAGCGGAACATGGGCCATGGCCATGTCGGGACCATGTCGATATCAAGGTTGCCAAAATAGGAACCCCTGGCTGCACGCCTTTGTTGGTAGCCACTTATATGGGTTAATGGGCTCCCGATGCCCTCGACGGTGGGCGGGTGACGGAAATCGCGAACATCCAAGAGGACAAATTGGGGGACGACTCATGACGGTATGGGTACGGCGGTGGAGGCAGACCATGGCTAAAATTCAGGCAAAAATAAATTGAGAAATCTCGAGTCAATGCTTTGGTTTATGATTCATCTCGTATCTTTATTTTATTTCTTGAATCCTCATTGATCCCGATATTTTGCCTCGGTGCGCTGTCTCCGACTGGCAGTTGAACATTATTGTGGGTACCTACCTAAAAATACTTCGCTACAGCGGCAGTGCAGTAAAACGGCCCTGTAATCCAGGAGTTTTGGCGCATTGGCCCGCTGTAACTTGGGGCTTTGCTGGCCCAAGCGAAGCTTTTTACAACCTTTTGGGGCTTGCGGCGGGTGGGGCTAGAAAGTTGCTCTTGTCTTCATTCGGGCTTGACTCTCCACTTACCCCACTCTCATACCCTGGACGACCTCTCTCTATTCCATGTTGACTACCTTGCACTTGACCAGAAATTGTCTCTACTCCCACCTACTCTGTAAACTACAGCACAGTGCAAGTATCATTTGCCCATCTCATGTCCACCCCTCCCCTTCTCTTCATCCATCCCACAATCGATCCAATCCGTCCATCCATCCATCCATCCATCCATCCCTCCCACTTTGCGCTGTTGTCCACTTCAATACTGGTACCCTTCTCATTGCGCGATCGATCACCCTCCTGCATCTTCCAGCCATCGCTTCCATGATGCATCCCTCCACGCCCGCACACCCCCCGGGGGTCTCATGCCCCAATGCTCCCGCAAACTCTCAAGGCCTTGCGCCTCGCCGCCAGCTCCGGCTACGCCATTGCACCCAAGACAAAAGCCAACATGACCCTCCTCTTTGACACTTGGTCCTGCGGTCCTGACTGTTCGCCCACGCCACGCTAGCTTCATGAACCCTTTCCATCCCGAAACAACCTACTCCGTACTGTGCGCTGAGTTTCCGCTTCCGCGTCATTGCTACCCAGCATCGATCATCATCTCAAGATCCATGACCAAACACGCCGCTATCTCTTGACAAATAATCAACTCTGGATTACAATATACAAGAGTACAAGATTACGCTCGGCCGTCTTCATACACTCTGGAGCCTGCTTCCTTACTTCAGCTCTTTCCGCCTTCATTCAGCTTTTTCTCCTGCTCGTTGCTCCTGCTTCTACTCGACGAATCACACGCTACCAGCACACCAGATCGCCTCAGGCGCTGACGTCGACCTACCTACCTAGGTACTTACCTACTGCCGCTATCAAGGGTCCAAACAATCTGCAAAGTCGCCATTCCTTAACAGTACCACGCTGTTACGTGCCTTTACAGATTCGGTTCGCTTCGTCTCCCGTGGCTTCCGCATAAATTATCATCAGCAGCTTAGAAACGCCAGCAATGTTCTTGTGGATCTTGACTTGTTATTAGAGTTGCCCATTGTCTTGCCGCCTTTCTTTTTCTTCGCCGACCACCAAGCCTGCCAACCCGCCCTCGCTTGCTCGCCAGCTAACTAGCTTGCCTTGCTTGCTTTGTCGAGCCCGTCACTTGACATTCTGGTAGCCCATCTTCCCGGTTTCCGGCTCGCTACCTTATCATTATACTAAATCTCCCCATTCAATATTTACATTACACCCCATTCGCTTACTCTATACGTTTCTCCCACTTTCCGGTTCTCCTCCTTCAACTCCCGCGAGACTCGGCTCGCATCGGCAGCAACAAACCCCGGCATCATTCTCAAGTGCTCCCTAGCTCGCCATGACTGCCAGCAGAGTTCTCGTCTACCTGCTACGCCGCGACCTGAGACTTGCTGATAATCCCGTTTTCCATCGTCTCACCTCGACTTCGGATCATGGATTCACTCACTTGCTTCCCGTTGTCGTATTACCTCCCGACCAGATCGAAACGTCCGGCTTCCTCAAGTCTGACCAAACTTCTCCTTTCCCGCTAGCTAAGAGCAGAGTGGGCAAGTTCTGGCGCTGCGGCCCTCATCGCGCAAAGTTCTTTGCGGAGGCTGTTTGGGATCTGAAGAATACCCTTTCTTCCCACCAGAGTGGTCTCATCATCCGCGTTGGACCCCCCGCCGACGTTGTTCGCGCCATTATCCAGCATCTGCAGTGCTCGGGTGAGGCCGCTGTTGCCGCTGTCTGGATGACTGACGATGTGCCTTGGGAAGAGAAACGACAACAGGACGACATATCCGCCGTATGCAATAGTGCCAATGTCGACTTTACCCTCATTCCCGATGAGAAATACTACATTGACGAGTGCGTTTCTGCCCGACTGATATGCATATCCTGAAACAAATTGCATTCATACGTCTAACATTTTTTCAACCCTATAGTCGCGATGTCGATATTGCTACCCAAGAGCTTCCTGATGTCTTCACGACCTACCGCAAATCACAAGAGCCACTGCGCGAAAAGCCTCGAGCAGTATACCCCAACATGAAGTCTTCTCTTCCTCCGTTGCCGCCAGACACTCTGATACCGCCACAGGCTGTGCCTTTTCAGATACCGGATGACCTTGATACCTTCCAGAAATACCTCTCAAAGCCCCTTGTTTTCGACTTGCCGAATCCTCCCGTCAACCCCGAAGACGCCAAATCCGCCCATCCCTTCCTCGGCGGCGAGCAGAGCGCAATTGATCGATTGCAGCACCTTGTTAAATCTGGAGCCGCTTCGTCTTATTCCGACACACGCAACGGGCTTCTCGGCGTCGACTTCAGCACCAAGCTATCAGCGTTTCTCTGTCTGGGCTGTTTGACTGCTCGCCAGATACACAGCGAACTGGTCAAGCTTGAAGATGGCACGGACGAAAAGTACCAAGACGCTCCTGGATACGGGCAGGGCGAAAATAACGGCACCAAGTCCATTCGCTTGGAACTGCTTTGGCGCGATTATATGCGACTTTGTACCAAGAAATTCGGCACAAAGCTGTTCGCTGCCTCTGGCTTCCGAGAAGTTGATGGGTATAACAAGAAGTGGAAAACAGCCAACAGCGCCACGGCCAGCTCCGATCAGCATCCCTCCCCGCAGAAAATCGGCGAAATTATACAGCGATTCTTGCAAGGCAATACTGGAATGGGCCTGATCGACGCATCTCAGCGGGAGTTGTTCGCCACCGGCTACACATCGAACCGAGCTCGACAGAACGTCGCCAGTTTCTTTGCCAAACACCTTGATATCGATTGGCGCTACGGAGCAGAGTGGTACGAATGCATGTTGGTCGATTACGATGTCTCTTCCAACTGGGCTAATTGGCAATACGTCGCTGGTGTGGGTAACGACCCCCGTGGCGACGCGCGCATTTTTAACCCGGTCAAGCAAGCCTTTGATTATGACAAGCAAGGAGACTACGTGCGCGCTTGGGTGTCTGAGGTACGCGGCTTTGATAATGCTGAAAACGTGTTTCAAGCCTGGACAGCGACGCCAGAGCAACTCGAAGAGCTCAATCTCACAAACAACGTCATGGTCACGGATCCACTGAAGAAGATTGACTTCACCGTTGACCGCAAGCCCAAGTCACAGCGACGCCCATTTGCTCGAGGAAGAGGATCATCCAACGGACGAGGTGGAAGGCGAGGGGGTGGCTCAAATAGTTTTGGTCGCGGGGGCATGTCCATGCACACGCAGGCGCACATGGTTCCTGTACCCATGGACGGCATGGTTCCGGGTGGCCTTCCGTCAAGTCCTTCCATGTACGGCACAGGTGGTATGGGATACGACCAGCAAGGCTATGCTTGGAGCCCGTCTCCGATGGGTATACCGCCGCATCTTCATCACGGAGCGCCGTCATCTCATCACTGGGGCGGAAATGCCGGTGCTCCGGTCGTGAGCAGCGGCTGGGTCTCTGGTGGGCCAACCATGTTTAACGAGTACAACAGCATGCACGGGAATCTACCTCAGCCCGCCATGCACTACCGGGGTCGTGGCAACGGTCGTGGCAACTTCCTGGGCAGGATGCCCCAAGGCAGAGGAGGGTATATGCCCAACTAGAAGAATTAGCCGCTACCCGCTGTGCCAGATTAAGTCCCGTGGCCTGAGCTGTGGCAAAGTCGTGGCAACGGTCCGGGAGATGGCACGGACCAGCGCGGGAGATGGCGAAAAGGAGCGAGATCGGGTTAATACTTGTTCATAAGGCATTATAGACTGGGTTTCTCTAAGGGCGCATACACCGGCGGTGTTTACTGTTTTTGGGGGGGGGGGGGTTTCCTGTTTATGCGGGGTTGGTTTTGGTCAACTGTATAAGGGCTTTGTTACATGGCACTTGGACGTGCGCATTTGGCGGCATCGAAGTGGTACATAGACGCATGACACAAACATACATATTGCCGATGGTACATGTTCGTCTGGATATGTGGGAGCATATCCGTGGACGGGTAGAAGCGTCGGCGTGCCGCATGGATACGCAGACACGGCCTGCTCCCGACGTAGTACGAATGCTGCAAGAAATCGGTCTCGCTACTTTGACTGAACTAGGACTGATTGAGTGAGTATCACAGAAACCCCCAGGACTGAGTGCCATTGGCCTTTGCACTCCTTTGCATCTTGTCGCCGAAGTAGCTGGGAGCTCGTGACGCTGAAACTAGCCAAAGACCCCTGCATCTCCTCATGGCTACTTGGTACACCGTTTTTCTATTTTTGTACATTGTACGCTCGAGTAATGTTCCCCCAAAGGCGGCTACTCTTGAACGAATCATTGCCAATTGTTCAAGTAGGTCTAATTGTTATGCAGTCGCTCAGTGTGGGCAGAAGAAATCACGGCTGCTTGAATGAAGGCTGATAGGACCATGAATGTTTCCTGCGATTTATCTACGACGGGCACCTTGTAGCTCTTTCGTAAAGATAAAACGGCTCATGCCGAGTGAGGCGTTTTGGCGGATGAGCTACTTGTTCCGCTGAGCCTCGGGAACCAATGCGGCCAACAGCATCCTGGGCCAGATGCTGTACCGAACGAAACAAGGCCGTTAGTTTTTTTTTTTTTTTTTTTTTTTTTTTTTTTTTTTTTTGAATGTGGTACATATTTACCCTTGTGATTCTGCTATTTGCAGCAGCTACATCACTATTCATGGCAGCTATAGAGGTAATCGAATGGACACGAAAAGAAGGCAAGGAGACGACCTGAATGCAGGTTTCTTCCACGGCATGTGGGCTCTAACGTGGTTGTCCAACTGTATAGCAAAACGGCAGCAGTCACCGGGCCTGCACCCACCCGAAGTTGTATTGTCCGTTCTTCACTAGGTAACCATTGTTAAGATGGATTCGATGAGAGGCATCGGCACTCAGAGTCGTTCAGAATGCCGTGTCAGTTGAAAACTCGGGAATATCCCTACTCTTCCCGGCTTACCGCCTTGATTCGCGGCAAAGAATCTGCTTTTACACCAATAGATTTCTCAGTACTGTCGCGCAACGAGGCTCCGGTCCCGGCCTATTCGCTCGACGTTGCACCGCAGCATCTATTTGCCTTTTGCGCCCCCAGGTCTCACCCTTATTAACCAACAATTTATTTTGGTTTCCTTGCGCGACGCTCCATTGTTTCTGTTTCTTCATTGTTAGCTCCCGTGCCGTGAAGAACTAGTTCATGCCGCGTGCACTGCTTTCTGCCGTGTACCGAGTCCGCCGTTGCAGCGTCTAAAGCGCCGGACTGATTGGACGCGCGCACATGAAGCCAACGCGATTCATCGTCGCACACGGCTTGACGTTGCACCACCATCACCACCCTCCAGATTTGCCTTGACGTCTGCCAACCATGGGCGTATATATAGCGGGTTTTTTCTTTGCCCTCAATGTTTCGAATTCGGCCTGCTTCCCATGTTATCGAACTAGTTCGCTCGCCTTTTGTACTTGCTTGCTTCCTTGTTCGGGGTAGTAGTAGGAGCAGGACGGCACGCGCAACAGTGCTTCTTTCCTTGAATACTCAGTTTCGCTCTACTTACTAGTCCTCATCCAAGCCATTCAGATTACGAATATATAGAAAAAGAGAATCCTCAAAAATGACTGACTCGCACGACAGCGACAGCGCGACAGCTCGCGCAGAGCAGGAGAGCATAACAAGGAGCGCGGCATTGGCAGAGATCATTGACGCACACACACAACCTGACGATGCGACGCATCTCTCGCTTGAAGAATCAGAGTACCTCGCGGAGGGGAATGTTAGAATTGAGGAGGGCACACGGTGGTAAGACAATCTTGGCTGTTTTCACGTTTTCACATGTCCCTCTAACAAGTTTCAAGGAATCCAGGGACGCCTGCCACGCCCCGTCCTGCTGGCCGTGTCTTTCGTGAGAACAAGTATCTTGAGTCTGCTCACATGCGGCTCCAGGCTATCTTAAACGACACGGACGATGATGACGCAGAGCGGCGGCAAATTATCGAGACTGCGGAAGAGGGAGATGAGGAGACGAGGCGGGTCGAGAAGCAGGTCTACCTCCATCGCGAACACACGGCAATATACTGGCTATGGATTCGCCAGGTCCCTCTGCTTTACCATCCTCGATTTCTTCTGCGCGCTTACTACGTACCAGAGCGTATCGAGGGCCTGCTCCGGCCTTTTCACTGGCACCCGCCCTTGGACTTTGATGCTCCTGTAATGCACTATTTCGAGCGCCAGAGCCTGCGCTTTCAAGAATTTCAACGCTTCCAGGCAATCAATCGCGGCATCGACACCTTGGAGCCGTCCGCCATGGAGGAAGCGTACCATGCTGCGCTGATACGTGAGGCCACCAACGCTCACCACTGGCGGGAGCTGGTGGCAACGCCGGGGTGCAATGGAAGCTTGGGGCGGCGCAACGAGTTCTGGGCCAGGCGCGTCGATGAGAGGGAACTTTTGCGGGAGGAAGCCTGCTCAAACTTTGACGAGTACCAAGCCGCAGTACGCGCACGCTTGGCTCGAAATGGTGTAGAGGTTCCCGCAAACTTTGCGCTTCTAAACGAGGACTTTGCGCGTCAGGATCGGCTGACGATGTGGAGCGAATACCTCGCGTTCGAGCTTTGGTTCATGGAACAGTACGACGACGATGTCCGCAGGTATCGACCCTCGCATGATGTAGCGTACGCCCAGCTCAGGAGAGTGGTGGCGCTACGACCCCATGAGACAGCCGAGTTTCTTCCGACGAAGGCGGCCGCGACGCAGCGAAATGTCGAGGTGACTGAGGCGTTGAGCCGGCAAGATATGGCTGAGCTCGCCTTTCGGCGCCTGCAGATGCGGCCGCCAGGGCGGAGGAACCATACGAACCTGGAAAGGCTGCGCGTCGACAGACCGCGCCAGCTCGCCGAGGCGCAGGCCGAGATTGAAGCCGCCGAGGACGCAAAGATCAAAGTGATGCGGCGCAATGAGGCGGTGGTGGAATTTCTGAAGGAGACGGGGGCCTGGCGGGAGGCGCGCGACAATCGCTCGCGGCATGATGCTCTGTTGGCCTGGGCTACGGATCGATGGTACGATATTCGAACCTCGGCGGGTATACCCCTTCCAGGGGAAGAGGAGGAGACTATCCAGTCGTTGAACCCAGATTTGTTTATGCAAGCAGATTGTTTCCCAGCGGCCCAGGGTGCGGCAGCAGCCCAGAGAACTGCCGAGGCAGCTGGTGCTCAAGTCGAGAGCGTCATTGCTGAGGATGGGGAACAGGCTGCAGTCACTGCGGCTGCTGAGGCTGGTCCCAGCAGCAACGAGGACGAACACCGCGATGGTGTTTCTCCTGATGTGAGCCCTTTGTCAGACGCCGTCCCGTCACCTTCTGTGTCGCCGCGCTCGCTGACTCGTCTGCGGCGTGTTACCTTTGCTTCGCCACATCGTACCTCGTCACATTCTACAGAGTCGGCCGTGATTGAAGTGCCTCTAGTTGAGCAACCGTCAGCGGAAGAGCCGTCGGTCGAAGAGCCATCAGACGAAAAGCCAGTAGTCGAAGAGCTATCAATGGAGCATTCGTCAGTCGAGAAGCTGCCATTGGAACTACCTTTAGCCGAAGGTTCATCAGCCAAAGAGCTAACAGTCGAGCAGTCGTCGACCGAGAAGCCCCCGTTGGAACAGCCTTTGGTCAAAGAGCCCTCGAAAGAAGAACCGGCGAATGAACTGCCTCCAGTAGAACAGTCAGTCATTGTGCCACCTTGTTCAAGACAAATTGCTGAAGAACAGAGACTTCCAGTTACGGCCACCTTTGAGGAAACCGCCACAGTCACTCGTGCTGCTGCGACTGCCGTTCCAGAGCTGCGAAGAAGCGCGCGCATCGCAGCGAGGCGCCTAAAAGTCGCCGAGGAAGCGGCGCTGCAGAAAGCGCAGGCCAATATCCCAGAGACCACGACCAGGGTACGGGGTGCGTCCAAGGCGTCACGGAAGCGTGGGCGCGGCAAGACGGTCGCGGAGGACGAGACGCGGGATGCAGAACGGCCGGCGAAAAGGACGCGACGGCGCACTGCACGGAAGTGAGCTGATGAGCGACAAGGGAGGGTTAAAGAGGAGGGTTTTATGTTTGTGCTTTGCTTTTCTTATTTGTTCTTCTACTACATTGTACTAAGCTGTGGGAGCGATGTTATTTACATACAGGTTTATAATGGGCTTAGATTTGGGCGGGCACACCACTTTTGGATTTTGGATTGCGTGGCGCTTCTGAGTGAGGTGCTTATTGTTAGACTTAGATGATACCCATAATGTTGTATTTGTCAACATGTTGCCAAGTTGCTTATGCGAGACTCTGTAGTGAGATGAACTTGTTGTTGTCATTTCTTTTAGTAGCGATGCGAAGACTTGGCTTCAACAAGAGAGCTTATCAAGTGTCCATTTCAAATTATAGTATTGGCTGGTCTTGGCTCAATGATTCATATGAAATAAATACGAGAATTTAAAGTGAAAAACGTCAACGCCGTATATATATTCTTCCACAAAATCGATTTCCTTATCTGTCAGTCTCGAGATGTTTTGACAGCTTCCTGTACCAAGGCTTCCATCTTTATGCTCTTGTTAAGTTAGCTGCACCATTAAAACATGTATTTCCCAAATGTCCTGAAATTAACCCAAATGTCCTAATCAGCCAGTTTCTCAATTCTCCCAGCCATCAAAAAAAAAAATCTGCAAATTCCGTAATTTGTGATTGTGACACGGGGGCGGCTTGTCAGAGTCAAATCTCGTCCGGCACGCTACTACACCAAATCTAGTTTCCGCAAATTTTTGCGTCGTCATGGCAAAAACGGGCAAATCGCCCAGCTGGCCATGGTGTCATTTCCGTGACACCTCTGCATTTGTCGATGAAAAAGGTTTTTTCAAGTCCTCCGATGAAAATCTCTCCATGTTCCGTGGCCAGGATGGCCTTTATGATTTGAGACATGGCGCTGCCAGCTTCATAGCAATGTCCCAGATCGGGTTTGATCTACAGGGACGTCTTTTATTTAGCGTCATTTCACTGCGGACAGGGTGTGTGAGTGGTAAATCATACTGAATTGATTTAGCAGCGGATCATCTTGGCGATTTTGGGGAGAAGACGCGACCGATGGCTGAGACTTTTGATCGGATCACCGACAAGGGGGTACACGTGCCGTGGCAGTCTCGTCTGGGCTCAGGCCATCAGCGGCCTTGTACAAAGTAGTGAGGCTTGAGGGTAATCAAAGCTTGTGCAGGCCAGTGTCTAACTAGTCAAGTCAAAAGATGATCAAGGCCGATTAACTAAAAAGTGCAGATAGATACCAAGTCGGGTGTACAATCTAGCTTGGCCGGACAGAACACGCCCAGCGGGTCTCGCATTTTGACAGAGTTCATGTGCACAACCCGTCTGCCCCCTGCACCGAAAATCAGTTGTCGGCCAGCCTGTACAATTATTGCCATGTAGTTTGGTCTCTATGCCCAATAGTTATCAGTCTACATGTCACCGTTTAAATCGCACCCCGGGGTGCACCGGATTTTGCGGGATTTGGGGCGTGGTGCGTGGTGGAGTGATGTCGATGGTCGAGTCAAAACGGGCCCTGCCTAACGTTAAAGCATCAAGAACTCAAACCTCGCTTGTTGGTGGCATTTCCTTTCCCCTTCTCTCGAAAAGGAATCAACTACTATCATTGTCTTTTGCGCATTCTCACTGCTTCTAACGAAAACCAAAAAGAGAAAAGAACAGCAAGAAAAGAAAAATTCAACCCTTCCCCCCCCCCGGCCCTCGGCAGCATCGACTACGTACCTGGTCAACAATGCAGGATACTCCATCTTGGCTGCCTGCGAGCAGATAACGTACCTTGTGGCGTCGCTGCAGATTACGCGTGGCCCTGCAGACAAAGTTCAACATTCCCGTCATTGCCGACCGCTCGGGAGTCGGGCAAGGCATGCAGGACCATCTCCAAGTTACTTTTGGCCCGAGCTATCGCGTCAACGGCCTCACCACGTCGTCGTCCCTCCTCCTCGACGACATCGCCCTTGCCGCCGCCATCCGCCAGTACCAGGGCAACAGCACCGGCAATGCTCATCAATCCGTCCAAATGACATTATTGCCTGGTATAAAAGTTTCCCCACAGCACCTCCTCGGCGGCTTCTCCAACCGCGCGCTTGCAGGCCCCTCGCCAGCTACCCTGCCGACTGGCCCAAGATTGATGAGCCTCCTCGTCCATCAGCTTCCTGGCTCCGCTACCAAAAGCACCTCGGGCTCCGACCCCCAACGACGGCCACCGGTACGCCACCATGGGCGCCGCGCTGTGCATACCCCGATCCCGCGGCAACATCACCAACATCAGCTCGAGCGACAACGCCGTCCAGCCCGTCATCAACCCGCCAACTTCTTCGCCGACCCGGCCGACGTCGAGGTCGCTGTCGCCGCCCCTGCCATATGTGGTCCCGTGATACTCCCCCATTTGGCAATAGCTTTATATCATTATATATAAAGTCAGTCGCTGCCCCGAGGGGGGAAATGCCAGCTTGGCAATCATGGCCGCCAGTATCGGCCGCACTTAGCATGGATTCGACTTGGCTGCGCTTTATCGAACAACAGAGACTGGACCCATAATTCTCAGGTTGTTTTTGAAAAACAACCTGAGAATCTCATAGAGCCAGGAGAGCAAGAGGCGGCCCATGGTGACTATGTGCATGCATGCGCCACAGGGGGCGTGCACGAGTAGACAAAAACAGCCACAGAATCATCAGTCTAGTTCTTTCTAGCCGTGTCGGCCTAAGAAGCAGATCACATTGGCAAAACTACACTTACAAGTTGATCAACACACTTGAACCCTCTAAAGCGAATGGTTTCTTCTCCGAGTTTTCTCCTTTTCTTAAATTCTTATTTGTTTCTGAGAAAACAGTATACAGACGTATTTTCGCGTTACACTTTACAGGGCTATCAGGTAACTCTTGTGCATCCAATACTCTGCACGCGTATCGCTTCTCGGCTACGCGTCGTAGTACCGTGTGCAAAGCTCTACGCTGTATCACGCCCCCTGCAGCATGCGCATCTCGGTCCAAATAAGTGTACCTGAAACTGCGCAAATAGAGAATGCTACAGGAGTTGATTGCAAAAGGAAGGACAAGTGGTTGTCTAGATGAAGGGAAAAAAAAACACACGAGTTCTCATTCCAACCTCCCCCCCCCCTTCCCCCCGACGGGTTTGTTGGCTACTAGTTATTCTAGTGATGATAACATTACCTACAATCTCAACAAAGAAACGGAATAGCGACAGTAAAACCATGCCAGCAACGGCCGCCAATGACCAAATGCCGAGGAGTCGACGCTTGGAGAAGAAAAACAGGCTCCCGGGGTTGGACCAGACCGGCGGTGAAATCGCATCAGTCTGGTGCGACATTGTACAAATGCTGCTATATTCGATAAACGTGTATACATGCGAAACATCCAAAACTTTGTGTACGGTTGCATCGCACGGCGGGAAATGAGCTGTTCATGGCCAGCCATTCGCGCAGCTGCTGCACAACCACATACAACAAAAGGTGATGTAGACTGCGGCACTCATTGTGTGACTTCTCGGCAGTGGTATAAAAGGCTAGGGGGGTCGATGCTTCGATCATTTGCGATATTCTACTTTGCGGTCCCTCAACTAGTTTGCGAGACAGCTTCATTCACCTCGATTATTATAAGCATCTCCATCCCATTCATAACTCATCAGCACCTTCCTTCAGCAGTGGGCAATACCCAATTTAAAACGCCAACATTTTAAAGGTCTTTCCAAGATGAGTTTCATCATCAATCGTATTTCTGGTCTCTTCTCCCGCCGACCAAGAACGGAACCCGAAACCGAAGCGCAAGTCCCCCATGCCGAAGACGACCACGCAGACTTTGAAGACGATGACCAAGGCGCAGCAGGCCAGCGAGAGAGGCGCGTCGCACTGGTCCATCACGTTGCTTCCCTGCCAGAGAATCGTTTCCGCGCACTCGTCATTCTCGAGGAAAAGCGACTGCTCGAGAAGTGGAACGCGTGCATGCTCGACGAGCGACACCGCGCCACGGGCGAGGAGAGGGCAGACATGGCCAGAAAGCTTGTCTGGCAGCGCTGGGAGAAGCAGGGTCTCTGCGGCTGGCAGTGCGAACAGCCGGTGCCGCGCGGGCAGTGGCGGCACGAAGGCATAAACGGCGCGCGCAAGGCGGCGACCTCCTCGCATCGACCGGACAGGTCGCGGGAAATGTCGCGGCCTTGCTTCCAGTTCATGTACGAGGTCATGACCGAGTATGAGCACCTGCATTTTCTGAGCAGCCCGCCCCGCATCCCACCAGAGCTTTGCGGCAGTAGCCCACGCGGAGAAGCCGGCCCGCCGCCTACATTGGGAAGGAACATGTTTGCTGAGGCACTTCACAACGTGCGGGAGCAGCAATGGAAGCCGCAGGGCATCTGGGACGAGAGTGACGGCAGCTGGGACATCTTTCCGGGGATGCGGTGGAAGCACGAGCAGCATCCCGCAGCCGTCGGCGGGAGGAGGACGGCAGCGGCGGCGGCGGCAGCTGACGCCGAGAGCGCAGAGGAAAATCACTTCTTTGCGCTCTACGGATCGGCGCAATCGTCGCAACTCCCCACGACCGTCGGGTTCCGCGAGTACATGCCGACAGAGGTGGCGAGGAGATGCGAACGGTATGCAGACTCGGGACCAGCATTGCCTAGCGGAGCGCTTCACGGGCGCACGCTGGAGCAAATGCCGGGTTCAACTGAGTCGTTGCCAGAGGAGGACGCCGAGTCGCACACGTCGTTCAACGATTCGGACATGGAGAACCAGGCGCCTCATGATTCAGACATGGAAAATACAGCGCCAGCGCCAGCGCCTCCTATCTCTGTTGCGGAGGAAATGCGGCTTGCGGGACTGCGGCCTGCCGAGGTGCGCGCGGCAGTACAGGAAGCCATGGGCCGAGGACCAGGTGGGCAGCGATCGCCTGTCGGTGTCGTCCGACGCGAGCCTAGCCGAGGAGTCTTTTCAGGAGAGTCGTATCAGCGACGCGTTCTCGGTCCCTTGCCTTCGCTGCAGAGAGTGTCCAAGGCGACCAAGCGAAAAAGGGTGGCGGTGGCAGGATCGAGCGGATCGACGGATAGTGGTTTATCCCCAGCTAGATCGCAGGAGCCCACGGTGATTTACGCGCCGTTGCTGTCCCCTTTTCGTGCCGGCAATGGTGTTTCCTCAGAGGCTGCTGACAGGCACGGCGCTTCCCCTGATGGCTTGGCCACCAATGCGGACGGGCACCGCAACGATGACGATTTTGTCATTTACGAGGACAGTCCGGAGAACGTAGATTCCGCCCTTCACGAGGACGGCTCTCGCGACGAGGATTTCGTCATCCATGAGGACAGCCCAGAGCACGGAAGTTCCGTCATTCGAAATGATGGTTCCCGGGATGAGGGCTCAGTCACCAGCAGGGATACGTCGCAGGACGAGGACTTGGCCATCTTGGAGGACCGCCAACGGTATGAGGGTGTCTTCATTCGGGAAGACACTCCACGTAGCGCGGGTTCTCCAGTAGAAGAAGCCAGGATAGAATTGTCCCCTCGGGCCAGAGCCAGGCAGCGTCGTCGAGAAGCCGTGGAACGGCGCGCTTTGCAGCCTCTTCGCAGAAGCAAGAGGAATACCCGGACCAGGTGAGTGACAGGATAGTCGCACGAGCCGGTACCTGCACGCGTCGTCAGGGATGCAGAAAGGGGAGATAGTGACAAAAATTTGGAGGAACATTGTGTACGATTTGATGTTGGGAAGTGCATTGCGTGGCGTTATTCTGTTGGAATTGAGGGTTTGTTTCACCTGTTGCGTACTCGAAAGAGAGCGCGTACAGCGCATTTACTAAAACCAGGGAGTATTGGATATGGTTTGAAATGGGCTTAATGAAATTATACTTGCATATTCTTGAAGACTTTGATGTTGCCTTCTTTTAAACTCGTGCTGGACGTGAGCACCTCGTGCAATGCTTGGTATATAGTGAGCACTGCAGATCTAGACCAACGAGCCCAAAAGCATCTGCGGCTCTCTATGAGTCGATAATGATCAAGATATAAGAGCACAGGGTAATTATGCACGAGCGCTCGCTAAGGGAGGAACGGCATGTTTGTGGGAGAAGAGGGCGCCCGGCGGGAGTACAGAGATCCATGCCGACGCATTGGCAATGAGCGTATCGAGTGAGCCGGGAGTTCAGAAGTCACGCATGAAATGTGCAGTCTCGGGCAGCAAGCCATTTTCGATGGACCAAATGAGAATTTGAAGGAAGAGAGTCGCGTCTGGGTCTTGTCCGAACCGAGTAGTAGTTAGACCTACTGGCATGTGAACAAGAGACTTTGCGCTTCGAGGGCGGATGACTTTGAAGAGCACAATAAAAAAACTATCAGCATCTTCACAAAAGCTAAATAAAATGCTTTTAGTTCGAATTCATATTTCAGCAGAAAAAGCTTCATCTTCAACGGGCTGTGTTCCCTTCTACATCTACGTCATTAGCAGACCCTCATTTGACTAAGCTCCAGTTTGCCGCCCGGCGAAGAGTCATCGCCGCAAACTACCTACTTCTTTACTACAAGGGCCCACGCAAACGCAACTCTTGCACCCTTGGACATTGTGTTTGCTGTACCGATTCAAAAATTGTCCAGGCCCAGGAGGCAGTATGGCGTCCCAAACCGAAGACTACATGGGTCGTCCGCTCTACGGTAGGCTCACCATTGCGAAACAGCAGCCCGCCGAATGTGACGATGGCAGCTAACCAGCATCGACCTACGCAGCCTACGATCTTCCTCCACAGCTTCTTCGCTCCATCACTCTCAAGCCCAATGTCGACACACTTTCGACTGCCCCCTCGCTCGTGCCAGAGCGACCCAGCTCGCCGAGCGTGACAAGTACTGATTCTACAACGACCGAAACAAACACCGTCGGATCGCTGTCGTGTTCGCTGTGCGGCTTGACGTTTACCAATGTCCTGGACCAGCGCGGCCACTTGAAATCCGATCTACACAATTACAACCTCAAGCAGAAGCTGCGCGGCAAGAAGCCAGTCTCGGAGACGGAGTTTGAGAAGCTCATCGAAGACTTGGACGAGTCGCTTTCGGGCTCCGATTCGGACGACGACGATGACGACGATGACGACGCAAACGACACAACATTGACAGCGTTGTTGAAGCGACAAGCCAAAATTGCCGGGAAAAGCGCCTCATCCAACGACGATGACGACGGTAAAACAAAGGTGCAGAAACCCGGAAAAACACCGCTGCTTTGGTTCAGCTCGCCGCTGCTTCCTGAGAACCACTTCTTCGGCGTGTATCGTGCGCTGTTTACAAATGAACAACAAAAGACTACCGATTTCACGGAAGAGTTACGCAAAAAGCAGCTCGATCCAATCACAATTCCTCACCCGGCCAAGGATGGTACACTGGCGCCGATTGCTTACAAAGGACCTCACATTTTCTTATGCATGATTGGAGGTGGCCACTTTGCCGCCATGGTGGTGTCCCTCGCACCGCGCCAGAGCAAACACAACGCGCCCATGAACCGCGAGGCCACAGTGCTGGCACACAAGACATTTCACAGATATACGACGAGGCGAAAACAGGGAGGTTCGCAATCGGCAAATGACAACGCCAAAGGCGCGGCGCACTCTGCGGGGTCCACGCTGCGACGATACAACGAGCAGGCGCTGGTCGAGGATGTCCGGGAGCTGCTTCATGACTGGAGGGCGCTGCTCGCTACCTCGGAGCTCATGTTCATTCGCGCGACCGGCATCACCAACAGGCGCACTCTGTACGGACCGTACGACAATCAGGTTTTACGACACACCGACCCGAGAATACGCGGGTTTCCATTCAACACACGCCGGCCGACGCAAAAGGAGCTGATGCGATGCTTCATCGAGCTGACGAGGCTCAAAGTCCGCGAAATCGATCCAGCAAGCGAAGTCAAGCCCGAAAAGACGACGCCAGTCTCTTCTACGCCGGCAACACCAAAGCCTTCCAAACCAAAGCTCACGGAAGCTGCGCAAACCGCACTACTTCACACCACTCAGCTCCAGGCCTTTATACGGCGCTCCAAATTGCCCGCCCTCTTGTCCTACCTCTCCAGCAACAAGCTCTCGGCCGACTTTGCCTTTGAGCCTACCGAGTCGCACCACCACACACCTCATCCGCTGCACCTCGCGGCGTCGCAAAACTCAGCGCCCATGGTGCTAGGCTTGCTGGTGCGTGGCGAGGCTAACCCGCTGCTCAAAAACGCCGAGGGCAAGACGCCCTTTGAGCTGGCCGGAGACCGCGCGACGCGCGACGCCTTTCGCGTTGCGCGCGCCGAGCTGGGCGAGGCCCGCTGGGACTGGGAGGCGGCCGGTGTGCCCGCGGCCCTGAGCAAGGCCGAGGCCGACAAGCGCACCCGCCGCGAGCAGGACGAGGCCGATGCTAAGGAGGCAGAGAGGCGTCGCACCGAGGAGGAAAGGCTCAAGACGGAGGGGCCGCGGGTGCCGGAGTCCAAGAGACAGGGCGGCCGCGGCGGCGGACAGGTGCTGGGCGGCGGCGCGTCGGCCCTGCTGCCCAAGACGGCGCAGGAGCGCCGCGAGGAGGAGGCGAGAGGGCTGACGCCAGAGATGAGACTACGGTTGGATCGCGAAAGGAGAGCGCGTGCGGCCGAGGAACGACTAAAGAGACTACAGGGGAAGTAGGGTATTCATCAATGGCCAAGACATGATTGCATGGGTGTATTGGTTTCTTGAGCGCAAAATTAGATTCAGGAGGTTGTGACGAGCACACACCAAAAAAGGAGCATGCCATGATGTTTTCGAGAAAGATTGAGGATGTAAAATAGGAGTTAGTGATACTTGGACGGCGTTCTAGACAAGAAAGCAGAGAGGATCAGACCATTCTGATCTTCATCCCGTCCGAGCTCCCCGCGTTGTTGGTGAGAGTGGCGCGCGCGCGCCCAAAGCGTCATGCGTCTTAGCGGAAATTAGGGAACCACCCAGCACACGACGCAAGGTAACATTGCGCACGCATTCCCCCGATAACGTAGTTTGGCAGGGCTTGATGTCGGATGATGATTCCAAGTAACCCCCACATCTTTTGAGTGAACAGACGCGGGAAGCCTTGCCATGCCCTCGATCATTTTGTAAGTGGGTGGGTTGGTGGTGTTGTGGATGAATTGAATGCACGGTCCAGGTCGTTGCGTGCATTCGGATCCGTCCGCCTGCCTACATACACGGTACCTTGCATATCTTTTGCGCATGACATGTTATTTTTTTCTCGGACGCAAATTAATTCAAAATAAAGGTATTTAGTAATATATAGAGGGTAGTTGCCTCATGGGCTGCATATAATTCCCGGTTGTCTGAACGGATCCATAATCACTCAAAAGTGGTACCAGTAGTAATACACCATGTTGTGCGCCAGCGCATGATTATACGATATGTTGAATATCTAGCATATTCAACATTCTAAATCTATACAATGCTCTATTGAGCCCTCTCTCTCTCTTTCTCTCTCTGATATGTGATGCCGGGGATCTGCGGATCTGCCCATCTTTCCCGGACCCCAGCAGTTGTTCCCTCCCCCCCAATTGTCCATCTACACGGCGGCAGCCTTATCCGTATCCTTCGCCGGCGCCGCGTCCTTGTCTTGCCCGGCCTCCTCCTTGTCTTGCCCGGCCCCCTCCTTGTCTTTCCCGGCCTTGTCCTTGTCGCCGCCCAACATGGTCTCGTAGATGGTCTTGTGCGCCTGTCGGTGCGTCTCGCGCAGCTCGCTGTTCTTGGCCTCGGGGATGGGCTCCTCGGCAGACGCCGGGTTTGCCATGTACTTGCCGTGGTCCGTGAGAATCTGGAGGAGACCACCGGCGCCGCCGCCGCCGCCGCCGCCACCGCCGGCGCGTGGCTGGTGCTGCTGGTGGGCCGCGTAGTCTTTTGCAAGGGGGTCAGTAAAGAATTCGGGGCAATCGTTTGGCATGCTGCTGAGGCAGCAGTGGCAGAAGAGCGGGGGGGGGGTTAGATGTAATATAGTCATGGGAAAAAAGTCTGTACCTTTAGCGGCCGGCAGCGCTGCGGCGTTGACGAGGGCAAGATGCGCTGCGACGCAGAGAAGAGTTGTGTAAGTGAAATGCATGATGTGAATTTGAGTTGTTTTTTTCTGTTTGTCCTTGGTTGTTGGTTTGTACTGTTGGGAAGAAGTGATTGTCTGCGGAATGCAAATCGAGAATCTCGAGGCGTTGTCGGCCATATTTATGTTGGCTACTTGAACAATATCATCACGGCATAGACATCATCACGTTCACATGTTTTTTGCACAGCATATCCCTGTATCACGATCGAAACACTTGCGCTTCATTCCCTTGTGTAACTCCGTGTCTTCCAACCGCAGGGCTACGTGAGATAGCCGGGACTGTTCAGTCATGTTCAACTCTCATCCGAGGGCATCACGACGAATCAAATTCGTCTTGCACCTTGTCTGCCTGCCATGAAACGCACATAATGCTTCGTCCGACATGTATATATAAAACAGTTTCGATAGTCAGCTCATGTTTCTATTCATTTGCCATGGCCGTTGGGCTGATTAGATGTGATTACACAAACACTCCGCCATGCAAAAAGGTTGCAAAGAGTCAGAATTTTGACAGTCCCGATAGGATCAGATTGTCAATCTTGAGCGATCTTCTATGCCCGTTCTAGCGGAATTGCCTCGGTTGATCGGGCTGCTTACAAGAGGAGCGGCCAACCCTGGAAACCGTTCATGTGTGAGTCGTTTGGGATTGTATGTGAAAGAGAGGCCCAAGCCTTACGTCTCAAACATGTACTGAGCATGGCGATGACATTTGTGTCAAAGAGCGTGTCACAGAAAAAAAACATATATAAGAGCATGGAATGCCGTGGCGCGAGGCATTTCCCATGATGTCGTCGTTTCGCCGACACTATTGTTCTATTGACGACTTGGACAACAGCTCTACTTAGGCCAAAGTCTTTTCCAGATCGACGCCTTCATCATGGTAACCGCGCAGTGCTACCCTGTATGCTGCAAAGTCGGCCCCGCGTCTTCACTTGAACGCGTCTGCACTCGGAAATGAAACGCACAATGCAGAACATGCTGCTCCCACGCCATTAGTTACCTGGCGCGGGGAGAAATCTCCTCGCGAGTCCGGATACATGGCAACCCCCCCCCCCCTTGCAACGCACGGATAATCTCTACCCCGCTATCGTGGTTGTCGAGTTGCCAAAGGCAAAATCGCTAAGGCCTCCCAATGGAACGAGCATGTGCGCAGGCTGTGCGTTCGGAGCGAAAGGAGCTGTCAGGCGTACGAAAAGGAAGCCATAGTTGAGATGACTGGCACGATAACCACCATGTTCAAGAAATGCCAAGACAACTTTACGCACAATCAACTACATGTGGGCTAAAACAAGGTTTTCATTGTGCTTGCCCAATGTTGATGGTTCTCTTGCCTATTGCAGTAAGCCGACTCGTGAGTCGCGCCTCGCATGGACTTGGAACAGTTGAACTGTGGCGCTGTGCCTGGAAGCTTAAAAAAAGAATAGGGGCCCGAAAAGCATGGCAATTCCCACATGCTGAAAAAGTCTCCAAGTTTTGAGCAACTATTTTTGTCCCATGTGTTTTTCTGTCGCATGCGCTAGTCAACTGGTTTGAGAAGAAAAGAAGAGAAAAAAAGACATCGCAAAAACCAGCACTCAGAGTGCGACAAAGTCTCCATGCCGTCCCCGCGTACATAGCCACCCCCGTAAGCAGGAAAAATACGAGCGTGGGATCACGTCGAGGGCTGCAACGTCTCAGATTCCGGGTGCATGAAGGATGTCCGCCAGAACAGGCAAGACCGTCCCGAACCCGATCAGCAAGGTGGTGTTGATGCGCAGCGCAGCGCAGCGCAGCAGGCGACAGTCTGCAATGCCAACAAGGCTGCGGACTCCATCTCTGCAGAGGCTCCATACTTGTATACTAGCCAGGAAGAGAATTCAAGAATATGAACTAGACATATTGAAAAAGAATCCCATCCTTCACCGCAAAGACTAGGAAGAACAACAACGCTATAATAATGGGCGGACTGACCAATAGTTCCAGAGTAGGAAATAGATGAAATGTGGAAATCAGGGGCAACCTCCGAAGGGGTCCGTGCTACAGTCTAAAGAGGGTATCGCGCCACAAACGAGTCCATTTTTACAGCTGCGAAGGCCGGATTTAAGGTGTTTCAAATCGAAACTAGACTACTTTGGCACGAGTATGCTGTTCAAGTCTTGACGCCACTTGTTGCCCTATGCAAACTGGCTGACCCCATTCTCCGCATATAAAAGCTGTCTTGTTACTATGAATACACCAGACCTCACCGGAACTCGAAACACGCCACCCTGAATGGGAGAAGTCCCTGCTGACTCGACCATGATGGGCATAAACTTGACTGCCAAGTTTTCCAACAGGGTTTTCTGTAGGCCGACGGAAATTCTGCTTCCTTCTTTTTGCGGACGTGTTTCTGCCGTATTTAGTAAGCCACGCCGAGGTGCCGGAGGTGCTGAGCTTGTCGCCTACTGCGTCGCTGTCGCTGTAATAGTCAACTAGTGTGTGATAGCCAAGGAGAAGTCGTGGTTTCAATCGAAAAGCTGCAAGTTGAACCATTTATGCCCATAACGTCATGTTTTGCTAGCCGATGGTGATAGTTATGTCATAACAACTCATGTATTCATGCAAGCTTATGAGGGGGGTGGAGAGTTGGTGATTGTATGATCAATGATCAAATATGATCGCTGCGGATATCAGCAAATCTCTCATCGCGTTCGTTGCTCTGCTATACCCTAGGGTTGTGTATAAGAGGAGGCGGCGCAGTCATGCTTGCATTGTGCCAAAAATAAAACAAGGGATCAATTTATTTTCCTTTTTCGCCTAAATTGAAAAAGAAGAAACTGACACGACGATCGATCTTAGCCGCAATGGTCAGCCAGAGTTGGAATTTTGTTTCCCGTGCACGTTCTGCCAACCTGCCAGAGTCCCCCGTCTTGATGGATTGATTTTGTCTTTTCGCCTGCCCCCTGGGCCCTGGCTATCGCTGGCAATTTCCGAGGCTGCAGTTTCCACCACGCCAGCCAGTGGGTATGCCGTCAATAGCTCCGGTAGCCCTATTTAGCTGTTGAAGGCGCCAAGGCTTTTGCGTGAAGAAAAACAGCGTTCACTCGCTCTGGAGCCAATTTGGCCATGAATGACGCTGAGGGGAAAGGAGTCAGTTAATACGAGCCATGGAGACCCGCCTCACCGTAGGGATTCATTGCGTGGCTGCCATTGAAGCCGGGTCATGTTTACTAGTCAACTAGTCAACTTTTTGCGCATGAAAATCGCGGCCACTCATGGCTATTATTCGACGGAATGATCGGCAAGGGCCAGTGCAGAGGCACTCCCATTGCTTTGCAACCAGAAAATGCAATAGTTTGTGCTGGCAGCTGGCGATGCTACTTTCCAGCATACACTACAAATCAACCCCTGAAAGATCGTAGCGACAGTACATTTATTTTAATAAGTTAGCGGGCCACTCCGAACCTGCCACGGGATTAGTGACAGTTGCTGGTGCCAGGTTTAGCGAGCAGCTGCATGGGTTCGAGGACTCGCCTGTGGTCGCGTGGAGTAGTAACGCCTCAGCGTGCTTGCAAGGATTGGCTGCCAGGGCCCAGGGCCCCCCAGCCCAGGTCCCAGTAGGTCCTTGTATGGTAATAACAAGGCAATGGTGCTTTCTCGTTGACGGTACCGGGAAATACTACGTAGCGCAATAGTCAGCCGAGTTAGGAGTGCCACTGCGCGACGTCTATTATAGCCCTACCAACCCAGTTATAGGTTGTGGCTCAGGTCACAAGGCACCTTCCTATCAACTCATCAGCCACAAGCTAGCAAGGCCGAAAACAACGGAATTTGCCTTGCCTGTGGGAAAGCCAGCATCACGGTCGGAAAATACAGCTGAATCGATAATATAAGTGCCTGCCTGCCTTGCTCAGATGATCTACACGATAGCTTACAGACTATGCGTTGATCACTGCTGCTAGAAGTACAGCTTCGGCACTCTAAAGTTGTTTGCAAAACTGAAACGTGATATAGTGCAATAGATCTCAGACGGCAGCGACACAATGGAGAAGACGCCTGAATCGGCTGGATAATAAGATATCCTGGTGTAATATAGTGCCTTGCAGTAGCACCGTTGTGGCGGCATCGGTCTGACCGTGGATTCAGGTACATGCGGTCGACTGGATATAATAAATGGGTAAACAATACTGCAGCGAGTTATCGTAAGGCCATGAGCTTGGATAGTACGTTGGCAGGAAGAATGTAGATTCGAATTGTCTGTGGTCAAGCAAAGTAGGTGTTTGTCAGTTGGCAGCTGGTACTTGCTTGATTGGACGCTGATGTAATCGGCCAGCACCCTATTCGAGCGTTGTCGAGGTACATGGTTAGAACCCGTCGTACCAACGCATATGCAAACAGTGACTCCCTGAAGCTGCCATATCCCTCATCCAAGCACAACCAAACAAACTCCAGAATTCCATCTCTCCATCAAAAAAATGCATCATGATCAAGGCTTGCCCACGCCATTTTGGGGCCCGTTTCCGAGACAGTCCGTACCAACCCTACTAGCATTCTGTTCCCACGCCGTGTTTCCTCTCGAAGCTTCACCGCGGTGGCCTTGGCAGTCACCATCAAAATGAGACGCCGAGATGGAGTCATTCCAAACCACGACCCGCCGGATGCTGTTTCGACAGTGCATACAAGACCCCGCGCTGCCAGACAGGTGCCATTGTCTGCCATCGGCTCCTATTTCGAGGAGCATGACGCTAGCTACTTAGCTCGCCTGAAGCTCGACGGTCCCATTTAGCTGCCAGGTATGGTGGGACAGCGGGAGGATGGATACCGGACTGTGCGCAGGACAGCACGCAACGGACTGGCGGGGAACAAAGAGGTCGAAGCACACTTTCGCTGGACCCGGTCCCGTCCATGGCGCAAAGCAAGACGACGGAACCATGCAATCTCTTCGCCAACCTAAAATGGGTGCTACAGGGGCTTCCCCTAGTAGCCTGGGATGCATGGATAAGAGCCCTTGGCTGGGTGACAATGCGAGCGGGTCAGCCGCCAGCATTGATGTCCGGCGAAACCACCATCGCTGGATGAACGCTACATCATTCGGCTGGCTGCTCCGCCTCTTTCACGCTTCAGAATGATATTGGACGGGGGCTCGAGGGTTCATGGACTCTCGTCTCCGGAGGACAAGCCACCCTCTCTACACTAGCCATGCAGGTACCAACGCTGGCCCAGGTACCAACGCTGGCCCAGGTCCGTTCGCGCCCGTTCCCATGCCGCGCTACACAGCTGTCAGGCCAGCTCGTGGTATATAGATGTAGCCGCTCGTCTCCTCTTGTCCCAAGGTCTCTCTTGTGTCTCACCTACTCTTTAGTCTTCTCTTCTTTTTCTTTCTCACCAGTCTATTTCCTATCGCTTGCCTCAAACGTCAGAGTCATTCGTTTTCTTTGACACCACTATCGCTTACAAACGTCGAGCTTGTACCGCGCGTACAGCAACCACAGTCGTTCATCTCATTTATATTCATATTCCTGTATTTACTGTTAGGCCGATTCAAGTCGTGTTGTATACACCATGAAGGTCACCTACGCCTTGGCCGTGGCTGCCACCATTGAGCAGGCCTCTGCCACCGTATGTACTCTCAGTCTACCTCTACACATGCTCTGCTGACAATCTGTCAGTTTCTCCTTGGAGGCGACCTACTCAAAAAGTGGAAAGGCGTCGATTCCTTCATTTGTCCCGGCCAGAAACCCGTCATTTGCAAGCCCGACCAGGTACCTGGCTACGACTGGGGCAAGGTCCCCGTCGGACCCGTTGACAACTATGGCGGTTGCAACTTCAAGGGCTGGTCCTGCAAGAAGAAGTTTGGCCGCCGCGATATGCTTGCTGGTCGCCAGGATGATGGTAGCAAATTCATCGAGGCCGATATCAGCACTGACGGCTCGAGCCAACCCGTGATCGAGGCCAGTAACGAGATTGGCAGCTTCGACATCAACAACCTCTCTGTCGAGGTCGATACTCCTGGTCGCTACGACTTCATATACACCGTTAGAAACAGCAACTTCCCCTGCAAGCAGACCCATGAGCTCACCACTGAGGGCCAAACCATTGTCAACACCCAGTGCGGTGACGCCACGGCGCTCACGATTGCTGTCGCCAAAAACCAGGGCAACCAGAAGAGAACTCTTGGACTCTTTCTGAAGAAGTTCTGCAAGATTAAGTGCCACAAGATTGATTTCTGGTGCAAGCCGCCGCCTCCTGGCAAGACTACCACTCCTCCTGCCAGCCAGACTACTCCTCCTGGCACGCCTCCTGTCACTCCTCCTGGCACCGAGACCACTCCTCCCAACACTCCTCCTGTCACTCCTCCTGGCACCGAGACCACTCCTCCTAACACTCCTCCTGCTACTCCTCCTGGCACCGAGACCACTCCTCCCAACACTCCTCCGGGCACCAAGACCACTCCTCCTGCTACTCCTCCGGGCACCGAGACCACTCCTCCTGCCACTCCTCCGGGCACCGAGACCACTCCTCCTAACACTCCTCCGGGCACCGAGACCACTCCTCCTAACACT